GGTACTTTTAATAAGTACCATGTAACCTTATTAATACTTACTTTTTTAATTATAAGGGTAATAATTACTGCCCCTTAAAAATAGGTAGTAATATTTACTTTTTAAGGTATTATTAATAAAAATAGCTATTACTACCCTTTAAGGGCAGGCAATAATACTTACTTTTTAAGGTACTTTTAGTAAAAATAATAATTATTACTTTTTAAGGGCAGGTAGTAATACTTGCTTTTTAAAATATTATTAGTAAAAATAACTATTACTGCCCCTTAAGGGCAGGTAATAATATTTACTTTTTAAAATATTATTAATAAAAATAGCTATTGCTATCCCTTAAGGGCAGGTAATAATACTTATTTTTTAAGGTACTTTTAGTAAGTACCACGTAACCTTATTAATACTTGCTTTTTTAATTATAGGGGTAGCTATTACTACCCCTTAAGGGCAGGTAATAATACTTACTTTTTAAGGCACTTTTAGTAAAAATAGCTATTACTACTTTTTAAAAATAAGTAGTAATACTTACTTTCCAAGGTATTATTAATAAAGATAGCTATTGCTATTCTTTAAGAAAAAATAGCTATTATTATCTTTTAAGAGTAGGTAATAATACTTACTTTTTAAGGTACTTTTAGTAAAAATAGTAATTACTACCCCTTAAGGGTAGGTAGTAATACTTACTTTTTAAGGTACTTTTAATAAAAATAGTTATTACTACCCCTTAAGGGCAGGTAGTAATACTTACTTTTTAAAATATTTTTAATAAAAATAGCTATTACTACCCCTTAAGGGCAGGTAATAATACTTATTTTTTAAGGTACTTTTAATAAAAATAGTTATTACTACCTTTTAAGGGCAGGCAGTAATACTTACTTTTTAAGGTAATTTTAGTAAGTATTATATAATCTTATTAATACTTGCTTTTTTAGCTATAGGGGTAGCTATTATTATTTTTTAAGGGCAGGCAGTAATACTTACTTTTTTAAATATTTTTAATAAGTATAATATAACCTTAATACTTTAGTAATCCCTTTACTAGTAAGTTACTAAAATATTTCTTCCCCCTAACCCAAATCCTTAAACACGTTTTTCCTATATAATTCTATAGCGTTAAAAAAGCTTATTAATTAAATAACTAAAAATATACTACTAAATATAATAATACTAGCGCTGGGAATTACCTAGCTAGTAAGGCTAGGTAATTAAAAAAATATATATAAAAAAAATTAAATATAAAATTATTTAGCTATTTTTATTAAGGCCTTTAAGTATTTTATGTAACTTTTATTTAAGGTGGTAAGGCCTAAATATTATTTTTTATAGCTACTAATATTCCTAGGCCTTAGTATTACCACGGCTAATAAAGTGGCCTAAGGTATTAACACCGGCGATGAAACCACAATACCTTTAATAAATATAATATAACCTTAGTAATACTTACTTTTTTTAATTATAAAAGTAGTAGTTATCACTTTTAAAAGGTAGGTAACAATACTAGCTTTTTTCAATTAATATAATATAATTTTATTAATACTTACTTTTTGAATTACAGGGGTAGTAATTACTACCCCTTAAAAATAAATAATATTACTTACTTTTTAAGGCATTTTTAATAAAAATAATAATTATTATTTTTTAAGGGCAAGTAATAATACTAGATTTTTAAGGAATCTTTCAATAAGTATAATATAACCCTTAATACTTTAGTAATTTTTTTACTAATAAGTTATTAAAATATAATTTTTTTTACCCTAACCCAAACCCTTAAACATGTTTTTCCTCATTATTTTTAAATTTATATTTGTTTTTTAATTAAAAATAAGTTAAGTATAACTTAAGAATTTATAAAAATAGCCTTAAGGCCAGCCTTCTTCCTGAATTTTTAAGTAACTTTTTTAATATTATTTAACAGGGGTTAGAATACTCCATTTTTATTAATTAGATTTCTTCATCTTTATTTTTATTTTTATCAAAGATCTTTGAGATTTATCAGTCTTACAATATAAGCTACTCCTCCTATTAAATATATATAAATTATATAATATTTTTTACATTATACTTTGAAACCTAACTATAATAATATATTTTAAGCACTAAATATTAGCCCTATATTAATAAATAGTAAAAAAATACTTTATTAAAAAATCCTTAATAACTATAAATTTAAGGGCAAGGTATCATACCTTATAAAATAGCAAGAATAAAATAATATAAAGAATAATATATAAAAACTAAAGGCTTATATTACTAAAATAATAATACTTAAAAAGTATAAGTAATTATATAAAAAGAAATTATAAAAAAAAAATATTATACTCAGAAAGTCTACTTTTATAATTAATACATAATTATAAAAAAAAATATATTTTATTTTTATTAATTGGCGGCGCCCGCAGGGCCTTTTAATAAAAAAATAAAACTTAGATAAGTAGCTAAGCCGCGCGGCGTGTAAAACCTTAAATGTATAAAACTAGTATAATACCTACTAGGGCACTAACCCCTATACTAAGTATAAATATTAACTAAATCAAAATCCTTAACAGCACCATGGCGCAACACACACCTAATTTAAAAATAACATAAATTTATAATAAAGTTAGTAATATAATATATAATAAATTAAATATATAAATATATACTTAGTAGTAAAAGCCACGCTAGTATAAAAAATATAATTATTAAAGTAGTAATAAAATATAGTCCAAAGGCCTAAATAAAAACTATATATAATATTAATATAAAAAATATTAATATAATGTAATTTTAGCTGACAAATAATTAAATTATTATAAGCCATACCGGCACTAGCTAGTAATAATACTAAATTAGGTATTATTATAATTAAATTAATTAAAAAAGTAGCTGGAATTATAATTACAGGGGCCTAAATAGCAATAATAAGGGCTATATAAGTATTTTTAATATTATAATATTTACCTTTTTTAGTTACTATTATTACCTATATATATCATATTATAAAGGCTAAAAACCCGGAGAATCTTTAGCTAGTAATAAGTAATATTAAATATAATATATTCTATTAGGGCTTTATAGCTATTAATATAAAATATATACTTTTTGATTATAAGTTATTATTAATATTTAAGTGTCCTAGTTATAACCTAAGCCTAAAGCTAGCTAGAAATTAAGCAAGTGGCTAGTAAAGTATAATATAAATAATAAGTATAGGGGGGCAAGGGGTAATAAAGTAAAAAGGTTTAAAGTAATAATTAAGGGTGCTAAGGCTAAAGCTAGAGTTTATACTAGGCATATGAATTATGAAAATAATAATATTAAAAAACTACCTAAAGGTAGCAGGGCGGCACTATTAGTAAAAGCAAGTATTTTTGATAAATATATTAGTAATTAATAATATATAAGTATAGGCAGGGGAATATAATCCCTATATACTAAAGGTAAAATAAAAAGTAAAGGCTAAAATTAACGCTTAACTACTATAATAAAAAAAACATAAAATAAAATACTATAATAAGCTAAATAAACACTAATAATAGTATTTAAAGTATAATATAAAACTATATTAAATATTAAAGTAAAAAAATATAAAGTAAAGGGCAAGCATGGGAGACCTTAAAAAATAAGATTCAAAATATTATAATATAATAAAGGTTATAATAAAAATAAATTATAATTAATTTAACTACTAAAATCGTCCTAAAGTATAAACATAATAAGAACTAAATATAAAAAGCTTATTAACTAAATTAAAAAGGAAAGTATATGGTAAGGCATTAAAAAAGAATAACTTAAAGGCTAATATATTAATATATTAAGAACTAGAATAAAATAACTATATATTACAAATCATTACTAAAGGTATTAAAAATAGTATAAAAGTAAAAAGATTTAGTTATTTAAAGCTTAAAGCCTTGTTATAAAAATAAAATATAAAGTAAAATAAAATATACAGGCCTAATAATATTAATATATATTTAATATTATTAAAAGAAATAATATAATACTTTAAAGGCATAAAAAAGTATTTTAACTTTAAAAATACAATTAAATAATTAAAAAAATAATAAAAATATAATAAAAAGGGTGTATACTTATAGCAGGTATTTTACTTTGAAAATTAAAAAAAATGAAAAAAGAAATTATAAGGGCGCTTTAATATTAAAATTAGAATGTTATTTTTAGTTACTAGCAGTTAATAATACTATATTTAAATCTAGTAATAAAATAAGGTAATTAAATTAATTTTTTATACTTAACTTTATACATAAATTATATATAAATTATAGCACTTTATATACTTAAAATTAACTTATTTTATAATACTTAATAATATTTATAATTTAAATTACTTTTTATAAAGTAAAAATATAGATTTATAAATTATAAGGGTATAATTACTTAAAAAAGTATTATTATTACTATAGTATTATAATTATATAGTATTATTATAATATAATTAAGTGGCCTAAGGCCACTTAATAAAAAAATTTAGTATTAATTTAGCCAGGTGTTAAGGCAGCGGCTAGTTATATACTATATAAAATACTAAGTTTAACTTAAAATTTTAACTTAAAAAAATTAGTACTTAATTCCTACCATAAATACACAATGCCTTCCTCTTACAGTACGTAATTGAAATTCACGTTCTCCTAAGCTTAGCGCAGTATACAAACGCGCCTCACAGCTGCAATATTATAAAAATAAAATATTATAATAATCATAATAATAAAGGCTTACTAAAGTTAATATATTTCAAATACTTTTATTAAAATATTTATAAAATATTTTTATTAAAATATTTATAGTTAATTTATATTATAATTAAATAAAATAAGTTAAAATAAGAAATAAGTATAAGGGCAGTAAACTTTATAAAAATAAAGAGATATATAAATAATTTATATTATACTTTTTTAAAAGTTTTAAAACTTAACTAAATATACCTTATCTCCAGCGTATATTAAGTAGTAACTTATTATATATAAACTTGGCTAGATGGCGCAATACAGAGGGAAAGAGACTAATTAAGAAGACACTTTCTCCGCAACCTCCCTCAGCCTAGCCAGTTCAGTCTTCATGTCAGCTGCAACAGCTGCCCATTCCTTTAACATGGCGCGAGCAATGGCATTCGCAGCAAGGCTGTTCATCCGGATTGCGGTCTCAACAGCGCCCTGATAAGAAGACTCGCTCAACCGGCCAGTCGCCAGCAGCATCCGGACCAGACCCTCTCCATCTGCACCGCTCTGAACCGCCAACTCCAACGGATTTCCCTTGTTAACATCAAGCTCAGGCCGACTGCCAACAATCATCTCGGCTATCGCCCATTCCCGCTTGCCAATGGACTGAGTAAGCGCAGTTACAGGAGAATGCTGATTGTCTCCCGGCACCACGCCCGTGTAATTGACATCCAGATCCTTCCTCCTCAGAAGTAGCTCGATTATCTCGACATAGGAGTCACTGCGTTTACAATCAATCGCCGCAGCAAGGGGTGGCGAGTGCGCCGGCAAGTTCACATCGGCCTTTGCCTTGAGCAGCGCTCTGACGACCCCGACTCGCAACGACTCCTTCTCCGCTCTAAACTTCTCCGAGCACGCCAGGCGCAGCGCAGTCCCGTGGAGCCCAACAAGAAGATTAGGATCGGCGCCCTTATCTAGGAGGACCGAGACGGTTCCGCGGTGGTTCCCTCTGATGGCTTCGATTAGGGGCGTATCGCCGTCCGGTTTGTGCTTCCGCTCGTTAACGTCTGCCTTGTTCCAGGGGTAGATCAGCATCCACTCTATGGATTCTTCGAAGCCTTGCCAGGCGGCGAAGCAGATGAGCGAGCCGGTGTAATTGTTGCCCCACCCCTTGGGCTCCAGCCAGTTGGTCTTCAGGTTCGCGCCCATTTGACACAGATCCATGACCAGGTCGGGTCGGTTGCGGATGACCGCGTATTCGAGCATGGTGTAGCCGTGCTCGTTTTTGGCTTCGAGGTTGACGCGCGTGCCATCTGTTCGGCGGGCGGTTAGGATCATAAAGGTAAGGAGGTCGTCATTCTCGATTGCGGCGAAGATCGCCTTGGTTGTTTTGTCGACGGAGGCACTCATTTTGGTAGAGGATGCCGGTTGACTTGAGAGGACGATCTTGAGGTTGGGGATGCGGAGACGGTGGAAGGGTTGGAACGATGGAAGGGCGGATGGGGCAAAAGATCAAGTCCGACCTGGCATGCGACATGGGGTTTTATACTGGTCTCTATATCTGGAGGGGTGCGTGTTGAATGATAGCATATGCAGTAGATCAGCCCAAAAACAGGCCCAGAATGTCCATTATTTGTTCAGCCTTTGTCAGAGCCAACAATGGAGGAGGAATGCTCAACGGAACAAGGCAAGAGACAGAGTCGCCTGCCTCCATATTGCAGCCAGCGATGGACTGATCCAGTTTCAAACCATCTTTGTTCCACCGCGTGAGCGTATTGTATGCTTCAATAGGTACCCTTTCCACACTGGTACGCTCAGGATTGACCTGAAGCGTTGGTGGGTATAGAGAAGTGCAGGTAAAATAACGCCTGTCAAGGTCTCAATGCAGGGTAAAGGAGCATTGTTTCTTTCGCAGATGGGACAAGAAGATGTTCCAAGGTTGACTATTCTCTTGTCCAGGTGAAGCATAAAGCGACAATAATTCCTTTGTAGTTCCAGACATCATCCTTTGATATTCACTCTTGTTCCAGCCTTTGAGGACAGCGACTCTTTCAACCTTTGGAGATAAAAGGGCCCTACATTGCTTTGTATTCCTGGTCACTACTGGCTTCATTAGCTCATCAGCTTTGTTATCTACACCGTGCAATCCTTTCACTGCTCTGCTCTCCCATGAACAGTCGTGCTTGTGTCTTGCTCACAATGTCTACTAACAACAACAACCCTCCTCCGAGCTACAACAGCGTTGTCGGCGACGGCAGCCTGGCTCGCCTATTACTGGATTTAATCTGCGATGACCAGCGGCAAACCTTCGACGGGCTGATGATGGCCCGGGCGCAAGGATCAGGCCTTAACATTGACACCCCAGACGACCGGGGCTTCACCCCCATCAAACTTGCCGTTCTCCACGATCGTGAGCACATGCTTTAACTCCTTCTGGCTGCCGGCGCCGAAACGTGCGCGCGCCCCATCCCTCAGCGTCCCACCGGATGGTCGAACTCCGGGGGATCCCTGATGAAGCACACGCCGCACTAATGGCCCAGGCCCCAATCTTCAGGGCTCTGCTCAGTTCCCTTGACGTACTCGACTTTGAAGATGTAACTCGAGCTGGTGGTCTGTTCTCACAATTCTCTTTGTTTGTCTGCGTTTGGCTTGTTAGGACTTTGCGTCCAGAAGACTGCTGCGGTACTCGGATTGTTATGTATCTGCTTAATATTATTGACATTTCATCTTTACTCCATGATCCTGATTAGCTTGTAACAACCACTTGAACTCATATAGGCCCTTGTTGTCTAAGTAAGTATCTAACACTCCAAGTTCAATCATAGGGCTGAGTACCTTGTGCTTGTTCTCACATTCACTTTATTATTAGAGCAGCCTTCTTTGTTGTGGCCATCAGTGGACCCTGAAATAGAGCCAGTCTAATTATATACGCCCTTGCCAACAAAGAAAGCCAGACCAAACTAGTTCCGTTTCATAGCTCTATTTCTGGCATCGAAAGGCTTACCCTGGACACTCTGTCTACAACATCTATGAGCCTCGATCGCCACAGCACCATCCGTGATCATCAATCCAATCTGACCCGAGTACCAACACGTCCACCAACACCAAGCATCCCATCAACAACCCAATTCCCAGACCCAAAATGACGGACCGCGAGCAACCCGCAAGCCGCCGGGTGTCAGTGGGCAAACTGCACCTCATTGCATCCCACGTCACCAATGCCGCCACGCTCAACGCCCTCACCCAGACCTGCAGGAAGTTCCACGAGCTGGTCAACCCGATCCTGTACAGTCGCTTCGCAGACAAAATGTACGCCTGGATCGCCAAAACCCGGGATATCGACAGAGTCCTGCGTACGCTCATCCGCGCCCACAAACAGGGCAAGTTCTCGAGTGTCAATTGTCTCGCATACCACGAGCTCGAGGCCCCCGCAGAGCGATTGCACCTTGTCCTCCCCGTCACGCCCTGGATGCCCCTTGAGCTCCGCCGCAACTCAACAGGCGGGTTTGCCGTCGAGCGGCCCGCCCGCCAGCCCATCACTCTTCCGGATGATGGGAATGCGCCTGGCATTGGGGCTGCGGCTGCGTTCCCGGCCCCTGTGCAGGACAACCAGGGCGGACGCGACCGCGAACACCGACGCCCAGGTGAATATGCCAGGGGAAGCCCCATGTCCCACCCGTGGCTCGAATCACCTTTCCCAGAGCAATTCTCGTTGTTCCGTTCGCTCCCACACCCAGGCCCCTTCACACCTCTCAGCGCGAACATGGATATGGACCTGGGCGCGGGTTCGGGCTTGACCCCCGACATGGCCATCACACCCGCCTATGATTTCCCCACGCGCGAAGTGGCGACCAGATCTCTGGGCGGCAGGGGCTTCCTTTCGGCCATGGATCACATGCGTGCTGGGGCTGATCAGCGGCAGAGGCGCCAGCTCCGGAGCGAGGAGCGGCGCGGGGGACCCATGCGGCAGGTTGCGAGGGAATCGCGCACTGGGCCGTACCAGCGGACGAGGGTGGGAGGCGGCACGATGAGGGAGCTCTCGCATGCGCAGAGGGCACAGTGGGAGAGGGACGGCCATTCGGTGGGTTCGCGGTCTACTATGTGGGTTCAGACCTGGACCGCTGGGGACGATAGTGAGGAGGAGAAGGAGTAGTTATTTGTTCTGTTGTTGGTCTCTTAAGTTGCTTTTCATTATTGCTTTGCGTGGCTTTGGTTTAGCTTGTTAATGGTGATTGGATATATGGGCAGGTACGCATATACATGTGGTCGAGATGAAAATACAGTATAATCAGCTTCTACTTCCCCATGAATGTAAGTATTTGGATAGAAACTAGCACCTGATGATCTTGATTAAGACCATATATGTCATCCAGCCATGCACACGCAGAATGAACAGGCAACCCTGGAACTGTGGCTCTGCCTTTCCCAGGCCTTAGGACTACTTAGGGTTGCCTAGTTAGGTTGGAACTTGGGGTCCTCAGGGTGTTGACGTTAAGGTTATTGGTAAGGCCAGGGCCCTTGACGCTTGGGGTTATATTGAATATTATCTTCGAATGCAGGGTGTTGCCTGTTAGCAAAAGGTTCTCTGCACATGGTGCTTCAGTACTGTTTCAACAACGCATAAACCACTATCAACAAAGAAGTGAGACTGATACGGATACTGAACTGGCACTCCTTCTTCCGTATTCTTTCTTCCAAAATACTACCCCATCCACTGTCCTATAAAGCCCGCAGATGAAGATGAGGATGGGTCGTCATTACCATCTGATAGGGTTACGCCGGGTCGGTGTTTGAGCCGTAGGTAGGGTTATGGATTCTTGCAGATAGAGTGGCGTGTCTCTTCTTTAACCTGGGCTCTAGGCTACCGACCAAGAGTCACCACAGTTCCTGTCAACGGGTTAGGGCTAAAGTCGGCCAAATACCAAATCAACCGCGACAAATGACACAACCTCGCTTTCTCGCCACTTCACCCCTCTTCAATTGTTGCCATCACTTTCTCTTGCTTCTTTGGCGCTGGGGACTGACGTGTCCACGCATGGCGCTGCCTATCAGCGGCAGCCTTGAGCTGCAGCATCGACCGGGGTTGGCTGCATCTCACTGGCCGTGGTCGAGACCGCCACACGAGGCTGGATTCTCTCAGCTGACGGCCTTTCCTTCTCCTTTTCCCCTCGCATCAGAAGACGATTGTCATTTATTGCCTCCTCTTCGAACGCCATGACCTGGTGGGACGACTTCTCAAATAACCTCGCGACGGACCTTGCGCCGTTCGTCACACTCTTCGGCGAAAACCCGACGAAGCAGTATCTGAGCGAATGCCTGACCGTCGTCGATGCGATCATCTTTGCGATCGCCCCTCTCGGCGTCATCACCGCCATGGTCTCAGCCATCCGGGTTTGCGGGCCTCCGTCGCTGCGGGCGTTCATCGGGCGAGCACAGGAGGGCGCAGCGACCGCCGAGGCAGAGCTTTGTTCGTCCACAAGCCGCGAGGTTTGCGAGCTGTATAACAACGGCGGCATAGCGAGAGTGCTTGGCCGGTCGAAGATCTTGGAATTCGTCCATGACCGGTTCGACTGTCGGCCGCAAACTGGCCTCGTCTATCGAGCGAGTCGACCAACCGAGGACGGATGGGGCACGGGGATCTACACATTCAAAAACTATGCCTTATGCGATGCGAATTCCGAGTGGGTGGAGGAGAAGAAGCGCGAGAATCATGTGTCACTAGAACAGCAGCGCCACAGGTTTGCGCCAAACCCCAACCTCACGATCAACATAGGGATCCGCGCATACTCGCCCTGGGTGTCGGTGGGTGTGACTGTCATCGGCACGGCCTTGCAGCTTGGTGTCCTGGCGTGGGCTGCAATTGCTCGCTACCAACTCCACTGGACAAGGGGAGACGCCCAGGAGCGGTATGCAGTGCCTACCCTTGTCAGTGGCACAGGCTTGCTAGCCATCGGGATGGCAATGTGCGTGTCGTTGATAGACGGCAGCACCAAGGAGCGTGTATTCCACCGGAGTACGACTGAACACGCACAGTCCAGGATCTACTGGGTTCAACCAGGCACCCAGTTCGTCGGTGACCAGGCATTCGACTCGTTTGCATACAGCCACCCAAACAACAACCTGACGAGATACACCACGTCCTGGAAGAACAACAGACAGCCACCCAGGACGCTTGGGGTATGTGTCTGCGTAGCACTCACGGCCGTGGGCTTCGTCCTCCAGTTCCTGGGCCTCCGGGCATGTCATTCTTCGGTCGCTGTGGCTCAGCTCGGGCTGACGCTGCTTATGAGCACCGCGCGATCGTTCTTGCGGAGCAATCGCATAGCGGAGCGCAATGTGCTTCTCGCGGACAATCCCGAGTACTACGCTGGGCACGAGCTGGACTGGCTTGCTCTGAGGATCGGGCACTTAGATCGCCCTATTCTTCGGCGGAATTGGCAAATGGCGCGTGGCCTTGACTGCAATAGCCTATCTCCCACGGCCGCCGAGCGCAGGTGGGTGAGGCCTGAAAACGTCCGGCTGTCGTGGTGCAACGACACCACGCCCCTGGTATCGGGGTTTGCGACAGGGGATCGCAGGACCAACGATACCAGTGCACTCTGGGGACCTGCGCAGAGGTGGCGATACAACCAGTATTTCCCCCCAGAGAATGAGGGCGACAACTCGACGCGCCTGATGAGCGACAACGCCGCCGTCTTCCTATACCGCGCTCGGCTGGCATACCTGACGCAAGACTGGGGACCGCAGCTGGTCAAGTCGCGAGCTACGGCGCGGTCTCTGTCACTGGCCATTGACGCTACGATGAACCTGCTTTATGACTCGGATGCCATCTTGGCAGCCGGCTGGGAGAGCGTGTCGCTGATGTTCTGGGCCTTCCCCTGTGAAGTGACCGAGTCGGTTGCCATGAAGCACCATGTCGGAGGCGCGCGCCCTGAACCCAAGACCAGCGGTAATGGAGGGCCAGGGTACGTTCGCCTTGCCCTGAGCCGGGTACGCCGTGGCAACAATCAGTTCGGTAGATGGGAAGCAGACACATCGGAGCTGGAAGCCATTCTCGGCCTGGTGGCGTGGTCTCGCGTGGGAGGCCCATCGTACGAGACCTTTGTCGATCGCATCTTTGATATCCGCCGTCGTGGCCTGGAAGATGACGAGGAGACGCTGGCCCGTGCCTGGGGAGGACCAAGCAGCTACATCAGCTACCCCCTCGCCAGTCTTAGGGCTCACAGGCCATACGAACTGTTTGGAGTCCATCACATCCCAGCGTCCGCAGCGGTGCGTGACATGGTGGCCTTCGTGCACATCCGGTCCCTGAGGGTCAATGCGGATAATATTTACTTGGTTCTGGCACAGGAAGTATACTCCGTCTTCTTTAGTCTACTGTTGAACATCGTCCAAGACATCGGAGGGGAAACTACGCGGGTCGGGAAGAAGATCGTCAACAGCAATGTCGAACGCATCCAGCAGGTCTTTGCGGAAAGTGGACTGGGGACTTCTCAGGACGCCCTGGAGTGTATCTTTCCGGCCCTGCTTAGCCAGGCCAAGGTCCCAAGGTCGCCGTGTTAAGTTCTCCACGCCATGTGCCATTCTCTCTCGCCAGGTCTATCGTGCTTTGCCTTAACCCAGTTGTATTAGTCTCCCCTTGGAAAGGCAGTGACGGTTTAGGTAGTTGAGACCACCACAGTCAGGTTACAAGAGACAGTTCAGTTGATATTGAACAGATTCAGAAGTCTATTAAGTCTATACCCAACTCCAGCCCAGGTCTATCTATATACAACCCCAACTCATCAAACGCCTACTGCTCGTTAACCAGAACATAGCGGTAGCGCGCATCACCAGCCTCCATATCCACAATCGCCTTGTTGGCCTCCTTCATCGGGCGCTCCTCAACCCAAGGCTTGACGCCCTTGGCAGCGGCCAGCTCCAGCATCTCCCGGATCGTGTCAGGAGATCCAATAAGCGAGCCCCCAAGCTTGACCCGGTTGGCAATGAGGGTGAACGCAGGGATCGTAAGCGCTCCGTCCTCAGGCGCACCGACCTGGATCATGGTGCCATCAACCTTCAGCAGACCAACGTAGTCGTTGATCGGCATCTTGGAGCTCGAAACCGTGCACACAATCAGGTCAAGAGAGCGCTTGTTGTTGGCCATCCACTCGGTATCCTCCGCCGTCGCAACATACTCATCAGCACCCAGCTTCAACGCATCAGCGCGCTTATCCGCCTTGCGCGAGATCGCAACAACCCGATCCGCACCGAGCGCCTTCGCAAAGAGAACACCAAAGTGTCCCAGTCCACCAATACCGATAATACCAACGGTCTTGCCGGGCCCAGCACCGTAGTGCTTCAGCGGCGAGTACACGGTGACACCACCGCACATCATGGGCGCCGCGTGGGCGGAGGGAATGGCATCGGGGATCTTGACGGCGAAGTGCGCGGGGGACCGGTTGTACAGCGCGTAGCCGCCGTAGGACTTGTCGCCGTTCATGAAGACGCCGTTGTAGGTGCCGGCAAAATGCTTGGTGCAGTAGGGCTCGTTGGAGGCCGCGCATTCGGCGCAGGGGCCCTTGCGGCCGGTGCAGGACTCGCCCTGCGCGCCGACGCCCACGCGGTCGCCGACCTTGATGTGCTTAACCTCGGAGCCGACGCGGACGGCCTCGCCGACGATCTCGTGGCCGACGCAGCAGGGGTACATGGTGGGGCCCTATACGACCATGGTTAGCCTGCCCTAACTAGAGACGAAGGGGGGGAGGGGAAGGGAACATACCCATCCGCTGCGCAGGGTGTGCAGGTCGGAACCACAGATACCAGAGTGAGTGATCTTGATGTCGACGTCGGTCTCCTCCCAGGCCTTGGGCTCGAACTCCTTCCACTGCATCTTGCCCTCGATGGAGGAGGCGTCGAGCCCCATCCAGCCCTCGAACTTGTAGTCGGTAGACATGTTGGCAAAAGGCAAATGTGATGTGATTGGTTGGGTATCAAATGAATAGAAACTGTAATCCAGAAGGTCCTCAACGGTGCTTCTGCTGATACTTATAGGGTTGGGTCTTGCCGTGCCGTATTGCCACGCATGCAAATCTTCTTCAGTCCCGATTACTGATCCTGACGATGATAGCGGTCGATCGGCCCGCTAGAATGTCATCGAAAACGGCTCGGGGTCTGGTTCGACCACTGAGGTTGTCCCAGGGTCCATAATTAAGTCCGGCGAGAGCCACAGTGGGCCCGTAAGCAATTCTATTCTTTGACTTTTTCTGCAGAAACATGGAACGGACAACGCTCCCGCCGTAGCCAGGGCGACTGAGACTCGCCTGCCTGTGCCTGGCCGGAGTTAAGGGTAAGCAGGGCTTTGTGGATCTCGGAGACTTAACGCTTATCTTGTATGCGGTCATTCTTGATGGCGGTGTACTAGGCTTTGGAATCTTCGACGTCTCTATGTAGACTCGATAGAAGGGGAGAACTACGGTTGGAAGGAATCAAAGCAGTTGCAGGAGCTACTTAGAAGAGGTAATGTCAAGCTTCACCGGTCCAAACTAGTGACGACCGTCTGCTCGTTCACCGTGACCTACCACCTGGTGCTCCATAGCTAGTCTACATGAAACAGGTGGCATGATGAACTGCATTCATTGCCGTTATTCCGTATAAGAATCAAGCTGTCAAGACGCGGGATCTACCCGGCTCTGCTCGGATGCACAGGACTCTAATCATGCCATCATTCTATGACCCACTACAAGTACATTCGCCGATATTATACAAAGTCAGGTAATTCAAAGCCCCGCCGTCTCGCCAATGCGCACAACATACTTGTTTGCCTTGGCCTTGCCATCCCTCAGATTACTCAGTGCGGTCTCCAAGCCCCCAAGGCCCCCCGGCACAACCTCATGGGGATGCGGCTTGAACCACCCATCCTGCAATCCCTTGGCCAGATACCGGAAGTAAACATACCCCAAATCCTTCTGATCCTCATGCACACAGCCAACCGAGTTCTTGACTACCTCCACATGCTCCGGAACACCCGGGTAATCCTGGAACGGGAGGACCGTAACGATCTTGCCGCCCGGCGCAACAACCTTACCCAGGTTGACAAAGCTCGATCCCTCGCTCACACAGTCGTAGGTGTGGAAGAGCTGCGCGCCCTTGAGCGCATCCTTGATACCGGCGACAACGGCCTCGTCGCCCTGGCGGTAGTCGATGATGGTGTCGCCCTTCGAGCGGTCAATCAGGTTCTCGACGAAGGAGCCGCTGCGGCCGGCAATGGCGATGATCGGGTGGATGTTGCTCTTGCGGGCGAGTTGGATGGCGTACGCGCCGATTGCGGAGGCGCCGCCGTAGATGACGAGCGGGATGGAGGTCGTGGCCGGGCTCCAGGGGGCTGGGAGGGCGAGGTGGTGGTAGAGGACGGCGACGGAGGTCAGGGCTGCGAGGGGGATGGTTGCCGCCTCTGTACACTGGTCAGCATCTCTTCTCTCTTCAATTCATATAGGCTGATAGAGTGTGGGCTTACCCTCGAACGAGATGGGCTTGGGCAGGTGGGCGGTGGTATGCTGCCAGGCCAGGGCGTACTCGGCGTAGCTTCCACCAGGCTTGGTCATCTCGTGGAAGGCCATGACGCGGTCACCCTTCTTGAACTCGGTGACATTGTTGCCGACGGCCTCGACAATGCCCGCAATGTCGTCGCCCTGGTTGCCAGCCTGGTCCAGCCAGTCTGGGAGTTTCCTGTCGCATTCTCAATTAGAGCTGCCTCAGTCAGCCGATGATAAGGAGCCTACCAGTCTTTGGGGTTCGTCCCACTCACGACGACCTTGATCAGCACCTCGTCCGGGCGCGGGGTCGGGATGGGCGTGTCGACAATCTGGACGGCAAGGCCCTTGGGCACGATGGCTTCCTTCATAGTTGGCATGCTGACAGTGAAATGGTGGTGGATGGGAGATTACGAGCTTCGACCGAGCTTGCCTGGAGCCTCGGATACAAAGTGGGATTGAAACCATCCGAAGCATCCGAGGCTCCTCCACGCTTACAAATCGGGGGGAGGCCGTGTTTCGTCATCGCCTTCCATCCTCTGTAGATCTGGCCGGAACTCGGATGTAGCCCGGGCTCGCTCTGATTGGCTGGGAAGCGGATAAACTGCTAATGGTGGGTCGGCCCGCTAATGCAGCTGGGCTGGCCACTAATGCATGCCGCTTATTCCCAGTCCCGTGGTACGATGACTAAGGTCCCTGGTTCAGCCTCGTGGCAATCCCGCCTCATCCCGGGCCTTAATCGGCAGCAAGTTCTAAATATCAACATCGTTTGGTCCTCGATAGGGTATTAGGGGTTGATCCCAGTCGAAAATGTACGATAACTCCTTCCCCTAGCTATTCCTATTACAAGAACTCTGAACCAGCCATCTCCGTACAATGATTCTCTCATCCATACATATATATCGGCCCACGCCAAAAGCATATATGATCGATTCCCAAGTACCGATCTAGTCTATCAAGTTCCCAGCATTCCTTCGTCCCATTTAGCGGACCATACTATTCATCCAATGTTGCGAATACCCTCATAAGCAACTTACAGGGACCATAAGCATAAGCAAATGCAGGATAAGCCGCCTGCGTGCATTCTGCATCCTGCAGACCTGTGCTCTAGCTTAGTGCTTACTTGCTCCAAATCGATATGGTTCCAGCCCTACAGCTGTCATCACGAAGTCTTAGTCCCGGACTTACGGCAGCCCCCGTCGGAGTCCGTTAAGCTTACTTGGTAGGCATAAGGGCTCTTCGACCTGCCGGACTAGTGCTGCTTCCTGTACACCGCGACGTCGTTTGAGAATCATACGAAGCAGTCGGGTTACATTCATCTTACCAATCCTCCCTCCTATCTTGCCACACTATCAACCGGCATCTGCGGGAGCTCACTCCTCGTAACCCTCCCCTCCTTCAGCGCCGCCAAAATATCCTTCACCTGTCCAATCTCATTTTCCATTCCCATCATCCTCGCTTGATTCACATTCGCGCTACGCAGCACGCTAAGACTCGATTGCATACGCGCACGGATCGAGAACTCGTTGTTCTGGAACACCTGCATCGATCCCATGAGGTCAGACCCAAAGCATACAGTAAGTCCGGCCTTCTCTGCTATCTCAAGCGAGCGTAGTCCGGACTCCATTACGGCAATGTTCTTCGCCATTAGGTCGGATGTGATCCATTGGTCAAAGGGGGCTTCATGAGCGTGTGGGATGTTGCTAGTGTCGGTGTAAAGAAGGCGTCCGTGCTCCTAGGGCTGTTTCGTCGTTAAGAAAGTTCCCGTGCACCATTCTTGACCGCGTGTTGCATCGCCCGCGGTGAGTAGGCGTGCGCGGTAACGTAGGTATCAAACGATGCTGCAGTCAGCGCAATGGCAGAGACTTCCTCCGGGAGAAACTGTGCATGGGCAAGGTGGTTGAGTCTGCTCGAGACTCCACCGCCAGCCATGATCTTAATGAAGTCTGCGCCCTTGCGCATCTCGTCTCGTACGGCCGTCATGCAGTCGGCTAATCCGTCGCAAAGCCGGCTGATTCCTGGTTTCCGGCCTGCCCAGCATTCGTCGTCGTGGGCTTCTCGCTGGTCGCCGTGCCCGCCAGTCTGGGATAAGGCGTGACCGGCGATGTTGAGTCGGGGCCCGATGATCAACCACTCTGCAATTGCCTGCTTTAGTGCTGCGTCTGCACCGCCACAGTCTCGGACTGTCGTGAAGCCACGGGCGAGCATCTCTCGTACGACGTATGTCGTCCGGTAGTGGTTCATCGATGCGGGAATCGCCTTGTATGTGTTCTTTGGGCCTTGTTCCCCTGGAGTGGCGGTGACGTGCACCTGGGCGTCTATTAGGCCTGGACACAGAAACAAACCTTGCAGGTCGATGATCTGTTCGTATTCATTGGCAATGACAGTCTTGACTTCGCCTTTAACTGCATCGATTATGTTGGCATTGACCAGCCGATATATTTTCGGAGGTGTTAATAGCCAAGGCATGTCGAAATTAGGCACGGTGTGCGCCTGGAGTTGGGTCATCGCAGAGATCACGAGATGGATAGTCAGAGAGTCTGGTAGGAGCCGGAAACAAATCCGACGATGCCTCCAGATTTCGCCCAGAAGTATGATCCTGTCGGCGTGGAAGATGGTACATTGATAATTGGTCATATATTATCGCCTATCACGACCTCATATCAGACCGCAGCCGGGTACACGCACCCGTATCACACCTAGATAGGGCTATCGCGATACCCGACTGCTTCCCCTTGGCAGTGCTTGGGGCTAGATATCTGCTTAAGCGGTAGTCGCTGCCAACAGTGGTATAAAGATCTCCAACAAGACCCCTCCACTCCCCTTCGTTCGTTCGTTTCTCCAAACCCACATCGAAGGGCCGTCTCCAATACAAACAACACCATGGAAAAGACCGAGAAAGCCGTCGACGAAGTCGCCACGAGCCTCAGCGATGGCGATCAGCAAGTTCCAGTTCACATCGATCCAGCGGTCGAGAAGAGGATAGTTCGCAAGATTGACCGGGTTGTCTTGCCACTCATGTGCACGGTGTAATCTTTCTGCTTATTTGGGACTTGCCACACCGAGTACTGACAGATCAGATCTTGACAAGCAGGCCGTTGCTTACGCCGCCGTCTTCGGCTTGAGGGAGGCCCTCCACCTCACCAGCAATGAATTCATGGGTCGTCAGTTTCTACTTGGGCAACTTGGCTGGGAGTACATCTTCATCTACATCATGAGTCGGCTCCCCATTGGGAGATTCGTCGCCATCGTGATGCACGCTCTCTGACAGTCCTGGCAATTGCCACATTGATTGCTGATAGTCCGCTTTTTACTGGGTACCTGCGAAGGAGCTGTGTCGCCGGCCTTTGTGATTATCAAGCAGCTGGTACAAGAAACAGGAGCACCTCATCCGAGTCGCGTACGTCAGTCCACCACTAATACTCTTCGTTTAGGACTGATAGTATCCATAGGCCGGCAACATTGGTGTCGCGGTTATCTCCGCGAGCAATAATTTGGGGGTTGTCATCTCTCCTGACGCTTACAAGCAGCATCTCACCCGTCATGGTCGTGCTGGCCGTTCGGTGCCGTCTCGCTGCGTTTGGCTAGATTGACGCACGAGGAGCTAGCCAAGTGAGCTACCGACCTGGAAGGTGAATCACCAAACCTCATCCCTCGGGTAGTCCCTGCTTATACTCCTCCAGCTAACGCTCAAGTTGTCGATAAGCCGTCAACGTTCATCGGCTTCCCGTTGAAGTTCAGCCCGGGCATGACGACTGGAAAAGATGCATCGATTTCAGAGTCACTAGTCGACAGTAATCAGTCCACCTCAAACCAAATAGTACCTGTTGATTCAGTCAATGAGTCGAGCTGGGGGTTGGTTCCCACATCAGCAAATTGGCTTTGACAGAGATAAACTCCGCGGCGCGGAAGAGCATTCAACAAGGCAGTCTTACGCGTTCTGCCCTGGTTAACAACTGTCAAAGATAGAGTTGAAGCATCAGGCAGCACCAGGCTTCCCGCCCTGGTATTGCCAGTGTCTGCTCTTGGTGCAAGGTTCCCTGGTCAGCCTATTATAGAAGGCCAGGAGGCTCTCCAGGTCCTGTAATATATCAGCAATGCCGCTGAGCACCAACTCACCGATGGCATGGTGAGTTTCCGTCTAACTTTACCCTAGTAGGTCTATAACTTTCGAAGCTTTATGTATTGAATGTCAGTCAATGATCATCGGTCAAGCGCCACAGCCCTACCTACGCGATCCTCACTCTCTTCCTTCGCTCGAGAGGGACGGTGAGCCTCTTGTGTCGTCCATGGATCTCCCGGCCAGTCTTGGGGCCAGAAGGCAGGTGCTGGAGGCATACTGGGAACCCTAAAACCGCTGCTATCGCCATCTTACTCCAACATGGAGATCGGAGTTAGTCTTCTTTAGGGATCGCGGTCCAAGTACGGAGCAAGTCCCTCTTAAGAGAGCCATCAGATTTGACATGGGCAACTCAGAAACTACACCGATCCTGACTCACTGTCAGATACAACACCATGCATATGCCCGAAAGAATAACAATCGGGGGAGGTGCCGAGATCCCCCGCATGATCTCTGGTCTTTGGCAGCTGGCCGGTGGCCATGACCGAAATGTCAAAATTGAGACTGCGGCCGCTCGTTGACGCTGGGCTGGACTGCTTCGACATGGCAGATCACTACGGCGATGCCGGTATATTGGCGACGTGCATCCTGAGCTTGAGGTCTTCTTCTAGTGACAGTAGAGCTGGTGATGGGCAAGTTCCGGGCGACATCCGCCAGGAGAATGACGGCCTTGACGAAATGGTGCCCACCAGAGAACGGCGACAAGTTGTTGGAGCAGGCCAAGAAGCAGTTGATCGTGCACTCGAGCGCATGAGACGGAACTAGATTACTCTCTGCAGTACCATATCTGGGACTATTCGGACGACACTTACTGGCATAATGGTCCACCTTCAGAAGGTGCAGAGTCAGAGGAAGATCAACCCTTCTCGGTGGGTATCTGAACGAGCGATGGCTGGATCAGCCAGAGCCGCCGGACATGGGCGCACTGAATGAGAGCTTTAGGAAGTGTTTGCGCTTTATCCGGGCTGCGGGAGGATGGCAAGCATTCCAAGGAGTACTTAGGGCTCTCTGCACGGTCGCGCAGAGGCATGCTGTCAGCATTGCAGCTGTCGCGACTTGCTACGTTCTCGATTGGCCGCGAGTCAGGCAAGTACATGGAACGAAACCTGTTGGCGCTTTCCTTTTGATTGGCGTACCACGACCATGCCCTTCTATCCGAGGCGCAGGAAGCACTCACCCATATTTCTGGTGACCTCGGAGATGAATACAGATGAGTGCCTCTTCTGACGGCGACTGGCGACCTCTTTGACCACCTTGAGGAAAGCAAGGATCAGGAACTCAAACAAGCCATAGCAGCTGGTATGAGGATAGAATCTTCATCTGGTGGCTAGAAACCCATGGCCGTGCGTTCGACGGAATAAGGCCATAGACAATTCAACTGACTGTCGAACAGGGCTACTGGCGAGCCGTGCGTACAGGCGACTACAGTTCAGGTCTCGGGCGCAACAGCCAACAAGCTTGTCCTCCAACATCCCAGTCTTAGGTGGTAACTCAGCCTCTTGCTAAACGGTCGTGATCCTCGATATTATAGCCTGCGCAGTGAAGGCCTTGGGGGGACAGATATCGGAAGTAGTCCGGACCTGGATTACGGTGGCAGATGAGGCTGGCTGTGAGGCCGTCAGTCGGGCGCATGGTTGATTTTTCAATTGTGAGGATGTTCGGCCAGCGAACACTTTCATTACTGCTGGGTTAGCTGGCCCAGAGTTCCTGGTTGAGGTTGAGACTGAAGCGCAAGTAGGGTGTAGCGGGGTGCTCAGGATATGGAACGTTTCGTGGTGTGATCAAGCACCGCATACCTACTTACGGTCTTTTTCGTATCCTCATATTCGCACACCCTACGGAGCAAGCCCATTCGTCTCAGGCCAGAGGGCCATGGTCTGTATTTGATTGACCAGCTTAAGGTGGGGTAGGCTGCACCTCGTATATTCTCGATGCGAGTCAGCTAAGGCGTTCGGGCTCGTTTTTCTAAGAGTCCGGTCACTCCGGTGGCCGGCTAAGTTGGCAGGTCCTCTCGAGCACCTTAGTCTTCAGCTGGGAAAACATTGGGCGCGCATCGCTACCATGACCGGCTGTCTGTGGGCTCAGATCCAGAGCTTGAATATGGAGTATCGCCATGCACCCCAGAAAAGCAACTCTGCAAGCTGCACATGCCTTCACAATCACACAACAAATGAGCGGATCACAGTCACAGACCCAACATTTGGCTCACCGCTGTGCCAACCCATGCTTCGGCCGTGGCCTTCAGCTGGGGCTGGCTGAGAGTCGAGTCAGGGCACCGACCTGTCCAATGGCCACCAGCCAAGCCTGCATGCAAGAGGGTCACCTGTCGATCCTGCACGTTTGGGTTGCGATCATTGGGCCGGTCCGATCCTTGTTTGTCCAACATTGTCTGCTTCAAGGTAAGTGACCTGTCGATCCTGCTGCAGCTTGGGCTACGGGGTAGAATTGGATTTTGGGCTGGCTCTATCTTGCCTTCGGTGGGCACTAGATAGGTGTTGTTCCTTAAATGCCCGCTTTGGAGGTGGTTACGGCAATGTGTATTATGGCCGGAGTCGCTCCAAATGTCGTTTGATGAAGCCTGATCGTTCCCTCGCAGGACGGCCGAGTGTGGGATGGAACTGGAAACCAAAGAGCCCTCGCAGCTGCACGGGCCTGCTTCAGGGTTCTTCAAGATGCAGATCAGGATGGGCCGTGGCTGCACTATGTCCCAATAGCCAATCGAACGAAAATTGGTGTCTCAGCTGCAGGTTCAGGCGAGGGCGAAGGTGCAGATCTCGCTGATGGAGAGTGCTGTCTTCCGGCCAGGCCGCACTATAAAGCCTTCGTCCTCCATCAGGGAGCTTTGTGATTATCAGGACTTCTTACCTCTTCGATCCATCCTAACCTCATTCTCAGCTCGCCCAGTCATGCACTTCCACAATATCCTGCTCGCCCTGAGCGCTGTGGCGCCTGCCGTCTTTGCCCAACGTGGTGAGCAAGAGGTAAGACCAGTTCCATCCATATGTCAGTGTGGACAACTTACCAACAACCATAGGCCCTCTTTCCCAGGCGATGCCTCCCAAACCCCTGTGAAGGAATCACCTCCGTCAACGACACCTACGTGTGCGGAGACCCCCGTCTGGGCCCCGTCCGGTACCCCACGAGGTTCCCCCTGCGCAATGAACTGCGCACATACGCGCGCTTCGGCACCCTGTGCCCAGCCGAGTTCCTCGAGAAGTGGGCGACATCCGTCAACACCAGCGGCACATACATCTACCCGCCCGCGAACGGGTTCGTCGTCGACGACGAGGAGGCCGTCATCATCGGCAATGTCACGCTCCCTGTCGGTCAGAAACTCGACCGCTTCGGGTCGGAGTATGGCACGTTCCTTGCGCCACTGGGTGCGCCATACATTGAGCGATCGCTGCCACCGAGCAACCTGATCACGTACGACGGGAACTATCCGTTCAACTACCATGTGTATCAGGTTGAGAAGGAGTTTGTTGTAGGGCTGGGGCCTATTGCGCCGTGGTTTGAGCAGCCCGGGATGGGGACGCAGTTTGTGGCGTATACGAATGTGCTGGGGTTGATTGAGGGCGGCTTTCTGAGGAGGCTGGAGGAGACTGAATTCGATGAGCGAGTCGAGTACTCCAACTCTTATACCGACGGGCCCAATGAGTAATGGCTGGTAGTTGTTGGTAGTAATGCTTAATCAAAGCTTTATGGCCTGTTCGAAGTGTAGGCAACTGGATGGTGGCGAAGGCTGATCCTGCGGTACAGTACGGTACGGTACTGTACCGTACAGTACAGTCAGCCGGATTCTGCTGACTAAAATCCTCGTGACATTTCCGTCTGTGTTCGACTTCCTCCTACGCCACCAAGGACACAATGGACAACACATCGCAAGGTCAGAGACCACGAAAAACTCGGACGCGAATAGGCAGCGCGTGCACGCGGTGTCAGAGACGGAAAATCCGAGTAAGCGTTCCCGTCAGCTCCTTCGCCTGCCTGTCTGACAGGGCCATAGTGTGACACCTTGTCCCCAGCCTGCAGTGGCTGTCAGCGAGCAGGCGTGCCATGCATCGGCGGAGGAGGCGCTTCACGCGAGTTTTCTCAGAGGTACGGCATTGCATCCCCATATCAAGAACAGCCACTGACCCCGCCCTGAAGTTACGTTGCCGATCTAGAGTCTCGAATCAAATGGCTCGAAGCCATTGTTCAAGAGCACGTCCCCAGCATCGACGTGACTGCTGGACCAGGCCATTCGCCTCGCATTGAGGGGGCCATTCCATCCGGTGACTGGAACGCCCCGCAGCGCACTCAGGAAAGCTGCGAGACCAGAGATGTTGAATCCCCCGACGAGATCACGGATCAGATTGGACTGGTCTCCATCGCAACTGGGTCAGATCTGCGCTACCTGGGCCCGTCGAGTGGGCTGTTCTTCACCAAGTTTGTCCTGGCTGGGCTTGGAAAGCGACTTGATGCCGACAAGAACCCCATCCCAGGTGCCAAACCTGATGCTTTGGCCGTTCCGTCCGATCTCTTGGTTCCCCAACCGAAGGAACTGCCTTCCGATCCCAGGCATACGCGATGGCTCTCCCATGCTTATTTCGACATTGTTCACCTTCAATTTCCGATTCTACACGAACCTTCGCATTGGGAAACCATTGAAAAGATCTACGCCGACGCTGAGGTCACCGCGGTGCACAAGTTCCAGGTTTTGATGGTCATCGCAATAGGTGCATCCATACTCTCCCACCGGACAAAGGTCATGTTATCAGCCGAGGGCTACTTCGCTTCTGCCATGAAACTAGTGGATGCCGTAATGAAGTCTTCATCGCTTGGTGTCGCGCAATGCATCTTGCTTCTTCAGATGTATGCCCTCAACAACCCAACGTCAGGGCTGAGCCTCTGGACTCTTCATCACCATGGACTGGCACTGGCAATTGAGCTGGGTCTGCATCGAAATGTGCCAGCGAGTAATTTCACGCCCTTGGAAAGGGAGGTCCGCCGCCGGATCTTTTGGTGCACCTACACAATTGACCGGCTCTTGAGCACGCTGATGGGACGACCGATGGGCGTGGTCGATGAGCAGTGCGATCTCAACGTATATACCAACTGTTTGCTCCGATTCAGACCAAAGCTGACTCTCCTAGTACCCGTTAGACATCGACGATGATCAGCTCCGGACGGAGCATCCGAAATCTCGACAAAGCAACGACCCACTTACCAACATGACCAGCGCCGTCCATCTCTTCAAACTGGCCCGGTTCAACAGTGAGATCAAATGTGTCCTGTACTGCGTTGATCGACAATATCCCCCATACACACAGCCGGTCGTCACGGACGCAGAGAGCTGGAAAGTTGACATTCTGATGCGCTTGCGACAATGGCGTGAAGACATCCCAAGACATCCGGAAGCAAGTCCACGGTCCTACATCAACCTTATCAGTGAAATCAAGTATCATGAACTGGTCATGCTAGTCCTCCGACCAAACCCTCGCTTCCAGAACCCCGACAAGGCGTCCCTCCGAGAGTGCTTTTCCAGCGCCATGACCTGCAGCGAGCTGTACCACCAGCTGTACACTGCCAATTCCCTGCATTACGGATGGATCAGCGTCCATTCCCTTTTTCTATGCTTAATGGTCATGTTCTACTGTGTTTGGACCCCCCAGGGCATAGCCGAGGAAGCAGATCTCGACTCTCTGATGCGGGCGTTAAAGGCTTCATCAGACGTCCTCAGCGCTATGGGCGAGTACTGGCCGGAGGCAAAAAGAAGTCGCGACGTCCTCGACCGTGTTTTAATGGCAACAATTCGACGCTTCACTCGCCACTCGAGCACAATACAACGCAGTCCTATGCCTTTGGGCTCACAGGGTTCCATGACTATGCAATCGCTTTTCCCCTCCGATAACACCGCCGAGGGGAGCTACACGAACGTGTCTGCAAACCCTGCCCCGCCACTTCAACACGAGGATGCGGGCGCGGGTGCTGATCTATTTGGTTCCAACTACGGAGACCTCGAGACTTCGTTCGCGTCTACAGATCTACTCTCTCACTTCTTGGGCTCCAGTGCAGATGCGATAATGGGCTATTCGTATGATTTCGAACAACTTGGGGACAGAGAGGCTGCGGGGTGGATTGGCGAAAGTCTGCGTGATTTTGGGCGTCCATATTAGTTCTTAATCACTGGGTTATGGGCTGTTAAAGAAAAGTCTTTTGAATCAATCAAAACACTATGCTCATCCGTTCTTTACACACAGGCGCCGTAAGCCTACATATTGAGGCAGAGTTTGGGCAATGGTAATAGTATCCATCTGGCATGTCGGGTGCATGTGCGTGAAACTTGGATATATTGTTTACAGTCACCTGCGACCACCGATGCCAATGGCGGTCTTTGCACCATGCCTCTGCTCGTTCTGCCATGTCTTGGGGTATTGAACGCTAAGCCCATTGCCAAATGCCTCTCGAGTCGCCACTGGTCAATGAGGGGATGATTTCTGTTCATTTAAGTCCAAATCTAAGACTAGAATTGTCAATTCAGAACCGAGCAACTTGATGTTGAAGAACGGCCTTGAAGACGAGTTGAATGCCCTGGCAGCACTCGACCTCTCAGCCCGGTATTCCCGATATCACTCCGGTGATACGCCTTGTTTCAAGCAGGTCCAGGTAATATGCTAGGAATGCGTAAGTTGTCAAAATGCAGAGGAACCGCTTGGTAGAGAGATGAGTATACCTCCAACGCCCCACTGGCGGCCGAGCCCTTCCATTGCTTCTCGCACCGTCTCTACATAGCCATCGACGAGCACAGCGGTGTTAGTTTCCCGGATGTTGTTGTACGCAATCACAGACCGGTACATCCAGTCTAGGAGCAAGGGAGATGGGGCATGCGCGTCAGAAGGCAGGAGCCCTTTCAAACGTCGGGCGATGGGTAATGTCACCTTGGAGGTGAGCTCAGTAACTTCGCGGTAGCAATACTGGGCACTTTCCTTGTTGGCACTGGGGAAAGCCAGAGGAAATGAGTGCAGAAGCAGGAGAGCACTAGGACTTCTTGTTACTATGAGCCGCAAGATTCTAAGCAAAGGGTGATTGCCTTGATGTGAACGCCACTGGCGAGCAATATGCAATGCCGCACCGCTGTTCCTCCGCTACGGTAAGTGACAACAATGACCGCAGGGCATGATCGAGTAAGCTTTTCTCAGTGTCGAGGAAGTGAGGATCGGCCTGCGTATCGCCGATGTGGCGCATGACACGGGCCAACAGATGGGATGCCTGCGCCAGTCTGGCGAATTTGCCCAGCTTGTTGTTTGCAGGGGCGGACACTGTGTACGGTGATGGGCAGCCTGTCTGTGACAAAGCTGGCCGTACTCCACTGTTCCAATCCTCGTCCGAAATAGGCAGAAAGTGCTTCTCGCAGGGATCCGGAATACAGAGATGTCTTCTTGGAGAATCAATGTTCATGTGCCTTTGGTGTCTGTTAGCAGAAGCATTCTCTCACACATTGACGTAGCCACCATTACCTCTCCAGTATCACAACGGCCCACCAGGCGCGATGTTTCTCTTCCATGGCTGCCCAGCCTGACTCGGTGTGATCCCAAAGAAAGATGTCTCTGTCTAAACCGAGGGCGACTGCATACCTGGCGCATGCCCCAATTGTGAGGAACGCGGCAGGGTATATGCCATGGCCCAGCTCGTAGAGTGAAACTAGAATCATGCATTGAAGCACCGTGATTGTCAAGACGCCAGCTTGCTCCAAACAGACAAGATTGTGTTTGAGCGAGGAGTATGTCTTCTGAAGGGGTTGAGAGTGCTCAGACTGTTGGGGCAATAAGATGGACATACACACAACTAACAGTTTCAGGTCAGGCTCCTCCTGCAGCGGTTGATGCAGGATAACCCCATAGAACTTGCTGCGGGAGAGAATCGGCAGCCAGAGATGGATCGTGCGGAAATACTGGCTCGCAACATGCCGGGCAGAGTCGGCGCTGCCCAGACCGTCAAGGTCACCTAGAGAAAGAGATACAGGGGGCTTCTGGATATTCAGTTGGCAATGAGTGAACAACTGGCGGTCGAGGAAGTACGTGGCAGGGAAAGTATTGCGAGGCGCCTCCTGTTCGACGTTTTCACGCGAAGAAACCTTGGGCGGCACAGCTGAGCCACCTTCATACCTGCATCGACGGCTTGTCCTGTCGGGGTCAGCCAGGCACTGGACCGTACAACAGAGCGACTTGCCTTCGACACAATGCACACTCTGGCAGCTCTCGGCCGCATCGTCTTTTCCGAGCCTGGCACGGGCAGCAGGGGCGAGGGGCCAAAAGATCCATCCTTCGACTTTCTCCAGACATGATCGTCAATCGATTGAACAATATGTGGGAGCTGGAGGTTCACGGACTGGGCCATGGGCAACAACAGAGTCCAAAGAAAAGCAATGCGCCGCACGACAGGGGAAGCGGCGCACTGTCCTGCACATCAGCACAAGCGGCGCACTGCGGAAAAGCGCCGCACAGGTGGGGAGTCCTACTTGGTCTATCGAATCGGGACCATACTGAGGTATGGTCGTAGTTTACGGCTGATGGCTGTTGGCTCTCTCCTACATCTGGTCCCCTCGACCCCGCGTCAACCACCTTGGAGGAAGCTCGCTTAGTACAACTCGGTGTCTCAGGTTGTGGTATAAAGTACAGTGATATCTCCCTCAACCAGTCTTATCTGTTTCATCCACATTTCTTTAACTCACCATGCCTCTCTACGAATTCGAGCACGCTATCCCCCTTCAGGAGCCTGAAAAGCAGGCGATAGCCCACGGCATCACAGAGTTCCACGCCAATACATTCCATGCTCCACGCTATATTGTGAACTGCCGGTTTATCGATGTCTCTCATGGGCCATTGTCCGATACTTTCGTGGGAGGCAAACGCCGCCAAATCAACCGCCTCTTCGTCACCTTGCGGAGTGGAACCGGTCGGACCGCAGACCAACTGCGTGGCTTGATGGACAGCGTGAATGCCGTCTGGGATGAGATTGTTGCGGGTGGTGGATGGGAGAGGCAGCTGAGAAGTGTGTACATCAAGGGCTGCATCGATGCTGCGAAGGAGGGCGGCTTTCACCTTCCACTGGTAAGTAACAGCCCTTATACCATTGAGGTGGTGGCCTGCTGAACAACCCCAGCCTGGATATTTCGCACAATGGGTGAAGGACAACACTGTCCAGTTTCAAAGACTGGCCGCAGAGGGTGATCCAGACATGGTTCAGCTTGTCGAGGACATCGAATCCCGGCCAGAGTTCCAGGAATAAACCATGCTGTGTTTCTACTCTATTCAGCTGATCTTAGTAATATATTCTACAAATTGCAATCGCATGATTTCCCGAGACACGGGGGGCTCCGTCTTGCAACGGATATCCCGCTTCCCTCTTGACAAATGCCAAAAGACTTCATCAGATTTGTCATCGACTGCCATGGAATCTTCTATTCGAGATCTGGCTTGACATCCTTCCTATAAAGTCTTATAATGCCAGGAATTGGAATTATTGTGCTCAACTTCATCAACTCTCTTACAACCCTTCGATAGACCTTCTCCTCGGACCCTCCAACATGGCTCCTAAGATCTTATTTGTCCTGACCAGCTGTGGCGAGATGGGCAATGGCAAACCCACTGGATGGTATTTGGTTGGTTTCTCCGTCTTCCACGAGCGCAGGAAAGAGGATCACTGACTGCATCCATTAGCCCGAGTTTGCTCGGCCCTACTACTGCCTGGTCGGCGACGATGAGACCAATCCAAAGGCTGAAATTGTCGTGGCCTCTCCTGCGGGGGGTGTGGCGCCCATCGATCAAGGCTCCGTCAAGAACTTCCAGAACGACCCCGTCTCGGTCAAGTTCTTCGAGTCCAAGAAGAAGCTGTGGGAGACAACGAAGCCCTTGAAGGATTTCCTCGGGAAGGCATCCGAATTCGACGCCATCTTTTACCCCGGCGGCCACGGACCCATGTTTGACCTGGTCAAGGACAAGAACTCTCTCCAGTTAATTGAAGAGTTCTACAAGGCCGGCAAAACCGTTGCGGCAGTCTGCCATGGCCCCATTGTGTTCGTCAATGCCACTGTGGACGGCAAGCCCCTTCTTGAAGGCCGCAGGGCAACCGGATTCAGCAACGCCGAGGAGGATGCTGTTGGTCTGACTGCGGCTATGCCTGTCCCATTGGAAGATGAGGTCAAGCGAGCCGGTGGCAACTACGTCAAGGCCGAGCAGCTTTGGAAGGAGATGGTGGTGGTGGATGGGCAGATCGTCACCGGCCAGAATCCCGCATCTGCTCAAGGAGTCGGTGCTGCGTTGGCCACCGCCGTTGGTGGGTACGACCTCTGGATTCCGCTGCATGCGTACTGATTGATTGGGAATAGGTCTCTAGTGCAGCTGAGCGCATTCCAGACTTCTTAGGTGACCAAATCGGTTCGAAGCAGCGCAGTGGGACCGGAGGATGTCATTGTTTTACTATGTTAGCATTGTTCGGTGATTCCTCTATGTCTTAATTCAACTTTGCTAGATATTCTCTATGGCTACAACTAGTAGCATGTGCACGATTTCCATTAACGCATGCCAAACCCAGTAGCTCTTCCCCAGAACGCCTGGTCGTGGTGGACAAGGGTCATAGGATTCCACAAGCGTAAGTCTAGAGATAGAGTCTATGGCTTCTTTGTTGTCCGTGTCTATTCTGTTCAGTCTTGGATATAGTTTGGCTGAGTTGAACTAACTAGTTATGACAATGACAAATTTGTGGTACAAGAGACCTCAAGAGCCGTAACAAGATCTACAGCTACATGGTCGATCAACATGTTTCATAATCTAGTTTCTGTATACAACTAGGAGAACTGATGCTATTGCACTTTGCCTCTGGTATCAACGGACCAGATTTCCTCAATGACTCCGTTTCGGTGCGCATAGTAGAAGTCATGCAGGTTGATGGTTGGGTCAATGTGGCTGGGAATCATCTCGACCCTGTCGCCAACCTGCAAGTCAGGCACCCCATCGTCCCAGCTCAGCGAGCCGTGCTCATCCCCCAGGTTCCTATGTTGATACCTGGAGTCCTTGCATTCGGCCAAGCCGCTATCGGTAGTGAGGGTCTTCAGGCCGGCGTCGATGGTGACTTGCCGGTCACCCTGCTTGCTGATGACGGTGGAGAGGAGAGTCAGGCTGTTGGAATAGAATGTTCCCACAGCGTCGCGGTAATCCGTATCCATGAAAATAAACGATCCGGGCTGCAGTTCCGTCACCCCAGGCACCATCGCACAGAACTCCGCCGTACCGGTTCCTCCTGTGGTAACCACTTGGATATCGAAGCCTTCCTTTCGCAGCATCTCGGCGGTATCGACCAGGGTCTTCATAGACTGTAAACACCGGGCTTTGCGATCCTGGCGGTCGTGAAGGTGCTGCAGGTGACCCTCATACCCCTGCACCCCGATCAAGCGCATATGGGGAAGTGTAGCGAGATGCCTGGCGAGGGCAAGAGCTGGTTTCCCCGCAGCAACGCCGGTGCGTCCGAGTCCGACATCCAGGTCGATCAAGACGGAGATGGGCTCCGACACGCCAGACCGGGCGAGCTCGTCGTTGATCGCGGTCGCACCAGCCTCGCAATCAACCACAATACGGATATTTCGGTACGTCTTGAACAGCTCAACAAGCCGCTTGACTTTGGGCTTGCCAATGATCTCGCAAGTGATGAGGATGTCGTCAAATCCCGCGGCGGCAACGATCTCCGCCTCAGACACCTTGGCAACGCAGCAGCCTTTTGCCCCTGCATCTTCGAGTTTGCGTGCAAGAGCCACGCTCTTTGTGGTCTTTAGATGCGGCCGGATGTTGCAATTAGATGGCCGGAGAGTGTTGAACAACTTCTGGATGTTGCCCTCCATCAGGTCGAGGTCAACGATCATGGACGGGGTGTCGAGGCTATCCAGCCTGTCTCCGACGCGAGGACAGTACATTGTGGCCTAGAGCTGCTGTTCGTCAGATGGAAAGAATAAAGTTGGAGTTCAAACAAGAGACACCTACTCGAGTTATTGATGCTGAGGCAGGAATGAGTAGGAACTCGATACCGAACAAAACAGACAAGAACTGAGATAGGTAGGGATGTTCTGAGCAAACTGCTAGACACAGGCGATTTTGGGCTTACTTATCCCTTTTCTCCATCGCATTCTTCCTCCTGATTACACCGGGTATCCGTTATCAGTTGGAGTATGTTTTGGGCACTTCTCCACCTTTCGTCTACAGCAGGACTACACCCTCTGACTGTCTAACCCAGTCTCACAATAGACAGGCGTAAGGGTCCATCAGTAAAGAGAGGGCACTACGAATCAGCATAAAGGGTCCACGGGTAAAGAGAGGGTCCCTTGCCTCCAATTGGAAGCGGACTTCTCCGTCTCGGAGCGGCTTTTCCGTGTCTTAACATCCAGAGGCACAGACGGAAAACTCCGTGGTGGAGACTTCTGATTCGGAGATACGTAGGATAACAGTCAGAATCGCCTACACAATAACATTGCATGCATGATTCCTGCAGGGTAGCTAGCAGACAGAGCGCTGGGAAAGGAAAGTAGAGCAGAGTCATGCACTTCTAATCGAAGACCAAAACACTGCGGAATCGAACGGAGCCTGATGCCATGTGGTCCACGGCCTTCGGAGCGTCCTGAAATGCAAACCGCTCGATCATGCTCCTGACGCCAAAGGTCTTGGCGAAGTCGATGGTATCCTCAGCATCCAAAGCGTTACCCGTGATCCAGCCTTGGATTGCAGAAGCCCCCGTGATGAGATCGTTCGTATTGAACTCCATGGACCCAGATGGGGATAGGAGGAGCATCTTCCCGGATGGTTGCAGCGCTGCCGTCAGAGGGGTAACAGCCTTGCCGTGGGAAGTAGTGGCGAGGATGAGCGCTGCACCACCCAACCTTTGGAGCACCTTGACCGCATCCTCCGAACCGGTGTCAATGTACTCGTGGGCGCCGAGCTCCAGGGCCAAGTCCCTCTTGGCGGCGCTGGAGCTGAGAACGGCAACCTTGTAGCCCATCTTATGAGCGTACTGGATAGCCATATGACCCAGACCACCGATGCCCTGAATCGCTACCAGGCTACCCTGTTCGATGTGCATCTTCCGAATTGCGTTGAAGACGGTTAGCCCTGCGCAAAGCAACGGCGCGGCCTCAGCAGGGTCTATGTCTTTGGGGACGCGAACGGCCGCCTCTGAGCGAAGCAAGACGTACTCCGCGTAGCCACCATCGCGGCTGGCTCCGTTGTATACAGCATTGCTGCATGCTTGGGAGAGCCCGCGGCGGCATGACCGACAGACGTTGTCGTGGCCTACCCTCTGTCGTCAGCATACCGTTCACAGCTAGTACATGTAGAATTGCGAACAAAGGGAATAGGCTTGTACTCACCTCCAAGCCATGCTCCACCAACTCGTTGGCCGAGAGAAAACCCTTGGACTCCCTCGCCAATGGCAACAACGTCGCCAATAATCTCGTGGCCAGGAACGCGGGGGAAGAGGTTGTCGCCAAAATCACCCTTCTGGACCGCAACGTCCGTGAAACAAACGCCACATGCGCGAACTTGTACAAGTATTTCTCCCGCAGCAGGTAACTTCAAATCAATCTCATGGAGCTCAAGTGGTCCGTCTACCGACGCGATTACCCAGGCCTTGTAGGTTCTTGGCAGGGCCGGCATTGCGGAAGAATCGACAATGTTGGCGATGATACAAATTGGGACCCTCATCGAGACCTGACGCACTCCTAATTTATTGCAAGGCATTTGGTGGCCCACAAGTTGATCGTTTCCGTCCTCCGGGCATCCCGTTCAGTTTCGGGACTGTCGGGGATCACGGAGTACCCGTTGGCCCTTTTTTGCCCCGGTTTCTTCTCCAAGGCACCGTTCGATCCTGATGAAATTGCATGTAGCAAGGCGACTCTCACTTTGTGTGTGGTCCGGAATTCCCGTGAGGCGCCAGAATCCGGCCCGGAACACCGGTCAGCACAGTGACAGCCTCCTCGGTGCGCATACCCCTAACCTTCCATTGCTGGGGCGGTCACTTCTCCAGAGCGGACATTATTCTATACTTGCCTGGCTCACGATATTGTTGTAGCCTTGCTCAGTTGGCAGGTCCTCATTTCCACGTACCTTCTGGATAACAGTTGCGGCTGCGTCGACCAAGGGCTTTCTGGTCTCGTACTACTGCACATTCGCGCTGTCTGCCCTGATAGAACTGATGTGAGACCTCGGGCGAAGGGGAACATACACTGCAAATGCCATTACCGATGACACAATCGACACAAAATAGAAGGACAATGCATGATTACGTGCAGTAATGGTAATCACGAATCACCGGCTTGGGACAATCTCGGCCTGGTTCTTCGCTAACTAGTTTATGGGGAGAACTGATGCCGGGGCCAATAGTAGACATGCCCGTATTATACTTTGTCCTGTGGCGTGTCCGGGACCAATCGCACCTCCAAGTAGGCAGGGGTTACCTAGTGTCCAAACTAGGCGTAGTCCTGGACTCATCTAGATGACCCCTAGGGCTTCCAGATTCCCCAGGTATATGGATCGGGGATACGCCGAACCCAAGCAGTTATAAAGTTTCTGCCAACTCACCAAGTAACGACAGTCTCGAGTATGGCTATCCTCGGCAATATGAGAGCGACTTCTTCCGGTTGGCGTCCACTGGAGGAATCGGACGATGCCAAGGTCGTATATGCTTCCCCGCGTTGCGCCAAGATCGAGAGCAGGTCCATTTCCAGCGGGCTATTTACCCCGAATCACCTGTCGATACCAATGGCATAGTCGCGAAGTCTGACTTGGCAACCGCAGGATGGTTAGCACTCTAGGATGTCCGTAGCCATTAGCAAACCGGTTCCATGAAGTCAAGATCATACTCAAACCGTTTGGTACACTCCTCAGCGGAGATACTCCGGGGTATTGATGCCTTCTAGCTAGCATCACAAATTCCCCGCAACTCTAGACCCTTGGCATGAGATCAATATGCGGGGTAGGGTCTCCATGTCTCCAGATACTGCAGTCTGACTGGTACTGGAAGCCCAACGCCGCGGTCATCCGGTTATTGAAGAAACGGTGGGCGATGTCCCAGGTTAGGCTCGGCTAAACTCCACATAAACTCCCATGTTATGGGGGAAAGAAGGCTTCTTCAACCAGACAGTGTCGTATAAGATCTTGCAGTGCCGCACCTCAAGTGACGCGTACTCGATTCCGTCGCCTATATTCGAAAGCTGCACCAGCAATATGGCCGAGCTTCAGAATCGCAACGTAGAGGATAAGTCCATGTCTCCACAGCATCTGGAGACTGTGCTTGAAAATGGAAAGAATGATGACGGGCCAGTATACGGTATCGATGAAGCGCATCAGAAGAAAGTAATGTATGGGTTCGCTTCTCTCTTCTTTGCAAATCGAACTAATTGTCCGGCTGGAGGCGACGGGTTGATCTTCGTCTTCTGCCCATCCTAGGTCTGATGTACTCGATATCCCTGATAGACCGTACCAACCTCGGACTTGCTTTTGTGGCGGGCATGGAGGAGGACCTTGGGCTCGATGTCGGCAACCGGTATACCGTTATCGTGCTGGTCTTCTTTGTGGCATATATGTGAGGTTCCCATTGCTGAGTTCCTGGAGGATGATCTGACGGAGAAATGGTAGTGTGTTTGAGATCCCAAGTGTCCGTTGCCGTTCCCGTTCATTAAGCCCGGAGAAACCAAGCTGACTCGCAATAGAACATTGTTCTCCCAAAAGCTGGCGCGGCAAACTGGCTTGCTTTCCTCGGCGTAAGCTTTGGGGCCATCTTGATCGGAATGGGTTTCACGTATAGTTGGGAAACCATGGCTGTCTGTCGAGCACTTCTTGGTAAGACGAGACAGGGAACAGTCAGGACTACCGACAGCTGACTGTCTTAATAAGGGATAATGGAGGCTGGGTTTCTTCCAGGTAAAAGACTTTGCCACAGTGGCATTCAAGTGTAAGTGCTGACAAAGCTAGGTTGTACTTATCTGATCACCTGCTGGTACAAGCGATTTGAGGTCGGCAAGAGGCTTGCGGCTTTCTGGCTGATATCTGTGGTTTTGAATGCCTTTGCAGCTATCTTTGCCTATGCCTTGACTCTTTTGGATGGGACTCATGGGCTCGGTGGCTGGAGGTGTACGTAAAGATTCTTCCCGTTCCAGTCTCACATCTGACTCGGGCCAGGGATCTTCATTGTCGAAGGCGCCATCACGGTCGGCGTTTGTGCTATTGGATGGTTCATCATTATCGATTTTCCGACCAAAGCAGACGGCTTTCTATCGCCAGAGGAGAAACAGTTCGTCATCGATCGGATCAATCATGACCGTGGTGACGCAGAAGAAGATCGACTGACTGCGGCAAAAATCGTGCATCACCTCAAGGACTGGAAGCTATACTTCTGGGCGTTTAATCTCATGGCATCAACGCTTCCAGGATATGCGTACAGTTATTTCAAAACCATCATTCTGACTGGGATGGGGTTCACCGGGAATGAGAGCCAGCTTCTCAGCGCCCCGCCTTATATCCTCGCGGCCGCGGCCACATATTTCTCGGGCTGGCTAACAGATCGCTATCATGTTCGAGGACCGGTTATTGCGGTCCACCAGCTGCTGACAGCAGTCGGGATGCTCGTCACGGCGTATGGCCAAACCAACGGCGCGCGTTATTTTGGTGTCTTCATGGGTAGGTTTGCCTTTTTCCAAGGATTTTGTTGAGTATCATGTTGACCAAGGCCGAATAGGCGTCGGGTTCCTGCAATTTTGCATTCCAGGAGTTCTCGCTTTCCAGGCAAACAACATCACCTCGCACTCGAAGCGGGCGGTTGCGTCTGCCACTTGCTTGATTGGTGGAGGACTGGGTGGGATCATCGCAAGTGTCTCTTTCAAATCGAGTGAGAGCCCATACTACACAACAGGAATCTGGGTCACGTTTGGGATCACCATGATCAGCATCTGCATGAATGTGATGATGGATTTCTACTTCTGGAAGGTAAACAAGAAGGCGAGAGCAACTGGAGGCCGTATCGAAGGCATGGAGAACTGGTACTATACTCTTTAGATTAGGCGGATGGCTGGTGCAACATTTGAAGAGGGACAACGTACCAATAAATGGAATACTCTGTCAATGTTGTTGGTGTGGAGTTACGGAGTAGATCGAAGTCAATGAAATCGAAGATCGGACAAGACCCTTCGAAACCGCACTTGGCCATCTCGCCCCTCAGGTGAGACACGGGACGAACCACAACGTGACCAGCCCAAGCCGCGTCGAAGACGATGTTGTCCTTGGATAGGACTTGAGTGGGTGAAACTACGGAGTAGTAACTAGCTGTCCAATTGATCGATGCCATGAACAAATTCAAAGTGAGATAAGGGAGTCAGGGAAGAATCAGGGACTGGGCAGGAGAGTCGAGACGGAAGCGCCGGACTAAGATCGAGACCTCCTGATTGGCTGCCGACGGGGCCAGGCTGCTCAGCCTCCGCCGCTGGTGCCTGGGCCGACAGAGCAGTCCCCCGGGGTTTAAGAGCATCGCTTATCGCTCCTTTTGCCTTCTCTTCCCATCCAACTCTTGTCCTTCTCTTGTCTTTTCATTCATCGATTCTATCCCAGTTCCATTCACTCTTGAGGCCTCTGTCAATTCTATCATCATGACGGTCTCTCAACTCGTCCGCCGCGGCGTCGAGGCCTTCTCTGGTGCCGAGGATGGGAAGATGCCCAATCTCCAGGTCGGAGTCGGATCTCCTGTCCTCGCCGTCCTGCTTTTCATTACGATCGTTGCCTTGTTCTTCACCACGATCTCCGTACGTTGCCCCGTCGATTCGCTAGCCCAATTAAATTGCTAACAAGGTCTACCCCAGATCGCGTACACCTACGGTCAACTAGTGCCAACTCTCGCTGTCGTGGAGGACTCCAACCCCGAACTCTATCTTCGCGTGGACAATGACCCTGCCAACAAGAACCCCGCCGACCCGAACGAAGCTGAGATGGAGGTCGAAACACCCGCTCCTAGGCCCATCACGAGCAAGCTGCGCACTACAATTTCCCACCTTCGCGCTCGTGCTGGCCGTCTCTCCCGTTTCCGTGGCTTCAGCATGTTTATCACGATGGTGCTGGCCGAGAGCATCGTCACGTCTTTTGTTCCGTTGTCGCCGAGCTCGGTCTTCGGTGGTTTCATTGTCAAAATGATAGTTTCCGTTCTGCTCGCCAATCTCCAAGTTGCTTGGGTGCATATTGTGATTTCCGAGCCTTCTCCCAAGCGCTTCTACCAGCGCATCCCAAGCTTCCGCTCTCTGCAGAAGATTCTCCCTGCAGCTGCTTTCGAAAACCTTCTCACCTGGGGTGCATACTACGTCACCCTCTTCCTCATTCGCCTGATTCACGGACTCAAGGAGTTTGACCTCATTCGCGATGGCAACGGGTCGCCCAACCTCGTGCGGAGTGCTGCTAGCATCACGGCCATCGCGGGCTTTGTCAGCTGGCTTGCCTCCTTCCCTGCCAGGGTTATCTTCGTCCGTGTCGCGGCATCTATGCTCCCGGCGGAGGACGAAGCCATCATTCCTTTTGATCGAAGCTTCGATGGAAAGGTCGCCCCGGAGGTTGTTGGAGGTGGTGTCTTGAGCATCACCGACGCCTGGAAGACCATGGACCGCGATGGATGGAAGCGTTACGTCAAGGCTAACTTCAAGGCCATGGCCCTGTATACTGCCACTGTTGTGCTCTTCTCCACCCTTATCACGGCTGAGATTCTTGGTGGTGCTCTCGCCATCAAGTCCGGAGATGACAACTAAGCCCTGACGAGTCTCCCGCTGACTACCCCAGCTCCAGTGAAGTGGGATATGCAACACTTTTCATTTCTCTTTTCCGTGGCTTCCCCTGAGCGTAATATCTCCTTCGTGTACTCCATGCGCTCGCCATCTATATACTTTGCCCGATGTATTTATCTTGAACAAAGACTCAAATTTTGTCTATCACAGCACAGCCTGGTTTCAGTTCACTGAAAGGTTGAACTTAGAGATATGCAAGCAAGACTTGTGAGGTTTAACTGTATTCATAAGGTTACTGAGACGTAGGGCTCGCAAGGTTATCCTTGTTGACATCGCCGGGGGACCCCTGTGGCAAGGAACACCCAGCAGCCCAGCTAGAACACTTTCCAATGAGGGGAGATCAAGGGACCCCGCCCCCTCCCAGCCAACCAAGGGTCTCCCTGCACCACACCGCCTGGGCACTGTGATTATTTCACCATCAACTGACAGCCTCTTCCTCTTCGTGACCGTCTTTTGTCTGCTGGCGGCAATCAGCATTTCTCTCTCAATCCTCGCGCCTTGCGATACCTCCATTTTCTCCTTGTATCCTTGACTCTCTCTGTCTCTCAGCCTCACCACCTTCCGCCCTCTCCGTTTCCATCCCTTCCATCCCTTCCATCCTCCCCCAACACCCCCGCCCCCGCTTATCGCCATGGCCACAACTCCGGCAGGCCGCATGCTGGCTCGTCAGCTACAACAAATGCAATCGGACAAAGACCTCCCTGGGATCAGCTGCGGTCTTGTGGACAACAATGTGTTCGAGTGGGAGGTCATGCTCATGATCTCTGACGATGTCAAGTTATATGGCGGTAAGTTCAATCTCTCCCAGTCCTCATAGCGGGGGATGTTCGAGCATATCCAGAGAGACTACCATTTACTGACATTAGCCTATACCAGGTGGCTTCTTCCGTGCCCGACTCTCCTTCCCCGACGAGTACCCACACATGCCCCCGAAGATGAAATTCGAGCCGCCTCTCTTCCACCCCAACAGTACGTCTTGTCCTTGCGAAGAAGCGCCGAATCCACAAGTCTAACTTTCTCGTCCATCCAGTCTACCCCAACGGCGAAGTCTGCATCTCCATCTTGCACCCCCCAGAGGAAGACAAGTACGGCTACGAGTCCGCCGCAGAGCGCTGGTCCCCCGTGCAAACGCCTGAAACCATCCTCCTGTCCGTAATCTCCATGCTCTCCAGCCCCAACGACGAGAGCGCCGCGAACGTCGAGGCTGCGCGTCTGTGGCGGGATGATCCCAAGGAATTCAAGAAGCGCGTCCGCAAGTGTGTCCGCGAGAGTCTTGGAGAGGAATAATCGGTTCCTACCAGTTCATGCTTGACACTTTCTCTCGCTCGCCTTTTCCTCTCTTCCTCTATCTATACTCTCTTCCTCCGTTTGGGTCATACAACGCACTGGTGTTGGGCGTTCTTCGAGCTGTGGCCCTCTTCGTCTTCCTTTTCTTCGGTCCTGAACTCCGCTTTTCATAGACCATCCAGCTCACTGTTGAGCCTGCGGCCAGTTTTGGCATGTCGCTTTTGGAGTTATGTGTCCTGGGCATCTTGGTGGAACGAAGATACCGATATTTAACGCTTCGCATTTATAGTTTTAGCACAGCTTGCCTTGGATTTATTTTAGCATGATATTCGCAATCAGGGCGACTCGTTACCATACCAATGAAGAATATGAATCAAATATTCGTGGATAGATTGTATTCGTAATATGGGGATGGTTTGGAGAGTACTGTCCCTTCTGGCAATCAAGTGCCTGCTTGATTATATATAGTTGAACAACACCCATCTCTTTAACAAATGAACTCCCCATGTGGAATTTATATAACAATCTAACATAATAAGGGTATATACATCTCTCTAATTATTATGTGCAATAAGCGCTGAGATCAAGGCTGAGCTTTGACTCCCTTCCGCAGCGAGGGAAGGAAGAAGCTAGGGTGGAACACAGTGAGCGATAGCACGGCAAGACCGATCATCCTGAATGTGATGTTAACGCTTATGTTGGGGCAATTTTCAGCAGGGTGACTTACATTCCGTCGAGGACCAGGAACTCGTTTTCCTTTTGCATGAGCGGGTTGCCCCAGCCGCCGGCCATTTCAGGAATACTGTATCATAAAGCGTCAGTACACCGAGGTCCAGATGGAGATTGCAGGGTTCTTACCGGTAGATACACCGGATGAGCACGGTGAAGTAGGCGAAGATCTCTCCGAAAAGGATAAGATGGATGCTTCTGCGGCCGACGGACTTCTCACTGAAAGATCCGGGTCCACCGTTCTTCCTCACGCGCCAGAAGAACTCGGCTGCAAGAACGCCGCAGACGGACATGGTAGCAACCTGGAACGCAATACCGGCAATAATAATGTCGTCTCCGATCTTGAGGACTTCCATATCGTTTCCTGCGCCAGCTGCGACACCACCACCAGCTGCCTGCAGGAGGAGCGAGCCGATGTCGCAACAGATAAAGATCCAGGTGAAGAGCTTCGGCTTGAGGCGCGAGTGTTCGGGGCCGAGCGCGATGATGATGTGCTTCAGGGTAAGGTAGATGCCAGCAGCGATGAATGTTGGCGCGAGCACGAGGCAGACGATCTGCAGCTTGAATGCGTCTCCGTTCCACGGGTTATCGTTCATCAATATCCTTCCTATATATCCTGCCAATTCCATGAGCGGCCCGATGGCCAGCGCAAGCGTTATCGTCCATGCTCGATAGTAGATGCCGATTCCTAGTTGGAGGACGCCCAAAAGACCGAACCATACAGCGAAGAAAACATTGCCGCCGAAGTTAGGGTAGTACCCATATGTCGTTGCCTTGACTGGGCACTGCGTGGAAACTTGATCACACGTGTCGTAGCTCGCCATCTAGAATGGAATGATCGAATATCGAGGATGAGAATCGGCTGCGTGGAGGCGAAAGGAGCGAACGAAGAGAAGAAAAACGAGGGACACGTTAGGTTGCCGACGGCGGCATTTAAGAACGATAAGTGTATTCTGCCCAGGCCCAGAACTCCGCAAAACTTCAGGCCTCCCAAGAACCAGTAAGGCTGGGCTTGCGCTTTATGATAAGGAAGACCGCAAAACGACCCCTGCAACGGCCCTCGCCCCGGTCGTTGCGAATTCCTGATTGAGGCGCTGTCATCCTGTGGATCTGGGCGCCGGTATACTCCAGCCAAAATCTTCCGATGAATATCCGTGATTGGCCAGATCTCTCGCTTTCGCTATCGTTTTCGTTTTCGTTCTCGGTGTTTCCCCACCGGCCCAGCATCAGATCCCCGGCTTCGCTTAGAAGCGTCCATCTCGTTTATCCGGTTGTGAGGTGACTTGAGGTCATCGGCAGGCTGCTCTCTGAATGTCAGATCTCGAAATCCTGGCGACAGCTGGACTTTCCGCTCGATCGGCTCCGTGTCGTGCAATGTTTCCATGAATAGAGCATCATAAGTGACCGAGTCGATGCTGTTGTTGGTCGGAGGTCGGACTTGAGATGGAGAGGCGTTGCCGATCACGTGGCGATAAGCGATAAGCAACAATGGACCCACGTGGCGCAGGGCGTCTGTGGCACCGTCAGCAGCCAGCTTGAACTTTGAGGTCCCCAATCCCCAGTCATCCTGCATCCCCCCAGCCGTGTGTTGAAACCGTGCTCCCGAGTTCCTGGTACCTGGCCAGTGGCCACCTCATTCAGGGTCTTACGGGGTTGTGCTTCGTGCGGCTCAACCATTGCCCGATATGCCGCCTCGGAGATCCCATACAAAGTCCCGCTATGGTTGCGACCAGTGCAAGAAGAGACGTGTCAAGGTTGGCTAGGCACACATCCTACGCTCAATTGCATCTGTTGGCGTTTTCTAAGTTGACTATAGTGTGATGAGCAAGGTCCACCGTGCTCCAATTGCAAATCCAGAGAGCTAGAGTGTTTCTACTCGCGCACCCCCGCGCCTGGTCGCCAGTCCAGTACATCCGCAAGCCCAACAACCCCAGGCTACGTTCATGTTTCCACTCCATACGTGGCCCAGCCCTATCAGCAAGCTCCTAGTGTCCCGTCGGGCGATGATCTACGTGCTGCAGAGCTACGCAGATTAGAGCTAATGCACAAGTTCTCTACAGAAACATACCAAAGTCTCTGTAACTCACCCTCGGACTTTCATGTTTGGCAGGTCATTGTCCCACAGAAAGCTCTGCGCTATGATTTCTTGTTGAAGGGAATTCTTGCGACTGCCTCACTACACATAGCATCTACTCTGGATCCGTCGTCAGCTTTTACTTACATCAACACGGCTCTGGAATATCACAACCAGACGCTCACTCCATTTCGCCATGCCATAGACGACATTAGCCCAGAAAGCTGCGACGCGGTCTTTGCTCACTCGGTCGTGACTACAATCATCTGCATAGCTCTTCCTCGACTCACTACTGAGAAGGACGAGAGCATAGGCGCGTACGAAAAGATAATTCTCGCGACTGAACTTCTCCAGGGGGTGAGCAACATCCTCAAAATATATCGTGGATGGGTTACATTGAAGCCTTTTATGTCTGGGAGTGACTTTTGGGGTTCGAACATGGCCCTAGATCCAGATACTGAAGCTGCGTTGAACAATCTCGCCGCATTGACCGATGAGGTGGCTAACTCGGAGCAGCGTGACATGTTTGCTGAGGCCGTGAAGTTACTTCGTCAATGTTTTAGTAGGTATGCCAACGCCAGAGACATTTCGTCAACCCTGGCCTGGCTTGCGGCAGCGGACAAGGGGTTTATTTATGCCTTGAGGTGTCGGCATCCTCTTGCTTTGCTGATCCTTATGCATTGGGGCGTCCTCATTCACGAGCTTCATGGCCGATTATGGTGGGCCAAGAACTCGGGCTCAGCACTTGTCCTAGAACTGCTTGGTGAACTGCGGTCCTACCAACCCCGCTGGAGAAATATCCTGCTATGGCCAAAGCAGAAAATTGGTCTGGAGGGGCCTTTGCTCCCTTCCAACGGTTCTCAGCCTGGAACGACACATTGAATCAATCTCGATACTAGAACCCTCGCCAGTCCCCGGACGGCATAACCTGCGGGATCATTTTGAGGAGGTCAATCCTCTTATTGCCGGCAAGGTGAACCTACACCTATCTATCTCCATTGGTACATGTAAGTCGCAAGGATGGGTGAAATTCGACTATATGTTGACGATATTCGAACGACAGAAACAGATACTGAGCCAGTGATATGCGAATCCATATATACTTGCTTATCCTAAAGCTTCGCCATCTGTTTCATGTTCTTCTTGGAAATATCCTCAACTCGCGTGATGTTCAAATGATTCGCATCATGTTCACACGCCGCCAAACTCAGAGGGCCGCCCACTTGCTTGAGCCAGTACGATCTTCCACAATCAAATATCCAGTTTCGGCTTGCTACCTTCACGAGCTCTGCCAACCAGTGTTGCGGAATACTTCTGTCTTGCACGAACGTTATTTCTGGTAATTGCCCTCGAACCTCTGGTGGAACATGATCTCGCAGAAGATGCAAGAAGTCGTCGTATGTTCGCTGCACATAAAGCTCAGATCCAATCTGGACAATTCCGCGCGTCTTTGCCGCGGCATGCAGCAGACAAGCATTGGCGACAAAGTCGACCGGAATCTCGTCCAAAATATTCACACCACTCTCGTACCCCTCGGTTGCATGCCAAGTCTGTTTCCCACCGCGATCCGATATCAGAAGGTCGGCGAACTTGTCCATTGGGTGGGAGCCGTCAATCCCATACAGTGGAAACGGGTGCCGAAGAGCGCGTGCGAAGATGGTAGGGCGGACAAAAAGGAGAGGCAGGGTTGGGTAGCGTCTAAGCATCAATCGTTCCATGAGATGCTTGGAGTGGGTATACGATGACGAGAACCGGGACGTATGAGGAGAATCGCCTGCCTGCTGTATGGACGCAATCTCCTCTTCGCAGTCTTCATCCGAATAATCATACAGACGCTCCCCAATATGCCCGTCTGGCAGGAAACTATTCGCGTACGACGTCGATAGCTGAATAAAGAGCTTCAGCCGCCTGAACGAAGAAGCCAGTCGCGCCAATTCCAGCGATGGGAAACAGTTGTTCTCAAGGGCCTCCGTTATATCCGAGTCAAGGGATATCTTAGCCGCTGTATGAATAACGAGCGTGACCTCGTCCTTCAGCCGCTCCAGACTCCCCGCATCCATGCCCAAATCAGGCTCCCTGATGTCCCCGATAACAAAGTGAATCTTCTTCGATTCCAGCAATGCCTGCGTCTGGCCAGGCATGCTTCGCTTCCACTTCTTCACGGCCGTCTCGGACGATTTCCGCACGAGAACAAAAATCTTCCTCGTTGGCAGCTGCAGCGCCAGTTTGTAAAGCAGGCATCCCCCAAGAGACCCCGTACTCCCTGTGAGGAACACAGTGTGGGCTTCGAACGCCGTTGCGTATCCCTTCTTCTTGACCTCGTCCTCGTTCGCAGAAACCATCTGGAGCGCCATCGGAGCGTGGACTCGAGCACGTCGGCGATCCCGGTATCAAGTGCGTCGGTGGAAGTGATATGTCTGAAGGAAAAAGTCTCAGCAAACCTTATTGCTTATGACAAAGTCGCTGTATATACGACTCTTTTCTCTGCTCATGTGCCGCCGAGGTCCAGTTGTCCTGTACGACCTGGTATGATCATCTCACCATGATGGCCTTGGACCCTCTCTCAGACCAGTTCCATTGGCAATATAGATTAATTGGAATGGGCTTTCGCCCGTTCATTGGCTGGCTCTGATATCCAGGTTCTTATGTATCTACTATACCGGTACTAAGCGCCCTGTCTCGCTCCATCAGAAGACCTCCGCGCTTTCTCACGGTTTCCCTTCTTTGGCTGGCACCGCGCCTGATTGGTACCTGCTTTGCTCTCGATTTCCCAACTCGAGTCTCGACTCACAGAGAAAAAGCGTGGTCATCCCAGCCAGGTCCCGGGGTGTATATTGGAGGATCAGGCAGGCATATATCTTGACTAGAATAGATCATCGCCGGCCACGCACGCCGCTCGTGAAATAAACGCTGTTACCCTCAACTGTACCCGATTTCATTTAAAGTGACAACGAGGCCTGGATTTTCTGCCAACGCTTTGACTCGACATTGCCGATAAAGCTCAACTCGCAGTATATGTTTCGAGTGCAGTCCTCCACCTCTCTTGGTCAGGATTCCCGTCGTCCAACTCGTATCAACATATCGTGGGAATTCCTGTGCTACATTGGTCGTCTTTGGGAAATTGTCCGGGCAGAAAAGGCCCGTAGGGTGGTACCTGTTGAACAGCTAGTACAATAACATGATACAGTCTGTTTGATCCCTGCGTAGTGGCGGTTTGCATCTGCTCTTATACCCTGTAAGGTAGTATGGACTGGAGAGTTCGTGCCAGGATAACTTCTAGCACTAGTCCCCAAATTTATTGTATAGCTTAAGCTGATGTACATTGCTTCTAGCATTCAAGGAAGATGGAGTGAGGTTCTACCAGTCAGTGGTTACATACATCGAGTTTGCTATGTGCGAATCCAGCTACCTCTACCGTAGACTAGCCACTATGTTCAAATAGTATGACAGAGAACATGGAACCAATGAAACTAGCCCAGCCTAGGAAGCCTTGAGATTATTACCGCCACCAATGCTTCCATTTCCAGTGCCGCTTCCTCCGCACCAGCAGCGCCCTTCGCCTTCTCGTTCAACCTGAACGAGGATATCCATTCCCTTCTCTTTGAGGAAATCGACGGTGCGTTTCCGGACGTCTTCTAGATCTGCGGCGCGGGAAGCTGTGACGTGGATTACGCCTAGGACTGGTGGGGCGTGACTTTCGTGCAAGTGGTCGTGGTGGTCATGGTCGTGTTCGTGTTCGTCATGGTGGTCATGGCTGTGGGAGTGGGAATGATCATGGTTGTGGTCATGGGTATGGGTGTGCTCATGAGCGTGACTGTGGCCCGAGGACTTCTCTGTATCATCCAACCAGAATTTGGGCACAGTGTAGCCGACTACACCCCTCAGCGTACTAACGCCGGCAAGGGTTTCACGGACGTTGTATTCCACATCAGCCGGCAGAGTGAGCAACAAACTCTTGGCTGTGCTACTGACCAGGGGCACAGCCGAAGCAAAAATCAAAATTGCAATCATACAAGATGCGATAGGGTCATATCCTGCCCAGCCGGAGTAGTGCACGAGAATAGTCGAGATCACAACAGCAACGGAGCCGAGGGTATCCGCTAGGATGTGAAGAAAAATCCCATGCATGTTCTCGTTTCCGTGAGAATGCGAGTGCCCGTGCCCGTGGTCATGTCCATGCGCATGCCCGTGATCGAAGGCCATAATTCCGACAAGGTTCACAAGAAGGCCGGCTACACTGACCGCCAGGAGTTCACCCAGACGATGCATCTGGCTGCCTGACGACAGCCTCTCCACCGCCTCATATATGATTTCGACGCTGATGATCCTATATAAGGTTAGACAAGGTCCGAAAACGTGGTCTATATTGTTCTTACATGAGGAAGATCCCGTTCGCGAACCCCGAAAGTGTGTCTACCTTACCATAACCGTAAGGGAACCGAGTACTCGGCGGCCACTTGCTCATAACAGCAGCACACAGTCCAACTACAAGCGCCAGGCAGTCGAAGAACATGTGGATACTATCACTGAGCAGCCCAAGTGAGCCTGTTATGATGCCGTAAGATAGCTGAACCAACATAAAGCTGAAGTTTAGACTGCAAATAATTAGCAAACTCCGTATCGAGGACGGAGAGTAAGGATGTGGTGTACCTCATGAAATAAAAGATGCGGCGGGAGTCGCGCTCCTTGAGTATGCTGTGCAGTAGAGGATAAGGCTCGCTGTATCGAAGAATTATCTTCGTCGCTCGCGAGGAACTCGGTGTTGAGTGTGCATGGTGGTGATGGTGACTATGTTCGTCAGAGGTTGAACGTTTATCGTCGAATTTTGCGACAAAGAAAGATCCAATAGCCAGCAAAGCTCGAATGATATAAACACTGTAGATGTTGTCTTGAACCGGTGGTGAGCAAAACAAAGCAGCACTGCCTGTGGCAACAGCAACACCTATTTTGCGGGGCGAATTTATACTGGAGACGTCGAGATACGTCAAACATGTAGCCAAGGAGCCCGCAGCTCCCAGCATGTGTACAATATCAAAAGTCCCAAATGAGAAGCTTCTTGTAGTGAACAGAGTCATGATTCCCAGGACAATGCCAGACAGGGCAGCAATCATGGGGTCTCGCGAGGAGTTGCCTGGCGCTGAAAGTGTCTGCGCATAGCCATTTGTTTGACCAGACATCGAGATTCCAAGCCCACTGCCGGGCGCACTAGGGATTGTAGAAAACGGCGGGCGAATGACAAAGACCGAAGCAAGTAGGGCGATGTACCCGAAGAACGGCGCACTGTCCCACACTGCGTTCATGCCGAGGAAGCTCAGAAGCACGACCAGAGGTATAAAAGCAGCAGTCAGCTTCTTGAAGCTCTGTCTGCCCTTTTGGTTGGTGACAGAAGCTTGGCCGCGAATAAGTGCAGGCAGTCCAGACCCCACAGCGATGGCCAAAGAAAAAGCGACAACAAACCCGCCAACTTTCAGGGTCGCGTATATGGGTAAAGCGATCGAGCATATCTGACTGAGTGCAACAACCCCTGTGGATGGGTTCAGGTTGGGCATCTTCGTAGCAGAATCACCCCCGCGCTGGTTCGCACGAGCCAAAGCCGAGCCTCCATACAAAATCAATGTTGCGGCGGTCAACCCAAGCGTCCGAGAGGTAATCAGGTCTATGTTCCCGACAGACGATGTCGAGTCGGCTTCGGTTTGCGTCCATTGCGCATAATGTTGGTAGAACCAGGACAAAGCGACCCATGGCAGCGCGATCATAAGTCCTGCGACTACCTCATGGCTGAGAGTTGTTAGATTGGTCAGCCCATTAGCGGCGCAGCACTTACCGTAGCTTTGTTGTAGATTCTGCTTGTAACCCAAGGCTCTTGTGAGCGTGAGCAACGGGCGCCGACTCAGAATGGCCATGGTGGCTATGATCATGGTCGTTGGAAGTATGGGAGTGCGAATGATGATGTTCCCCTTGTTTTGAATCCTCAGCACACCCGTTCAGCCCATTCAGACTTGTAACCGACTGCCGTGGCTGCTGCTGGGCTGCGGGAGGCGCATAGGAGGAGATTGACTGGGATATCGGCGTCGAGCGGCGGGAGTGGCCACGGCCTCTCGAATGACCCAGACCATGTCCTTGCGGAAGAGAGGGTATCGCTTCCGCGGAGGACATGGTATTCCCCGCCAGCATTTTATACGGCCTGGCGCAACGTGCGACGTTGGATTCGCAGTGAATTGGAGCGCGGGGCGGGGAATAGGAGGTGAGGAGGACAGGTAGTTTGACGAGCGGAGCGGCCAAGAACGGGGGCTCAATGGAGCTTTAGGAGGTCAAAAACAACGACCTGCCGGGCGAGTGTGCGAACAGTAGTGGCATAGCGCGGAGAATAGCAACAGCTCCCGAGTAATGAGCGAGCCGAACAAGCTCGATCTGCGATGAATTGGCGAGAAAAAGGTTGGATGCTCTTGTAGCTCTCGACGAGTCGTTACATCGTCGCGATAACGAGGCGCCACGTGATCCGCCGCGCGTTTTGTTATCGGAAGCTCAGCCTGAGATATCAGGCTCCGCTCCCCGTCTCCCATCGGAGACCACGTTTACTCCGCACCACGCTCTCGAACTTCATAAACATTTCCAGAGCTCAGTTCGCTGGTCGCTTGAGGGGCTGCTTGATGCCTATGCAAGTATAAGGTCGAACATTGATTCTTGTCCGCCGCCCGACGTCCGTTACCCGTCTGCGCCTATCCCCTCAATCGCTTGCGGTCGTGCCTCGCCATGATCCTGTTTACCGTTATCGAAGTCGCATTTTATATCTCCACAGCTGTGACATTGTTTATCCTTTTGCTCCCTTCACAATACGAACCGAAGCGCCGTGGGAGTGGCAATGACTCGAATGAACCGAAGACCACCGCGCAGGTCCTTGTCCTCGGAGACATCGGCCGCAGCCCCCGCATGCAATATCATGCATTGAGCATTGCCCGCGGCGGCGGGCAGGTAGATATTATTGGATATGCCGGTAAGATGGCCAGAGCACTCCAATTCCCAATGGCTTATGCTGACGCTCGGTATAACAGAATCCGAGGTTCACCCTGATATTTCCTCCCATCCCAAGATCTCGGTTGTCCCGATCCCTCCCCATCCTCGCTTCCTACAAACGAGCAACAAGCTTCTCTTCCTGCTCGTCGCACCTTTGAAAGTGCTGTTCCAGGTCTTCTCTCTGTGGTGGATTCTAGCATACTCCACAAAGCCTGCTAAATGGCTTCTCGTCCAGGTCTGTCATTTCGTGCCGTTTTATATTCGCTGAGGTCGTCTAACATGCTATGTTGTAGAATCCGCCCTCCATTCCGACATTGGCGATTGCATCGCTCGTGTGTTTCTTCCGACAGACGAAACTTGTCATCGATTGGCATAATTTCGGGTATACTATTTTGGCGTTGAAGCTCGGAGACGCTCATCCGTTGGTCAGGGTCTCCAAATGGTACGAAAATGTGTTCTGCAGGTCGGCCACGGCTCATCTGTGCGTGACCAACGCCATGGCCTCGGTACTAAGAAAGGAATTTGGTTTGAAGGCGCCGATTCTACCGCTGCATGATCGCCCAGCAAGCCATTTTCAACCGATCTTAGAGGAACGAAAGCGCGAGGAGTTTCTCTTATCTCTACCTGACGCGGCGCCCGTGCGCAGCTTGCTCAAGGAAGGAAAAGCCAAGGTCATTGTTAGTTCGACTTCTTGGACGCCCGACGAAGATTTCTCGCTTCTCATTGATGCTCTGTGCCATTACTCGGAAGTTTCCAGTACAACTAACCCACAGCTGCCCGCAGTTCTGGCCATCATAACCGGCAAAGGACCTCAGCGCCAGATGTACGTTGACCGCGTATCTAGATTACAGAAAGCTGGAAAGCTCAGCAAGGTCACCATATGCACTGCCTGGTTGAGTACAGATGACTACGCACATCTACTGGCGTCTGCCTCGATAGGCGTCAGCTTGCACACCAGCAGCAGCGGCGTAGACCTGCCCATGAAGGTGGTTGACATGTTTGGATCTGGATTGCCGGTCGTGGGTTGGAGCAAGTTTGAGGCGTGGCCAGAATTGGTTACTGACGGCGTTAACGGGAAAGGCTTTGGGAGCTCGAAGGAACTGGCAGAACAGCTGGTCGACCTGCTTGGAAACCCAGGAAAACTAGAGAAGCTCCGTGACGGTGCTCGAGATGCGAGCTCCTATCGCTGGGACGATGAATGGGCTCCGGTCGCTGGAAAGCTTTTTGGGCTTGACTAAAGTTTCGATGGTGTACGCATAGCAAAAGCTAAAGGCGAAACAAACCTAGGTGAGGTCCGTGGAACATAGAGGTCCAGAGAATCAAGCACGCAACTTCCCGTCGCAATATACACAGGTGTCAAAGGCGTTTGACAGGATCTTGCAAGTCTCTTGAATGTCAACATGCCCCGCAAGGCCAACTAGGTCCTCATCAAGGTACTCGATTTCGCACTTTGGGCAAAACTTCGAAATTCCAGGCTCTTGGATAGCCAAGAATGTCATATTACACCGAACTGGTATCATATTGTTAGCCAGTTCCGTCTTACCTACGAACTCCCGCGGAGACATACCGAAAACATGGCCAGTGGCACATCGTGCTTCCTCAGCTGAGTGCCATGCAATTCCTGCGTCGCAGACCTCACATTTTTCGAAGGTCTCTCCACCAGGTCCGTTTAACGCCTCTGCAGGCCTCGCTTCTATGGTACCCCCCGAGTCGGAGCACCTTGCGATCTCATCTGACAAATCCAAGTCGCCGTTTGCCGAAAGTCTCTCAAGGACCTCGCGAGCATGAGCCAATAACTCGGCGCTCTGTGACTGCACGATTGCACAGCAAGCTGCCGCATAGAGGACCTTTGGAGATAGCGCATCCTTCGTCTCAATATGGTTGCCAAGTATGTACTGTAGGACATGATCGCGGCGCTCCCTCGCGAAGTCCACGGAACTTATAGGACTTTCGCGAAGACAAGCTAAGTTCTCCGGATTTGCTGGCTGTCCGTCCGCAGTCGAAAATACAATACTTAGTCTGTCCTCCGCATTGATGCGATACTCAATCATATCACCCGCTTGCAGTGTTACAGCGGTCGCGATGAGTCCTTGCAGTGATGCTAGACCCCAAATTCTTGCAATCGCCAAGCCACCAAGATCACGGTCAATGTCAAAACGATCCCTGAGGTCCTCTACCTTATCGCTCCAAGGGGCTGTAGACAATTCACCCGTGGCAGCTAATGGTAGCACTGCTGCATAGCCCCCTACAGAAGCAAAATGTAATGTAGGCATCTCGGACTCAGGAGCCATTGTGATCGTCATCCCTTATAAATGTCAGTGCAGCCCGCAATTGAGTCAGTGAAGAAGTACCGCTGATTCCCTCATGGAGTGCGCTTTGGGTTGAAGAAATGCCGTCCCTTGATTCAACCATGATTGGGAACCTGTGCGATTTTACATCGCTAGTCTCCGAATCCTGCCCTCTGTACGCACTCTCCGGGATATCTATAAAGGCAACCATGGCCCTGGCGCCGACTGCCATTGACACTCTGCCAGGTTGGACCTAGAAACGGAGTTAGGAGAAGTCGAAGGGGCTATGGGGGCTCTGGGGGGAATGCCCTACATTATGCGCCCAGTGAATCGGTCCAGTGAACACAAAGTCAGTGTGCCCGGCTGGAACTGCAGTGTTTTCCGTCGCGTTGAATGACAGATCGAAGCGCGGCTCCTCCTGCGAATTACGGGACCGCGGTTTCAAGCTGGCGCTCAATATGACGACGCGGAGATTCGAACCCTGTACAGTAGCCACATTGACAGTTGCGGATATTGAGCCTTCCCCGTTGGAGTTTTGCTTATGTGATTGATAAAGCCATGGCCCACTCGCTAAGTACAACGACCGTATTTTAGACCGGACTGCATTGGCTAAGAGTGAGTTGGGCTGAAGCGATTGGTTGAAGCCTGCTGAAGTAGGTAGCGAAACAGTAGACACTGCTTGCACACGCAACGGCTCTTGAGAAACATGTTCGGGGTTGGATTGTTGGACGTGCAAAAAGACCAGATCATTGTCCTCATTGGTGATCGCTAGCAGAGAAGTCCCCCACCGCGTCTCAGGACCAGGATACAACTGGTCCTGAGCTGGGACCTTGAGAGGCGGAATCCATGTGAATGACCGGATGTTGGATTTGCGTGTTCTCGCGGTGTGGTCCTCGATATCCTTGCGGAAGCTTTGGGTGCGCGAGCTCAAAGTATCGTTTTCGATACTTTCGTGAAAGTATCTTTCCAAGGCTTTGTTGACAATGGCAATGCGCGTCCATTTTCCCGGATTGTTAGTGGGCGCATAGATCGTTAGGACCATGTTGGACGTTAGAACGGCCAATACGCTGCGCCTGTACTTGCCAAGGCCTGGTGGTGACCAGGCAACGCCTGCAACGTTACTGAACGACTGCTCCGCCCCTACTGAGAAATGATCCCGTGGTTGCGGGAACATAATCGGCCACTCATTGATGGTGAAGACATTGGTGCGAAAGCGAGTCTTGTGCCATTCTGTACTCGATGCATTGGCAGTCGTGCCATTTGCTTCCTTTTTCGAGGATACTTTTGGGGTCTGCCAGAGTGAGCGAAACATCCATACGCCTCATAGCCAGATCAGCTTGGTGAACTTACCAGGATGTGTACAAATTCGCCTGCAGCAACTGCAATTTCTCCATCCTCTGACCAGGAGATGCAGTTGTAAGAGGATGGAAACACTTGTAGTTCGAGGGGCTCCAGCATCGTTCAACTTCAGTGTACGGAGCAGCTGCGTGTACAACCCATGCTCTTCTGACTGTGTCCCACAGCAAGTCGTCTATAGACTGAGGAAGGCCGGGTCTAGTATGCATCAACGATATTGCACTGTTTTCGGTTAGGACCACTTACATTCGTCCGTGACCCACTTGACCATTCAAGCATATTTCTCCGTCAAGCTAGTCGATCATCATCCGTCATTGGATGCCTCGAAAAGACCGAGGCCCCCGTGAACTTGATGGGGGGGCCGGAACAACAGAAGGGCCGAAGGTAACTGAGCTCTCCCATCCTGTGTTTAGATACTCCGATGGCGCTGTCTTATCATCATCCATGATCCCAGCCCAACCCACTTCACTCCTTTCAATCACCTACAACAGCAACTACTCGAGGGGCTTCTCGATCCAAACAACATCTACTCAAACTGGCTACTTGCTGCTAGAATCGCAAGTTTGATTTGCTATCTTCAAATAATCGCCCGCATTCTTCATCCCCCTCTCGCCCCGCCACAATGTCGACCTCCGCACGCCGCCGTCTCATGCGTGACTTCAAGGTATGTGCCTTACATCATCCCCGGCGCTTCATGGCCAAGCCTTCAAGGTTATTCTATCATTTTTGGCATATCCGTCTACTTTTCACCCTGCGTTCGAAGATCGAAGTTTCTGAAATGCAAATTCCATCGGCTAACCGGCTTTTGCTCTTTTAGCGCATGCAAACCGATCCTCCAGCGGGAGTCTCAGCATCTCCGGTCGCCGACAATGTTATGACCTGGTAATTACTGACTATGGCCGTCTTATCGAATCGCATCTTAACAACATATGTATAGGAACGCCGTTATCATCGGCCCCGCTGATACCCCGTTTGAAGATGGCACATTCCGGCTAGTCATGCATTTTGAGGAGCAGTATCCAAACAAGCCCCCGGGCGTCAAGTTCATCAGTCAGATGTTCCATCCCAATGTCTACGGTACGGGAGAGCTTTGTCTCGATATTCTTCAGAACCGATGGAGTCCTACCTATGATGTTGCGGCAATTCTCACCAGTATCCAAAGGTAAGTGGGAGCTCATTTACCCTTATTACGTCATGCTTTATAGGTTTCTAACCACTTTCTTTTCTGTTTTAGTTTACTCAACGATCCGAACACATCATCTCCCGCCAACGTGGAAGCCTCGAACCTCTACAAAGACAATCGGAAAGAGTACGTCAAACGAGTCCGGGAGACGGTGGAGAAAAGCTGGGAGGAGTAGATACTTTTGAGGCACGACTGCAATGCTTCCCACGGGCATGAGGGGATCGCCCGCTATTTGATGATATGCACAGCGCGGGGTTATGGCGCTCGGTTTTGATTGTTCGGTTTCGCGACTAGCTGCATCATTTACAAGTTTTATTGTTTGCATGACGGATAAAATTCCCCCCCTGTTGATATGTCATATTGGTTATCCTTGTTGCATGAAGCATATGCTCTAGGTCTTTACGATCTCCGTAACCCGCTTGGCGTCCTCCTTTAGATTCACTTTATAGGTCGAATGCTTCGTTCAGTTGGAGATTCATGAACATGATGTGGGCGCGCATCCGATTTCCGCGGCTTATGGCAAATTGGAATGTTAATAGATTGCCCATCATTGTACTCCATGAGCTGCCATGTAGATTCCTAGCATTCCGCACGCGTAGAGCCCAAGATGCGGGTGGGGGGCGTGCCAAGAATGGCTCCAACGGTGGTGTCGAAATACGCCAGTCGGACTCTTTGACCACACCGTTGAAGCACACCGTTTTTCTCCACGCTCGTGGCCTCTCCGCCCGAACAACTCTCGAATTGAGTCCTTCGCTCGACCAGGCTCTCGCGAGCTTGTCATATCTCTAATTCCCCTTCCTTTCCAGGTGTTCCTGCGACGCCCGCATACTGTATTGTTCGCTCGGCACGTGGACCCCTGACCCAAACAACGCCGCCCGCCTATTAGTCTACAAACAGCTTGTCTCCCCGTTTCCTGTTGGTCTGAACGAAAACACCAGTCTACTCCCCTCCCGTCGGGGCCTCGCGTGTCCCTTATTGTTTCTTGATACCCTTTCACGCTCTGGGACAGTGGGAAATATGGCGTGAGTCTTTCCCTGCTCACCGCACCGTTATCGTCAGATGTGTAACTGATACGTCCGGAGTGACAGGTCTAGCTCCAACCCCTCCAACACCATTAAGGGTGCGTATTTCCCACGTCCAGATTGCTGAAGCAGCTCCAATCTCCGGTCCTAATGTCCACACAGTGGTTGCGAGGTTCCGGCCTCAAAACAAGGTCGAGCTTGCGTCCGGAGGACAGCCCATCGTCGAGTTCGAGAATGAGGAGACATGTGCTATAAATGTGAGTTGATCAGGCCCCGAAGCATGATGTATTTCTTCTCTGGGTGGGTGCTAAATCATGGAAATAGTCAAAAGAGGCCGCCGGGTCTTTCACCTTTGATCGTGTATTTCCGATGGACTCAAAGCAAAACGATGTCTTCAACTACTCGATTGCGCCAACCGTGGACGATATTCTGAATGGATACAACGGAACCGTCTTTGCTTATGGTCAAACCGGTGCAGGAAAGTCGTATACGATGATGGGGTCCGACATTGACGATGAGGTGGGCAAGGGTATCATTCCACGTATCGTCGAGCACATCTTCGCAAGCATTCTTACGAGTCCGAGCAATATCGAATACACCGTCCGGGTCAGCTACATGGAAATTTATATGGAGCGCATTCGGGATCTCTTGGTACCTCAGAACGACAATTTGCCCGTGCACGAAGAGAAGTCGAGAGGTGTCTACGTCAAGGGCCTTCTTGAGGTCTACGTTTCCAGCGTACAGGAGGTCTACGAGGTTATGCGACGCGGTGGAAACTCAAGAGCGGTTGCTGCGACCAACATGAACCAGGAATCGTCTCGGTCACATTCCATCTTCGTCATTACGGTCACCCAGAAGAACCTAGAAACTGGCTCTGCGAAGAGTGGTCAGTTATTCTTAGTTGATTTGGCAGGCAGTGAAAAGGTCGGCAAAACTGGTGCTAGCGGTCAGACACTCGAGGAAGCGAAGAAGATTAACAAGAGTTTGAGTGCTCTCGGAATGGTTATCAACGCGCTCACGGATGGAAAGTCGACTCACATCCCATACCGCGACTCCAAACTTACACGAATCTTGCAAGAAAGTTTGGGAGGTAACTCCAGAACGACCCTGATTATCAACTGTTCTCCCAGCAGCTACAACGACGCGGAAACCGTCTCAACCCTACGTTTTGGTGTACGAGCAAAGGCAATCAAGAATAAGGCGAAGGTCAATGCCGAATTAAGTCCGGCCGAGTTGAAACAATTGCTCCGCCGAGCCCAAAGCCAAGTGACCAACTTTGAGAGCTATATCTCAGCACTGGAATCCGAAGTTACCGTTTGGCGAAGTGGTGAGGCTGTCCCTAAAGACAGATGGACCCCGTCCCGAAGCGCCGAGGCCGTAGGGGCCGCAAAGGCTGAGGCTCGTGGTCCGCGACCAAGCACTCCCTCTCGCCTACATGACGTCTCTCGGTCAGAAACTCCGCGACCGGATTCCCGCATGGGCGACCGCTCTAGTACGCCTAGCATTGTTCTTGAGAAAGATGAGAGGGAGGAATTTCTCAGGCGTGAGAATGAACTTCAGGACCAGGTTGCGGAGAAGGAATCTCAGATTGCAACCATTGAAAGGGGCCTGCGTGAGGCAAGGGACGAGCTGAGAAGCCTCAAAGAGAACTCTGCACGATCTGGCAAGGACAACGACAAGCTCAACACTGAAGTTAATGAGCTCCGGATGCACCTCGAGAAAGTGTCCTACGAAAGCAAGGAAGCTGCTATTACTATGGATAGCCTTCGGGAAGCCAACTCAGAGTTGACCGCAGAGCTAGACGAAGTGAAGCAACAACTCCTCGACGTACGAATGAAGGCGAAGGAGACTACAGCAGCTCTCGACGAAAAAGAAAAGAAGAAGGCCGAGAAGATGGCTAAAATGATGGCCGGCTTTGATCTCGGCGGTGAGGTCTTCTCTGACAACGAGCGGAAGCTTCAGGATCTTATTGCGCGTGTCGATTCCTTGCATCAAGTCAGTGAAGCTGGGGAGGCAATCGCACCAGACGACCTTCTAGAACTCCGAGCCAGTCTACTAGAGACGCAAGGATTTATTCGACAGGCGGAACTCACCATGAACGACCGAAGTGAACTTAACGTGCTGCAGGACAGCCGCAGAATGGAACTGGAGCAGAAGCTGGCTAATCTCGAGCAGGACTATGAGAGTCTTCTGGCCCGCAACCTTGGAGAAGAGGATTTGGCGGAAATTAAGGAACGACTAGAGAAGGTGTACATCACCAGAAAGGATGTTGAGTTGGCGGCCGCTTCGGAACTGCAGCAAGAACTGACACGCAAGGATGAGGAGCTCACCAAGCTGCAGCAATCCCTTGCTGATTCGCAATCACGAGGGCCCGCCAACGGTGCTGCCAGCAAGAGCCTGCAGCAGCAGATTGCCGAGTTTGATGCGATGAAGAAGTCCTTGATGCGCGACTTGCAGAACCGTTGCGAGCGAGTCGTCGAGCTGGAGATTTCACTCGACGACGCTCGAGAACAGTACAACAACGTACTTCGCTCGTCCAACAACCGCGCTCAGCAGAAGAAGATGGCATTCCTAGAACGCAACCTCGAGCAACTTACCCACGTCCAGCGACAGCTAGTGGAGCAAAACAGCAGCCTCAAGAAAGAGGTCGCCATCGCAGAGCGCAAGCTCATCGCCAGAAACGAGCGGATATCAAGCTTGGAAGCCCTGCTCCAGGAGAGTCAGGAGAAACTCACCCAAGCCAACCATCGGTACGCCTACACCCCTTCCTCCTCCCAGGAAAATCCCTATCAGGAAACCCACTCCCCTTTCCATGGACCCCCTACTCAGAGAAGCCACAACGTACTGATGTCAACTCCCAACAACAGCTTCGAAGCTCAACTTACAGCCGTCAAGGAGCGCCTTGAGGCTGCCAAGCAAGGCTCAACGAAAGGTCTTCCAAGCATGGACAGCAACGGCGGCTTCAGCTTCGCCGGCTCAAGAATCGCTAAACCCCTCCGTGGCGGCGGCGGCGGCAACGAGCCTGTCGCGGCCGTTCAGTCGCAGGATACAGGCAACAAGCGCACAAGTTGGTTTTTTGATAGACGATGATCCACGAATTTTCCTCTTCTGCTGTCTCTTTTATCCTCCCTTCCTTGCAGATATTTAGATGGAGTCTTACTAAACTATCTCTCTCTCTCTCTTTCAACAAGAAATGCTGGTTGATGATGTGTTTCTTTGTTCCTTCTCTTTACCTAGTGGAGGCTTTACTACTGACTGATCGATTGGCGCTTCTTTTATACGGAAACGGCGGGGATATCCTATGCTATCTATCTATGTATGCCTACATGCTTTCTTTGGTGCGGTGCTGCCTAGATTGCGAACTAAGCAGAGGCGCTTTCATATTTTCTGCTTCTTTTCCGGAAGTTATGTTTTTCCAATGTTATCACCCTTTACGTTCCTCTCATACATGGCGGCTCATTATTTCGATCGCTGATACACATACAATTGCTTCCCTTTCTCAACCCACCACGATTACTACCTAATCTATGAAACAAGCGCAATGGGCTGGTTTGTGTTTTGAGCGTAAGCGCTAGTCTGGCGACTACTAGTAGATTTGAAAAGAATTGAAATGCGAGTTTTGTTCAATCCGTGTGTTGAGATATTTGTTTGTACAATAGTAGTGGGGAAAGATATATATCTGCCCAGTTTCCCGGAAGACCAACCAGCTAAATTAATAAACATCAAAAAAACTCCGTCATCAGTCCATACATGGGTATCAAAGCAAGAAGAAAAGCAAGTAAGTGCAAGAAGAGGACTAAACTAGGCTGAGAGGGGTCGACGAGAAAGAAGGTGGCCCAACCGCGAATAGCAAGAGAGATAAAAAGTAGCAGAAGATCAAAAACGAAATCGAATGCCTGCAAGCCAACAACTCCAGCTTTTAGCAAGCTCAAACAGGATAAAGTGGCCAGGTATACTAGCCATTTTACCCGACGAGACTGACGTGAACTGCCTCCAGTCCCATCGTGCTGGTGATGCGATCCATCCAGTCCGTTGTAGGTGGCTCCCTCAGTTCTTCTGTGATCAGCGACTGCACGACGAGACTCGGGCGTCCTGGTGATTCGGGAGGGGTGAGTGGAAGCTTGAATTTAGGGGTAGGATGCGTACTTCGCTGGCTGCGTGTCATATCACTAAGGAGCATGAAGTTCTCCGAGTCGATTGTTGCTCGCTGCTTCGGGTCCATTATCGCGATTAGATAGTTGAGGATCAATAGACCTAAGCGGACACCACGTGCGAAGTGCGATGAATAGCCCTCGAAGAAGAAATTCGGAGCAGGACCAACGAAGGTATCGTTCTCGTCCTGGCCAGAGCGAAGCATCGAAACTGAGACACCGAACTCGGTATATATACCTCGCAGTGCGGCTCGGGCAGCCTGCACATCTTGGAGGAGCGCCGAGTGAGCATCTGCCCTCTTCTTAATCGGTTGGTCCTGAAGTTGCCGCGTTCGCTTCACGAGTCCCGGGATCTTGATTACCGAGAGAAATCCCCGCTCGACAACGTCCGTATACAGCGAAGAAGTCGGTAATTTGGCGTCATTGGCGGCGATTTCCTCGTTGAGAGCCTGCCACTCAGGCTCTTCCAGGAAACAAGCCTCGCCCTCCACCAGTGCCGCGGTGATCAGGAAGTTACGGTATACAATATACATCGCCCGGCCAAACCCCTCCAGATGTGCTTTCGGGCCACGAAGCTTCATTAGCGTCCGAATACCGGCGGCATGACGCAGCCATGCATCTGGACTGCTGCAGTTGTGCTTCTCGAAGACGGCTAGAACGATCGCCGAGGCCAGAACCTCATCCGACTTGGCACTTCCTTCACTTGATAATAGCTGGCCGAGTGCACGAAGACCGCGATGGTACAAGCCCTGTGAAGCAATTGCGTATCGCGAATCGTCGTGGAGGGAGCCTAAATATGCAGCTGTACACGCTCGGACGGCCCAGTCGAAAGAAGAGTTCTTCGAGCCTCCTCTTTGATCAACATATTCGACCCAATTCACAGGGACTCTCGTTTCTGTACACCTGAAGAAGCAGGGAAATGAGGCGAGGACATAGTTGGTGAAAATCTGCGCCTGCTGAGAGTTGATGGCGCTCCCGCTCAATGATGGGTTTATACAATCGTCCATGGCAAGAAGCGTGATCGGTTTATACTCGGCCAGGGGAGAGGAACGAGGAGAACGGCGCAGCGGGAGGTCAACCTGGTCGCCGTTTTGTCGCCTCTGGAAAGATCGTTCAGGAGTCTCGGTGGGCGATTGCGATTCCGACGAAGAAGGGGAGGGTGTTGATTGATAGCGTTGTCGCAGAGCAGGGGCTTCGTCCCGGAATTTAAAGACGCGATGAGTGGCCGTGCAAGTGATTTTCAGATCTTGACATCGCGAACATGGAAACCTGCCATTGCACTGAAGATAGAGTTAGACCAGATGACAGGACATCTTGGACGCTGCTTGTCGCACGAGACCTGAGCTCAAAAGACAAGGAAAACTGTCGAAGAAGCGGGGAAGCTTCTGGGGTCTGGGAAATCTGGAGACTCGACGATGTCGTACAACTAAAGTATCGTTGCACCATCTCGATTTTTGAATATAGAGATGCATCATGGAAGACCTGGTCACTGACCTGAAGCTGTGCATCAACGCAGGACTGACAGCCGCGTGACGCTTTGACCATAGTGGTCACAGACTGGAAGAAGAAGCGCAGCCAGATTAGAGATCGGCGGGCGCAGCAACATCGAGGCGCACTTTCGAGAAGGAAAGGCCAGGAGTTGTGCGTGGGGACTCTGAGGATTCCGTAAGGAAGACCGGTAGATAAGGAACAGGGATGAATATGATGCTGGAGGAGCAGGAGTGATCGCTCGTCAGAACGCTGCAGTGACAGGTTGAGCCCTGAGGTTGTATGTAGTACGGAGGAAGCGGTGGAGCAGATCCAGGATCCCATGGCGATCGGTCGGGGCCATTGACAGTCAGTCAGTCATTCCGGGGCACTAATCTCCGTGACCTTGAACCAACAAATGGACAACTATTTGAGTTTGCTCGTCCATAGTCTTCAACTAGTCACAGCGCGTGCTCACACCTCCAAAAGCGATCCATGGTGGCATCATTTATCATTGTATGGACCAGACGCCATCTTTTCGCCTGGACCTGTCTATTGCCAGCCTGAGCCTGCAGAACTGGAGCCCCTGCCCGGCTCTTCTTCAGTCTTCACAGATCTGCCGCTACTGTTCAGGTTCCCTGCTGGTGATCAATAATGCAACGGTGCTATAGGAGCGCACGATTATGAGACTGGCGAGTCGATGACCAAAGACGCCGTGCCAACGTGCCTAGAAAAAGAAAGCTGACCCTCGGTTCCAATTACGGTACCGCGGAGATGCAGGGTTCGGGGTTGCACGATCACCTTATGTGCATGCACCTGGTCCTTCTCACACTATCCTTGATTCTACCTCATCACCTTACCCTTGGATTTCAGTACAGTGCGAACACTGCCGTCGAGTATTTCCATTCTTTTCACACAAGTATCGTACCAGCAAGACGTACAGAGTAGACTACACCAGAGGTGTCGACATCTGACCAGGAGGATGTACCAATCAGAATCGGCCGATGTGAACGGGTGGGGAAGTGGGAATCCTGAAGAAACAACAAGAGACGTTGGCAAGAAAAGGAAAAATGATATGAAGAATAGAAGATCATAGATATGAGCGCCGAGTTCGCCAATGAAAAGACAAGAGATCGCCAGCCTAAAGCAGAGGAACGGTCCGGAGAAAGCAATCATACCAGCCCGTCGTATAGCGACAACGCGCTAACAATCGTTTCATCGCGCTTGCTCCCTTCTTTGAACTCTTCCATATCGAGGCTGCCGTTCTCGTCCTTGTCCATCATGCGAAAGATCTTGCGGACTCGTTTCTCTGGCGTGTCCTCGTCCTCCGGAAGCTTCACCATTGAGCCAACCTGATAATCGCGGTTAGCAAGCGTCGTGCAGTGCCCAGACATGACATACCATCTTATAGATTGCCTCAACAATAGCCAGCATCTCGTCATAGGTGATCTTGCCATCGCCGTCAATGTCGTAGAGTTGGAAGGCCCAGTCCAGCTTGTCCTCCATTCTCCCGCGCGAGGTGACCGACAGTGCGCAGATAAACTCCTTGAAATCGATCATCCCGCTATTATCTGAATCGAAGACCCGGAATACATAATTCGCAAACGACGATGGATCGCCGAAGGGGAAGAATTTCCGATAGATGTCTTGGAACTCCTCCTTTGTCAATTGGCCGGACGGACAGTCCTTCAGGAAACCTGATATGACGTATGTGTCAGCCACCATTTCCTTCAACGGAGCACATAGATTGCTCTGGTCCTTTTTTGGCGACCCATCAGAGTCACGTACCCTTATACCATTGTTGCAGTTCCTTTTTATCGAAGTGGGTAGCCCTTTGGAGCTCCTCGAGCTGGGTAGGGGAGAGTTTTGACTGTCTGGGAAACAGAGGGTTAGCCGAAGTAAGTGAGCAGAATACTTCTCAGGTAGTATCAAAAAGGTTAGGCCATTTCGGCAGCGCATGCCATCAGATTCCCCACATAATGTTCGCAAACTTGCTGCCTGGCAGGTATGGGGAAGAGAAGACACAGCGAGCGAGCGGCCCGAGGTAACCGAACTTACGACTTGCCCATGATCAAATGGATTCTTGATGTATACCGATCGAGATATGATGTAAATCGCGAGTGGCACTAGTTCCGGACTTGCTGAGGCTCAGTGTCTCTCATGCGACAATGTTTGAGTTGGCAACAGAGACGCGGAAGCCGCGGGGTAAGGAGTCTGGATTGATAAGATCGTGCTCCGGCCGCTCGGGTGGTGGAGGGGCAGAAACTGGGGCGACAGGCTAAAGCAAGGGGGTGCTGCAAGACAAAACAAAGCGCCAAACGCGATATTGAAATTTGAAATAAAGGACAGTAAGCGTAAAGGGATCTGGACCTGCAAAGAGAAGTTAAGGTGATGGAACAAGATCACCGAAGCTTCGCTGGCAGATCCAGAACCTCCCAAGACTTGGCACAGCCTCACACGGGACGCTCCATTGATCGCATCGCCGACACCGCCAATACGTAAGAGGCGATTGATTCTATTCAGGGCTCGATGATCGGCGGCTCCGGTTTTAGGTGACGATGTACTCGTACCGCGGTAGGATGTACGCCCAGAAGCCATGTGCCTTCAAAGTTTCTACATACTGTACAGATCTTATCCACGACCATCTGATCTCGGACGCCGTTCTCGCAAATTTATATATAAGGAGGGCATATCAATGGCACGGAAGAATACGACAAAAAGCTGTAAAGGCATGCATAACGAACGCTCACAGAAACCCGACATGGATATTCAACAACCGCAAGCCAAAAGAAAGCCTCCGCGCCATGGCATAATCGAAAATAGAGCAATCAGTCGACCTTGATTGAGCCATAAATGCGTTGTATAAAGAGCCAACTGGCGAAGAAACCGATGGAGCCTAGTCCGGGCAATTAGTGGATAGTCAACCCAATGAACTCAGTGCAACAACATACCGGTAAGGATGAAAACAACAAACCCAATCAATGCAGAGTATCCTACATAGAGCACAGCCCCAATGAGACCACCGAAGCTCACCCTAGTCGCCCAGAACAGTAGCGCGTTGAGGAAAACGTATACACCGGTCATTCCAGCACCGGCAAACGCCCTCCAGTGCCACCGATAGTTCTCAGCGCAGAGGAGGAAATAGACCAGCAGAGCCGTTGTAGCGGCGGTGGTAACGACCATCAGGCCGTAGCACAAGAACAGGAAGCCAAACATGTAGTAGATCTTGTTGGTCCAGAGAGAAGTCATAATGAAGTACAGCTCCACGAAAATTGCGCCGAACGGAAGTATGCCGGTCAAAAAGAGCGATGGTACAGTCTTGAGGCTTCCGGTCATGGGCGGAATCTGCCGAGGGATTTGGTTCGTTTTCGTGGGTCCTTCAATAACCTATGCATCGTTAGAAGGGAAACAATCGGACATATCGTCAAAATACATACCCGCTGCTTGAATCCAATCCAGCTGCCGGCAAAACTCAATGGTACACTGATCACAAACCAAATCAGCACAAGGGCAAGCATTGTGCCGAACGGCACGGCGCCACTTGAGCCCTTCGCCCAGACGAATAAGTTGAGCAAGAAGAAGATGCTGAAAATGAACGCCGGAACCAGTAACGGAGTCATGATGATGTTGCGCTTCCAGGATTCACCACCGAACGCTTTGTAGACCCTTGCTGAGACATAGCCTCCGATGAATCCAAAAAGGGTGTAGATGAGCAGAATGGCAGTGGCGAGGAAACCTCGGTTCGCGGGAGACAGGAGGCCAAACATCGCAAAAACTAAGTAAAGTTAGGAAGAGATAGGATCATGTCATAGAGACGAGAACGTACCAACAGTGGCGCCTGTCATCATGAAGAGCTGAGCTCCGTTACCGACCAGGACACTAAGAAGCAAGGGAGACTGCGGGCATCGAAAAACATCTCCATGCACCAGCTTCCAGCCTGAGTCCTCTTGAATACCGTCCTCGACGGCGGCGGATGTTCCGTCCAAATCATCTAGGTTGAACGAGTCCAGGCGGTTGTATCGAGCAATGTCCTTCTTGAGAGCCCGAACAAGAATCATGCTGACCATTCCGACGAGAAAAATGACGAAGACGGCGGCGTTGACAAGCGAGAACCAGTGGATTTTCGGGTATTGGACCTTCAAGTATTTGTCCCACCGAGTTGCCCATGGAGTAGATGACTCCCGCCAGCCCACACTGTAAGTCCACGCCACGGAGGTTTCACCATCCTCATCCAAATAGATTGGTCCTTCCTCGTTGCAAATGGGCGTTCCATCTTCGGAGACATGCGAGCCGCTTCGGGAACTCGGTTGGACGAGAACGCCAATGACTCGATACTTCTCCTTGTTTCCAACATTCACCGGGTGATAGTCGATGAGAATATCAAAGTGGTTATGCAAGACGGGCCTGTCGCTCTCATCCAACTCGCCGAGGGAGAAGCCGGGGGTGTACGCCTGAGGTTCGGTCCCGGGATTTTGTTGAGCGGCCGGCAGCCCGTCTACCAGCCAATTGATGTTATAGCCCTGCGCTATCCTCCGGTCGGTAAACTTAGCGCTCCTCGAGTCGAACACGACCTCTTTGCAAGCCGCTTTGCAGGTTTCATTCTTGCCCATCTTCAATTCGAACGGCGACGTCTGAATTCTGTCCCCGAACAAAATGCTCCCAAGCGACTCTCGGACATCCTTCAGGCCATCTTCTGGAACGCAAAACCGGAACGCTGGGTGGTAGTAGTCGTACGAGAATACAGAATGAAGTTGCTCGTCCTGCTGCGCAATCCCGGGGGTAAGGTGGTTCACGTAAAGAGGTACGGACTGGCCTTCATCGTAGGAGGTTGGCGCTACACCTGGAAGATAAAAGGCCGCTGACAGCGTTGGGGCAGTCAGGAGGAGAGGAATAAGGGGCGACGACCGCCTGTCGAGCCGCATTGCGGGTGTCTCTGAAGCAAAAGGCGCGATTAGCTTAAAACAGTAGACTCGGCACTGGCTGGCCTAGGGATACATCGCGTTTGCTCGACTTACAGTCTACAGCTGCCACAGAATTAACAAAGCAAAGCTCATTGAGATATGAATCATTGGTACACCACTATCGCGCGAGGAAAAGAAGGAAAGAGCCCGAGAAAGAATGGTGTAAAGAGATGTTGTTGGAACTCAGAAGCCTAGCGGACACATCGGCAACAGGACAATGAATGCATCAGCCCTGTGCACGTGACCTCAAGCTTGCACGTGCCGATAAGATAACTCTCGAGTTTTTTCTTTCGTCCGCGGACTGAGAAAACTTCCAAACGCAAGACACAAGACAATGGCCATGGCAGCCCCGCAACCACAGCAGCCCGAGCTGCAGAATATCTCGAATCTTCTTGAGACACTCACTGCGTCTCTCTCGACCACCAGCACGTCCCTTCCGAGCGCCAAGCGCGAATCGCCCACGGAAGTTTCGATCCTTCCCCCGCAAGATGGCATCTCGTTGCTCGACACCAAATGCGATTTGCTGCTCTCATATCTCCAGAACCTCGTCTTCTTGATGATTTTTCAGCTGAGGGAGCTACCGTCAAAAGACGCTTTAGACGAGAAGGGTGAGGATCAGTCAATTCGAGCACAAGTCACAAGCAAATTGATCGAACTACGCACATACTTGGATCGCGGTGTTCGACCATTAGAGGGGAGACTGAAGTACCAGGTGGACAAAGTCGTCAAGGCGGCGGAGGAAGCGGAACGAGCCGAGAAGAGTGCACAAGCCACCAAGCCGAGCAAATCTAGACGCGGAGACGAAAGCGACAGTGAGGAGGGATCCGCCTCGGACGATGCTAGCGGCGTGGAAGGAAGCGAAAGCGAAACAGACGAAGACATTGACGAGATGGCTTACCGGCCCAACGTATCCGCGTTCTCGAAGAAGATGCAACCTGAGGCGGAGGCGGACAAGACTGCACGGAAAGCCTCGAGCGACGGCATTTACCGACCACCAAAGATCATGCCTACCGCAATGCCTACGACCGAGCGCAAAGAGCGCAGGGAACGGCCCACGCGCAGATCCAATGTTATCGATGAATTTGTCAGCGCCGAGATGTCCTCCGCCCCCATGGCCGAGCCAAGTATCGGTAGCACAATTGTCTCTGGAGGTCGACACACAAAGAGCAGGAAAGAGAGGGAGCACGAGGCCGAGCGGACTCGCTACGAAGAAACCAACTTCGTCCGCTTGGCGGGTGAAAGCAAGAAGGAACGAGCCAAGAAGGCAGCATCTCGTCGTGCCGAGGGGACATTCGGAGGCGAGGAATGGAAAGGCCTCACTGAGGGCGCTGATCGCATTACACGACTTACCAAGAGGGCCAAAGGCAGCGGCAATGCGCTCGAGAGGAGCCGCAAGCGCAAACTCACAGAGGACGGGCAGCGCGGCGACGGCGTCGGAGTCGGCCAGATCTTCGAGAAGCGCCGGAAGAAGGTCGAATCCTGGAAGAAATAGTGTTTCGGCAGTCTCAAAAGTCGTTTACCTCGGGTGGATTTGGAGTACAATTGTTTTATGTTTTACGTATAGACTACCCTTTGCATGAGCGCTGTGGTCATTACGACAGTCCTATGGTGTTTACAATATATGTCTTAACTTCATTTGATGCAGTGTCAGACCCTTAGAATAATAACAGAGCCTAGAGGGCTCCGAACCCGATCCAGTTACTGGATTGGAAGCTCGGAGTTTTCACGTGGAAGCCAACCACCATGACATCATCTCTTGTATCGCCATTTATCTCATCGAACTCCGCAGTTGAACGCCTACCATTAAGCCATATATCAGACCAAATTACCAACATGGAAGATCCAGGTTAGTACACCCATTCCCTCATTGCCATAATCTCGTCGCGCTGGTCCTTCTACACCAAACATCCCATCCGGACATCATCTCACCAACCGCTTGTCTCACCACCTCACGCAAAAACACCCACTTCATCAGGTCTTGCCGCCCATTTCTAACATTTATAAACCCAGTCGCCGAAATCTCAACCGTCATCCACCGTCTCACGCAATCTCCACCCTCCCTCCAAGAAGAAACAATCGACCGCTTCTTCACCCGCGATGCAGAATTCGTGCACCCGTTCTGTCGGATCTGGAAGCTCCCTGGCAGCCGATGGGGTGTGAAGAAGATATACCAGTGGTACAAAATCATGTCGCCGCATGTAGACCTCGAGGTTCGCTCTATCGGTATGTCTGCGCACGCCGCGTCATTGCAGCGAAGTCAAGACGGACGAATGCTAATGACCGGACCGATATAGCATACGATAAGCAGAACCTAAAGCTCTACGTCTCCATGTTCCAAGTCTTCTCGATCTGGGTGGTTCCTTTCCACGTCGCGCCGGTGACATTAACGACGGTTCTCGATCTCTCGACGGACCCTGGGGATGGACGGGAGGAGGATGGCAAGAAGCGGTATTACATCCAGAAACAGGAGGATTTTTACCAGACGTCGGAGTTCATCAAGTTTGTTGTGCCGTGGGGAGGGCATGCGCTTGTTCTGATGTGGCATGCGTTTGCCACACTGTTTTCTATCTTGGGTGTTTATGCGCTGTGGCCGGTTATGTGGGCTGAGGAGAGGGGTTATTTTAACTATCATTATCGGATTGCGAATGGGGCGAGAGAAGAGGTTGTTCATGCGTTGAGTAATCATGTTTCGGATTTGAAGGTTAGATGAGCGTTGAGTTAGGGTTGATTCGATTCATAAGCGGATAAGTCTATAGCTCTTAGGTATTTCATACAATGCTCATTACATGTTCAAGAATCATGTCATAAATCGGGCTTTGAAAAGCCTGCATTCCTTCAGATGGTCGACAGTCAATTGGGGTTCCTTCTCCCGGTAAGCTTAGTAGCCTAGGTAGCGTGCTGCTTCCTTAGTGCATTGCGGAAAGCTTCCTCCTGCTTAACGACTTGGGCCGGTAGACCTCTCCCAATCCCGAACAGGACAAAAGGTGCCCACTTCCACCGGAAGGGGTTAACCAGAATGATAAAGACAAACCAATAGACCAACTCGGCATAGGTAAAGAAATCGAACGCTCCGACAGGAGACATGCTCTTCATAAAGCGGGTGAAGTCAATCCAAGTCTTCATGCGGCCCTCAGTAGGGCGAGACAAGGGATCAACGAGGAACATGAGCAAGAACCTGGTGTAGATTCCAATGTGCATGTTACCAACGGTACCGATCGCGTTGACGTAGGTGCTATTATTGGCACAGATGCTGGGGTATGACGGGGGGAAGACTTGCAGATACCAGCTAGGCGGGCTATAGGGTTCTTCAAAGCAATCCTCGGGAAGGAAGTTAAGCGAAGGGCGCTTGAAGCCTGTTGCCTGAATTATGACATCGCCCTGCACCACAGATTCGCGGCCAGGGCCTCCTTGCGGAACACCCTTGCTCCGCTTGTTGAACAAGATGCCGTCTTCCTTCACAGAGACAATGTCACCGCGCAACCAGCGAGCCTTGCCTTCGCGAATTTGGTCAAAAAGTTCGCTGTTTGCCATGGGAGTCCCCTCGTACAGACCACCAGAGGGAGCAATATCCTGCAAGTCGCGGTAGAAGAACTTGTGAAGCAGGCTCTCAGGAATCCAGGATAGGAATGTCTCTTGCCCAAAGATGTTCATTGCCAGTAGCGATTGAACCCACACGTTTCTCGGAATGATCCATTTGTCGGAACGTGATAAAACGTCGATCTCAGCGGCGCCAGACTTTACAGCAAATTCTAGAGCTTCAATCGCACTCGCTCCGCCGCCAATGATAAGCACCTTCTTGCCTTTGACGTGTTTGCCGTCCAGCTCTGACGAATGGTAGATTGAGCCCTTGAAGTTTTCCTGGTCCGGCAGCGAGATCATTTTGGGGTCACCACAGACTCCAACAGAGGCAACAACGCCGTCAAATAAGCCCCATTTCTCTTCGTCATCATTGATGATCCATTTCCCGGTCCTGGTCTGCTTGACAGATTCGACCGGTGTGTCAAATACAGTGTGATCTTCGAGCTTGTATCGCTTCCATAGATCAACAATCTGGTCTCGGATCTCTTCTTGAGTGGGATAAGCAGCGTCGTAGGATACTGACGGGTGGAACCGGTACATGATGCTGTGAATCTGGAGCGATGAGGTGGAATTGACTCGCTGTTCTCCATTAGCATCCTTTCATCTGTATATGTCTTAATAAACTCACGCTCCAGATACCGCCTAGACCTTTGTCCTTTGGCCTCTTTTCAAATAGTTGCACGTCAAAGCCATGGCCAACACAGTGCGCAGCCGAAGACACGCCCGTTAGGCCAGTACCGATTATTGCCACTCGTTTCTTAGGAAGATTATTGGCAATTGGGCCTGATGGTGGAGGACCCGGTGCAAAGAACCAATTGATGATATTTTGGAAGATGACATAGAAGACGGTAAATGTTTGGAGGAAGGGCTGCCTGACAAAGTTCGCAAGAGACGGTGATTGGGAGTTTGATTTCGGCATGATGGTCGCACATGCAATGTTCGACGATGAATGAGTATTGTTGGGAAGCAGTCCCTGCGAGATGGATTCGTGTAGGAAGGGAATCTGAGAGAAGTGTATGCTTTTGAAGCGCCGGGACTGTTGCTTTTGTATGACGTAGGAGTGGACCGTCACATGAAATTACGTTGACCTTAACCGCGAGGTACAGGTTAACATCACCTTTTTCATAAGATGCATTTTTGTTTCCTGTTTACTTGGCTACAAGACATATGTCTGACTCTGACCTAATCTGTACGTGGACTGTTGCAAATGCGATTTTCTGCCTGTGATCACTGATTGCTCGCTCGTATGAGATATATAGATCTATCAAGCTTTAGCGTAGGCGACTTTAACTGAGGCCAACATGCCGTGAGTCGGACTAGTAACCTATAAAAAGGCACATAGTACTGGGCTACACAGTGGAATCATCCAATGTTCTTAAAGAAGATATCTAATGATCATCGGCTTTTGCCATGATGCCCTCGAGCTCTTCCTGTCTTCCTGTAGACATCCCGATCGGGACTAGCGCCCCTCTCGCCCGCGGAGGCCTTGCGGAGTGCGGACGTGAGAGTTCGAGATCGACTCTTTTGCCCACAACTTCGTGACGGAGCCTGCAACAACTGCTTCGAACCGCGTCCGCTTCGCATCACTCTCCGGGCGCAGAATATCAGTGAATTATGCGCCAACTTCGGTGAATACACCTCCACGCAGACTGCGATATTGGAGCTATATACCCTTCGCATCCCGACCGGCCTTACCACTCACCCCATACTCCGCATCCTCCGGATAACACGATGGCGTTTCCAAACACCCCCGTTCTCGACACATTTATCTCCTCGCTATCCGAGATAGTTCGCGACCGGGATGGCGCTAAGCTCCAAGATTTCCTGCAGATCGAACCGCCGCTGCCCGACGTGTACACGCAGATGGTGGATGAATTGCGACGAAAATACCCCAATGAATCGCCAAAAGAGGCAGAATTGCTACGGCGATGCGAAGGGCTTGTTCCCAAGTCCAAAGGGGGTAGCACCTGGACGGCTTTCCCGACATTCATGAAGCTCTACTTCTGCTTCTTGCGCGACGCCAATGTCGAGAATCTGCTGGAGACTTACGACATGTTGAAAGTGCTGCTCAAGTAAGCTTGCCTCTTGCTCCTCTGTCCCGCCTAGAATATGTCCATGACTGACTTGAAGGAACTTACTAGCCAATGTGTGATGGCACTCGGTGACAGCCAATTCGGTATTGTTGTCTTGCCCACGGTTTTGTACCTGTCTAAGGTACTGGCGAAACTAGCGATGGGTTTAGATCGTCGGCCCGAACTTATTGCTCACCTGCTAAGGCTCGAGGGTGGCCCCGATCAGGACGAGAGCACGGAAAAGGTCACATTAGTTGAGAAGTCTGCGAACGTGGTTCGAGAAGCGTTCATTAAATGTCTCACGGACCGCAGCGGTACACCTGGAGTCCACGGGAAGCCAGAAGGCAAGAGAGTTGGCATCTATCTAATGGCTAACCTGTGCCTCAAGCTGCTTTTCCAGGTGCGAAGATGCTCCCACCGTATCCAATTGATGTATGACTGACAATGCTCTAGTGTGGTAAACTACGCAACGCCGAGCAGATGTTTGCGAGTATCACTGCTCAATCTCCACCTCTAAAACATTTTCCCGCCTCCCAGAGAGTTACATACCTCTATTACCTTGGACGCTATTTGTTCTCCAACAACTTATTCTTCCCGGCTCAAATTGCACTGCAATCGGCCTACGACCAATGCCATCACCAGGCGATCAACCAGAAACGGCTTATTCTCACGTATCTCATCTCTTGCAACATAATAATGGGCCGGTTTCCGTCCCTACAACTACTGCAGAAGCCGGAGGCAGAGGGGCTGGCTGATAAATTCATCCCGCTTTGCCAACTCATCGCACGTGGAGACTACATTGCTTTCCGAGATCATCTCACGGTAAACTCTCCAGCAACGGAATGGTTTGCCAGGAAAGGCATCCTTCTGCCGCTGCGAAACCGGTGCGAGATACTCGTATGGCGCTCTCTAGCTCGAAAGGTCTTCATTCATGGAGGTTTCCATGGAGACCCCCAGGGTCAGGCACAAAGAGGACCGCCTCCATTCCTATACCTCACAAAACTCGAAGCTGCCGTACGGTGGCTACAATCCCAACATCCGTCATCACATCCCTTACCCACCACAACCCCATTTGCAAGTAGTATACCCCCACACACAAACAAAAGCCAGTACGGATCACAGATCGTGTCAATAGCGCCTGATCCAGACTTCGTCTCCCTGGACGCCCCCGTTACGAACGGATCCGGTCCAGATCCATCCTTGCTCTCAAAATACGCCGACTACCTTTGCCCAGACGGCTTCTTCGACGCAACAGGTCAATGGCAGACTAACCCAACCAAGACCCTAATCGACGGCACTCCCGACTCAGACTACAGCCAGTACGAGCTAAACCCGTACGCGGAAACAGCCGACCAAGAACCCGATAAACCGTCGCCTCTAATGCGCGAAATCGAATCTATCCTCGCCTCCCTCTTAACGCAGGGTCTGATGCGCGGGTATCTCACCCATCGGAACCCGCGGTTCGCTATTCCGGGTGCGCGACTACGTGGGGCTCTGCCGACGGGATTCCCGAATGTCTGGCAGACGATCTATGCTCGGGAGTCGGAGGATATGGGTGTACCGGGCTGGGTTCAGCCGCCGCCAACTATGATGGGTGGCACTCCCGCAGCATTAGGTGGAGGAGGGAGGGTGGTGAATCTCTCAGGCGCACGGCCTGTTGGTGTACAGTAACTTGCTGCTATGTCTCACCCCGGCCACGGCCAAATATTAGAAGTTACGCGGCTAATAAAGGCGAAGTATGGACATAATCCTAGACAGTAGTCTGAGTTCCCGAAATCTAAGCAAGAGTCTATAATTCAACCTCGAACCTGAAGTAGTGTTTTATGATGTTGACAGTGACTCCAACAGTAAACCTAAATATACCGAAAAGACGCATTCGTTCCGTCGTAATTCGTAGTCATGCGCAAACTCATGCGTATTAAGCATTGGTCTCAATAACAATTCTTCCCTCCAACCGAGGTGCAATGCCCGGCGTCCACTGCGGCGTATATGGGCTATTATCATTCTGATCCGCCTCGTCCATGGCCGAACTGATACCCGTTCTGCGCATCCAGCGCCGCGTTGCCCATCGTGCCAGGCGTAACAGATTTTCTTCCTCTTCGGCTGAGCGAGCCGGACGTGTAACGTAGTTGGTGAGTGGGCGCGGCGAAACAAGGATGTCGGGGTCAGAGTCGGAGTCGGAGTCCATCGACTCTTCGATATCAGGCTCCTGGCCTTCGTTGATAGCGGCCTGGGCCTCGGCAAACCGGCCGTAGTAGTAGTGTGTTTTGCGGTTGAGAGGTGGGCGTTGAAGGCGGGTGGGGACCTTTTCTGCGTCGGGCGATGATAATGCTGAGGGTGGTTTTAGCCAGCCGTTGGCGGACATGTTCTTCTGCACGTCTGCCCAGTGCCGGGTCATGCTCTTCCCTAGGTTCTGCCATCGGCCCATGACCTTCAAGCTGAGGAAGTATTGACGCATTAGTGTGCTGATGAGAGTTCCGCTTTCTTCGTCCACCAGCTCTTCCACCTCTCCGCCTTCGGATTCCACGAGTAGTGAGGCGAACCCGTCTTTGCCTCGTGCCATGTAACCTCGAGTGGCCAGTGTGTAGCTTTCTTCGAATTGAATGTCGCGTCCACCGATCTTGGCCCAGTTGATGCGCGAGCCGGGAGGGGCAGATGGGTTGAAACTGAATGATATATTTGAGACCTGGGTGAAGCGGCCCTCTAGGGCGGGAAGTTGGCTGACGCCGTTCTCAAGGGCATCAAAAAGTGCTTTGCCCTTCAGACGGAGCAAGACGACAGGATCTTCGAAAGGAAAACAATTTAGAATGTCGCGGAGACGGAGCACTCCCGGGGGGTATATTTGATCTCCGCGGATAGTACCTCCGGCCATCATGGCACAATCAGCACGGTAGTAGAAGCGCATAAGGTCGCAGGCAAAGTTCCCCAAATTAGATTCTCCAGCACGGACAGTGGAGAATCGTCCGTCAAGCGGACGGACTGTGTAACCTATAGGCTTATCCAACTTGGCTTTGAGACTCGAGGTGAGCTTAGAAACTAGCGCCACGGCCGATGGTTCTTCAGGTATAGATCGAACCATATCCCGTCGAACAATGTTGAAGTCCCATCCTTGGCCGTCCGTTTTCCGGAATGCTTCGATATAGCTTAACTGTTTGAAATCCGTACCTGAACGGAGGACGTGAACGCCGTTGAGAAAAGCATGTCCGTAAAAATGGTCGTGCCCTCCTAGTATAATGTCAATGAGGCCGTGAGGGATGTTCTGCGCTAGTTTATAATCATTCGGTTCGCGCTGATGCGTAACGGCAACAATCAACTCTGCTCCTTGCTCTCGTAGACGTGGGACGAGTTCGATCGCGGTCTTCGAAGCGGACTTATAAATAAGGTCAGGAGGGAGGGAGTTGATAGTTCCTAGCCTAAAAGAAGCGACGAGTTAGCTTTTAGTGCGACGCGCAATCGGTTGTCAAACAAACCATTCGCGCTCTCCGAGACCAATCACGCCCACCTTGATTCCATTCGACGATGTCAGCATGCAGGTCTTCTCGCAATTTCCAATTGGCACGCCTTCGCCGAGTGCTGGATCTAGGACATTGGCCAAAAGCCAGGGAAATTGACATTGGTCGCGCAAATGACGGAACTGCGCGACGCCGAAATCGAGATCATGATTCTGTTGACACCCGGGTTAGCCCTCGAGAGGTCTCACGTCAGCCGCAACAGCGTACGTACCCCTACGCATGCCACGTCTGTTCCCGCCTTGTTGAGAAAAGGCACCATGTGCCTCCCCTTTGTAACGGTACTTTCTAGACTGGGGTTGAACGCATCGCCGGAGAAGAAGGTGAGAGGGGTAGGTTGTCCGTCGAAGCTGGAATGCGACCGATAGTGGTTGATCACGGATTGGAAACGAGGGGCGCCGCCCACTGGTTCTGCGGAGCCTGGTCTTTTGATGCGTGGTTAGTCCCATTCCTGAACTGTTAGGCCAAGGTCCGAAGAGTAAAAAGACGATGGCTGTTGGTATACTTACTCGACATGATACACGTCATTGTAGTGGATAAGGCGGAGATCGGGCTTGCCGCTCCGATCAGAAGTATAGGTGACGGAGGAGCCGTCAGTTTCGACAGAAGACATGCTGGATGTGTATGTTCAAAGACGGTCTCTGAGTATGTCACCCAGAGGGGAAGAGAGGGGGAAGAGGGGAGGGTGGATGGTGGATGAAAGCGAAGGAAGAGGACACAAGGTAGCTTTGTTTCGGCCCTGATCGCGATGAACATGCAGGACAAGCTGATGTCAGGCACCCAGGCACACAGGCAGCGCCGCCAATCAGGGTCCGGGAATTGCGGAGGATCGACCAGACTACTTTAGTAGAAGAAGGCCATTACTCAGTATACTACTACTAGCCTGGGAGGCCCGGTGAAGAGAAGAAAGTTCCTATTGGAAGCTGCTGTTGTACAACTGAGCTGAGAAGACATAAGTGAGCCATCGGCCATCGCCAGTTTTCCCGAAACCAATTCATTTCAATCATAACACATCAATGTCGTTAATCAGAAAAACGCCTTTCCAGGTGGAGGGTATGGAGCATAAGAAGAATAGCGGCGCGCGATAGTATCGATCGGGCGCGGGTTAAGAATCCAAGGACAAAATCAGTGTGGTCTCTCAGCTACAGTCCACCGTCGACCGGAATGAGCCGATCGCTCTTTGTTCAGCGACGCGCTTCTCCAAAGACCACGCTGAGATAACGTTCGCTGCGGTAGTTTCGCTGACCATGAGGAATCTCCAGAGTTCAGTGATGAATCATCACTTGCACCATCCAAGCCGGAAACAGATGAAGATGATGCAGATAGCGGACTGCCAAAATTGGGAACCAGATCATCCACAGCATCGCGACTGCCTACGACAGACTTCCAAAGTCCCGAAGAGGGCCGGCTGGTTGTCCAGGATTGTAAGCCCATACCTGCTTTCAGTGACGGTCCCATGATGATGGGGCCTGAGGAGATCGTGGAACGGTGCCGGTACGAGGAAATCGGCGGTGACGGCATACCGCTCGTCAAAGGAGAGCGGAGAGAGGCAGGGGAACGGACGGAGCTAGTGATCGGGCTTGTTCCAGGACGCAGATGGTCTGCTGAGGCTATCTCGACCAGGTTATAGTGCTCGGGACCAGATGTTTTACTGAGTAAGTCATATTTCTTCGCGCGTTCGTCGTCCTGCGTCACATCCTTCATGCGGTCTTTACGAACAGCGAGAGTAAGGGACGCCGTAGGGACATTCACCAGCGCTGGCTCTCCGGATAGGGCACCGATCAGCGCGTTGCAGCCCGCCCCGTGAGTTACGATAATCAAGATAGTGTCAATTGCCGAGTCTTCCCCTTCGTTTTGCCCCAAATATTGCAGCTGTGAGCGTGTCCGGCGGTGGGCAGGTGCTGCGGATGCGTCGTCATCTTGGTACCATGAGATAATGCGATCGATACCGCTTCTAAAGCGGGCAAGCATGGTGCTCCATTCATCGCCATACTCACCCCCATTGCCCCAGTTCTGGGGTTCGCGCATGCTGTCCCACTGGTAGTCAACCAGGACACAACTGTCGCGTGCATGCGTTACATAACCATCAGGGATAGGGTTCGAAGGCGATATCGCATAACTGGGGATGGGTGGTGCATATGCCGCGCCAGGATCGGACGGGATATCAGTGTTGATTCTCAGCATTTTGCGGCCCCATGGGCTATCGACCGCTCTGAAGGAATCATAACTACCGGCACGATTCCTCTGTCCTGACCCGTTGGCCACGGCCGAGCTTGACTCAACCTCAGGTTCCCGTTCCTCCTCGATCTGTATAGGAGCGAGGCCGCTCCAACCTCCGGGAAAGTGACCCACGGTCGGGGTAGGTTGCGTGTCTGCCACAGGAATGACACTCTCATCGCGACGTAACAGCTCCATCTTTGCGGCCGCAACCATCTTTTCTGATTTTGGAGGGGCAGTTATGTTTTCAAAGTACTCGGCATTCAGCCATTCCCCGAGACATGCGTCGACGCGGAGAAGGCATCGAGGAGTACCTTGAGAAGTGTCAGAGCCGGGACTGGTTGTTGAATCGGAGGAGGGTGTGATGCCGCTTGGCTGAGTCGACGCGACTCGGGAAGGGCGGAGTGATTCTATGTCGGCATAGTTCTGACTGATCCCGGAGCTTATAGCGACGGCCGTTTGCACGCATCGAAGGAAAGGAGACGTATGTATAATAACTCTGCGTTTCTGTTTTCGTTCTCGAAGGCGATGGGAGTGGGCGATCGGGTCATGGTTCCCCGGCGTGGGTCTATCCAGTTGATCTTCCAGCGTTCGCACTTCGTTGATTATCCGCGCTCCGAGGGCGCGCGACTGAAGCCAGCCGCCGTACGACAGAGGCGGGTCATAGGGGGTCGGAGAGGTTAAGTGCCATTCCTTGTTGGCAGCATCCAAGCGTGCACCATGTCTAAAACAGGACGGATCGTTCAGTAGGGAAAATGGCCAGAAATCGAAGATGCTCTCACATACCGGACAATAAATATGGCTGCCGGAGGCTTGCCCATGATCACGTTGCAAAGGCGCGGGGGAAGAGTCAAGTCGAGGTAGAGATCGATCGGTAAAGACTAGGTGCAAGGGAAGAAGAGGTATGACCCTGCCAGGAGACAGCCAGGCTCAGTGTGACCGGTAACTGTTGCTACAGGCGGGGTAAACAAAGCATCCCAAGTCGGACGCGGAGGCACGGAGACGCGAGGTCTGGAGCACATGTATCAGCGGGAAAAGGAGAGGAAAAGTGGCATGATGACAGCTCGGCTACCTGCATGGCTTGCGAGTGAAGATATGTCCACCTTTCACCTTGTCCCGTTCTTACATGGAATTGAAGACCGAAGATTTAAAGATTTCTGGAGCATCACGAGGAACAAAGAGGAGAATGCCTCCGCTTGGCATGAATTTTGCGGGCCTCGCTCCGGCATGTGAAATCTGGTTACGTCAGCCTCTGAGGGGTTCCTGTCCATCCATCAGTTTGACATTCATTTGTCCATCAATCAGCTGGTGCCTTGCGGTGACGGTTTCCCTTGGCGACCTTGGATGATGATCTAGGAAAGTGAGTCAGAGACTCAGAGATCCATCGCTTGTTCTTGAGTCACGAGGTTTAATTTGTTGATTTGCTCGGCATTGCGTCCGCCCCGGTTTGACGCAACCTAATCCTGACTCCATCACGGCGGCCTACCTAGCTACAGAGTACTCGCTCTGATACTAGCTATGACGATATACGAAGGACAGAACCGAAGATCCCTTCTCCATGAGTAACGAGTCGAGATCGTTCCCACGATATCCCCCGCGTCCGGCGGGTGAATTCCCGCGGAACCGGGTATGGGAGTCGGACCCATCACTGGCCGAATTTATGAGTGATCAAGTTCGAGAGTCTAGCAAGTTGGAAGAATGAGGCTACCGTGACAATTGCACAACGCTAGTTTGCGTCGGTCCAAGTCCGCCTCGAAGCCGTTCGCGTTATCAGTCAGAAGCCGGCATATACATAAGATATGCGTGACAACAGATCTGCATCTCCTATCGCCCGCGATGCTCCCCTAGGGATACTGCCGAAACTCATTAATGCGGTTGGTCTTCGCTTCGCCACGAAGCTTTTTGAATGTTGGAGACGGTCTGAGATACTGTTAGCAGGAGGAAGACTCTAGGTGCTGACGGCTAGTCTCCCGAGGTCTCGCGCTCTGTCTTTTGAGGGTACTCGGCCATCTAAGATTCCACAACCCAGACTTTTCAGGGAAGAAATCTTTTATGGCTATATAACAAGCCCGAATAATGTTTCTAGCCGCCGCTCGTGTGCCAGAGCTCTCATAACTAAATCTTCCAAACAGTTTCCGGTCGTCAATTGCCAGCGAGATAGCACGGCTCAATAATCCCGATGGACTCTTCCTCTTGACATATGAGTTGTTGATGCGGCTTGCCGAAGCTTCCTTGTTCAAGAGATCGGCGTTTCCTACTGGCCTTGATAACTAGTCAGGACTGCCATTTTCCGCTCGTCGTGGACTCAACCCGTACTGCTAGGACATACCCAGCTCAATATTGATATGCACATTGCGGGGTGAAAACTAGACTTGCCGGCATTAGCCACCCCCACGCATTGACAATATACCCTCCGGCCGTATCTGGCATCTGCCTGATTGGTGCTGCATCTTGTGATCACGAGTTCGGCAGAGGCTTTGTAACTGGACTGCCACCCCCGAGATATAGAACCCGCATTCCATCTTTCGCTGATTGGACAGGAGAGTTCCTTAGGATTATATTCCGATCTGATCCCAGGACACCATGCATATGAGCTCGCTAATGAACAAGGATCCTGGCATTCGCTGCCAACTGTGCACTCGCGGTTGGAAGGCTCCTTTCTGGGCATGCATTGTTGCATCGTAGAGTAGCGGTGGACTCTGCCAGATCCCAGACGAAGACGACCATAGCAAGTAATAGCAATACTTAAGTACCCTGGAGCCCGCGCTGACATCGAATAGCAAGTAGTAGGTGACGTTGAATATCTCGGGACTCCCCGGGTCCCCGAATTTCGGAATATCGCGGCCGGCAGCCATTACTTCCAAGGTTACCGGTAAAATACCTTGGAAATAGGGGACAGCCTTCAACTCATAAATCATGCCACTTGATGCTCAGTGAAGCCGACCCGACCCAGCTGCTATGAGGTTCCTGCCACTGCTCCACACATTAATGCTTCTTTGTGCCACCACTCAACTCACTTGGCCATGGTCGCGTGCACAGCTCTCGTGCTGGCTCTAGTGGTCGCGACGCTAGTCTACCTCCTCTATAACTATTCGCGCCTCAAGTCTATTCCAGGGCCCGTTCTCGCTGCTTTTACCGACATTTGGAGAACGATTGCGCAGCGGTCTTCACCATCTGAATATGGCCGATTTCTGCTCGAGTTACATCAGAAATATGGCGCTGTTGTGCGCTTGGGACCTGCTGTCGTTAGTCTGAGCAATGTCGAAGATATAGCAAAGGCTTATCATACCCAGCTCTTGGACGAGGTCTGTGCTATGCGGTCTATTTTAGCTGAAAATGCGTCATTAACCGACTGCGGCTAGGCAAGCCAGCTTGACCTCCACGGTCAGCCATCTGAGCACCGGGAGGATCAGTTGGAAGACGTCGTTGACAATGCTTTGTGCAACCTTGTTCGAACTCTACGGCGATATAGAGTTGTCAACCTCACAATATTGCGCTTCTTTGCAGAAGAAATCATCACCGAGCTGGTCGGCAACAGCTACCTTCACCCTGCCGCATCCCATACTTCGAGCCAATCCCAACCTAGCCCTTCGCTCTTCGGGACAATGGAAGAAATACTTCTACGCGGGCCTGTTTCTCTTCTAAAGAGAGATCGGCTATCATGCTATGGCATATTAGGTGATGTATCAGCATCAATATCTGCAACTGACCCTGCACAACCGCGAGGATTCGGTACTGTCCATAAGTTTGTTGACCGCATGCCCCTCGGATGTGCATTCGCTATGAGCATCCAAGATATAACCGATACATTTGTTCTTCTGTTCCCTCTCCTTCTGAACAGCCCAGGTGTTCTGCGCAAACTTCGAAATGAGATTGAAAATATGCCGATGTTTCGTAATAGAGCTATTATTCCCTCGTCGAGGGACGTTACTGGTCTTTTCTACCTCGACGCCGTCTTCAAGGAAGCGATGAGACTTGTCCTACTTCAGAGACAGTCAAGAGAGATCCGACTATCGTCTGGCCTTAGGTCCAATGAGAATCTCCCTCATGGAACAGTGTTTTCATGGCATCCTGGTGTTGTGCTAACCATGGACTCTATTTTTGGAGATGACGCTCACATGTTCCGTCCTGAGCGATGGCTCACCTCAGACCGACCGCGAAGGGTATTGATGGAGGAATATTTATTACCGTTCACGATTTGTAGGGCTTATTACCCTAAACTTGAAGATGGATGGCTGCAGTTGAAGAAAACAGTCGTGGTACTGTTGAGGGAGTTTGATGATGTGAGTTGCCTTCATCGCTCTGCTCGTGACCCGGGCAATAACCGCGATGCCCACGACGAAGCATACTAAGGAATCTTCTAACCAGGAGATGTTCTCTCCGATTATTCCGCTTCGGATTGAAAACCACAATGCTGCCGATGGGCTGAACCAGCTTCCTCAGTCGATGCTGGTCGAGCTTATACCGAGGATTACCACACCCTAACGATGATCAACTGGACATCGCTTGAAGTGCTACGAGTCGGAGATCAGCAGTTACCGTCGCTTCGTCGAACGTCAGGTACACTGAAGACCTTTGACGCCGGTAAGAACTTTATGGCTCCGCGATGAACAAGACAGGGATGAATATTGCCGGATGTCGAATCTCGACTTACCAGGCTCGAGCCCTGGAGTGGAACGCTTTCGCCTACCATCACGAATAAATGCAACGAACCGTATGTGAAGATAGCGTGTCGGGATGACGAACATGTTTGCGAAACTGGTTTCGATCCTTGTCAAGTCTCCCAGGTCCAGGAAATGTGTCGGCTGCCCATATGCAGCCATCGCACGAACCTTTTGAGGACCATGAACAAGTCCCGGTTGCCCCATACTCTAAGAGGTTTTACCTCAGAACACCACAGAAAGTAATATTGCTAATTTTGGTCTGCAGAACGTCACCTCCTCGAGTCCCTGAGTCCGGTGTGTGGCGCACGGTGGACCATGCCAGGGGTCGACTTTCTCCATGTTTCACATTTAGCCGCGAGCGTGTCGAGCGCACTGACATCCACTCGCGGGGGAATATTAAAGATTAATCTATTCCAGGCTGAACGTCGAACCGTTGTTTCTGCAAACTCGGTCCGTTCCTAAATTGGAAATGCTCTGCAGCAGCGTCTCGTATTGATAATCTGGACATACGAAGTAGGGGACTTCCTCCTCTGAGTATAAATAGTATGCCATCGAACATGAGCCCTGACTCTTTGTTCACTTGAACTGTCATAGCAAGGATTGACACCATGCAGCTCCTTCAGACGCTTTTCGCGCTCCTTCCTCTTTGTCATTCGGCAACCGCTCTCCTCGCCTTCCCCGGCGCAGAAGGGTTCGGCGCCAACGCCGTTGGTGGTCGCGGCGGCGATGTTTACGTCGTTACAAACCTGGAAGACTCGGGAGAGGGATCGCTGCGCGATGCCGTCTCGGAAACCGACCGTATCGTCGTCTTTGCAGTGGGCGGCGTGATCAACATTGAAGACCGGATAGTCGTGTCCAAGCGCGTTACGATTCTGGGCCAGACGGCGCCCGGGGATGGTATCACAGTTTATGGGAATGGCTGGTCCTTCTCTAATGCGGATGATGCGATCGTTAGGTACATTCGGATGTACGTATCTCTTCCCAGGGCTCTCTCTAGCAAGGATAACGAGAATGCTAATTGGAGTCCGGCGACAGTCGAATGGGTCGCGGGGGCGACAGCGGCAAGGACGGTATTACGATTGCTGAAGGGGAAAATATGATCTTTGACCACGTCTCCGTCTCATGGGGTCGCGACGAGACCTTCTCTATCAGCGGAACAGCCGAGAACATCACAGTGCAAGACAGCATCATCGGGCAAGGTCTGGAGACACACTCGTGCGGCGGACTCATGCAGACAGATGGCGGCGTCTCCCTGTTCCGAAACCTGTACATCGACAACAAGACGCGTAACCCTAAGGTCAAGGGTGTCAACGAGTTTACAAACAACCTTGTCTACAACTGGGGTGGCGGCGGCGGCTATATTGCTGGTGACTCGAGTGGACAGTCTTGTATGTTTCCGCCTTTCCCTACCTTATAATGTTGACAAGGGCCTGATACTGACTGGTAATCATTGACAGACGCAAACATCATCGGCAACTACTTCATCAGCGGTCCGTCAACCTCCGTCACGGCCTTCACGCGCGGCAACGCGAACTTCCACGGCTACGTCGAGAACAACTACTACGACCCCGACCAGGACGGAACTCTTAACGGGAACGAGCTCGGCGTGGCCTCGTCTAATTACGGCGGTATGGAGATCGTTGACACGAAGTACGACTATCCTGCTGTTGAGTATGTCATGACACCGGACGAGGTTGTCACCTATGTGACTGAAAGTATGTCTACCCCAACCCATCTTCATGTAAATTTAGTGAATCAGGGACTAATGCGAACGCACAGACGTCGGTGCCTCTCTCGTACGTGACGACGTGGACGCCAACCTCATCGAACAGGTTCTGTCTTACGGAACAGACGGAGCTTTGATCTCGGATGAGGATGACTTTGGTGGTGTTGGTGATCTTGACGGTGGCAAGACGCCCACTGATACCGACGGCGATGGAATCCCTGATGATGTTGAGACCCAACTCGGGACGGACCCCAGTGTTGCTGATTCGACGGGAATTGATAGCAGCACTGGGTACTCCTGGCTGGAAGTCTGGGCCAACTCGCTGGTGCCGGAAGGCTACGTGGAGACTGCTAAATGCTAGCGGTCTGCTATATGTATACATGCTTGCATATCCATATCCTTTTCACTCACATTACCTTTAAATTAATGTAGTTTTCGAGCGTGTTATCAACCTAATAGCATGGCCAAGACCCCAATAAATAATAAACCTCACCAAGAACACCATATGTGAAAAACCCAGAATCAAAGTTCATCTCTAAAGCGAAGTTACTCAACCCTCACAATCCCCAACTTCTCATTCTCCTCCCTCCCCCTCTGACTCCACAGCGGCGCCTCATCCTCCCCAGCTTCCTCCTGCTTATCCCCCTCTTCTTTCGTTGAATGCACAGTGTGCGGGTCATGCTCAGCGGGTGAATAGATGGTAACCACCTCCAAGGGGACATCACCGGCATTCAGGAACTGGTGCTGCGTGCCCGCGGGGACAATCACCACGTCGCCCTGCTTGACGGTCTGTTCCTTCCCGGCCACGATAGCCTTGCCAGTGCCGTGTGTGAAAAGCAGGATTTGGTCGACGGCGTGTTTCTGGGATACTTGGTTATTATGTGTTCCAGGGCTTTTTTCATGGGCTCGCCTACCTCGTCGCCGATTTCTCCATTCACGGGGACTTCCATCGCGACGAATTGCGAGTAGAGGCCTGTGTGGATGACCTTGCGGAAGACACCGAAGGACCGGGATGGCGAGAGGATACCCGGCAGGTACACCATCTCGTTTGGTGGCGGGTTGCTGACCATATTGGTGGTCGAGGTTGAGTTCTGAGAGGAGTAGGATTTATTTCGACGGAAGGTCGTTGTGAATCGAGGAGATATTGGCTGTCGCGGTATTCTACCGGGGTGAAGGACGTTCTTGGGGATCTTAAATATGGGTGCTTTATTCATGCTGACGAGATTTGATTTGCGATATTCCGGCGTCTGGCCACGGTTCTTATGCTGCGATTACTGAGCTTATTCGCCGTCAGACCCCGGTACCGGTAAGGCCGGGAGTGACGTCGACGCTTGTCCATGGTCGCATCCGGAGAGTGACAATCAGGAGGCGCAGGTGGTGGATGATCAATCTTCGAGAACTTGATATGACAAACAGGCCTGAACTGATCGAAAATATCGTAATTGTACCTGTACCTAAGCCGAATGGATACTCAGCCGGGCCTGCTCCTTGTCCGGCTTTGGGCTTGCACGTCATAGCGGACATTCAAATCCATGACCACCCAATAACAAAGAAGTCTCTTTCAGAAGCTGGCACTGCCAGTGTCTTAATAATCATCTAGTGGTCGAGGCCTCATAGAGCATTGGTGGGAGGTGGATCCATATAGCTCAGGAGCCAAAGGCTTAGGGTTAGATCCCTACCGCATTGTCTCCCATCGTCCTCGAAGATTGCTATTTCCGTTTAGCTGCAATACTTCAGTATGGCACCGCTTGACCAGCGAGTAGGTTAGACCATATCTTGTCGCAAAGCGCGCGTACTCTTCTTGCGCTCGGACTATCGCGCCTTTGACGCGAAAGGCTGTCAACGCGACCTCAACATCAGGGATTGGTTAACGTAGGGACAACAGTTGCCGGGCAAACCTTGAGCTGCATAGATGCCCAAAGAGATGCGGAGATGTCTCTTTTCGACCGCGGGGAAGAAAAGACAGAGCCTCACCCTGTGGGATATAAATGCGGTTGCTATCTGCACATAATGAGACACAAACACTTGCACCCTTGAGCACATACCAGTCTCCCATCAAGCCCTAAGGCAACTCTCAACATCTTTGCTTTCTTCGTCATCCCTTCTCTCAATGTGGGAGTCCCTTCTTTTCCAGGTCACTCTATTTTTGACTGACAAAGCAGAGAAACAGCAAGACGGGATACACAGAACAATGTCCGATATCGTGAACTATGCAATCGGCGGCACAGGCCTCATATTAACCGCCATAGCGACCGGGACCGGCCTCTACACCGTGCACGTCAAGAGAAAGGAGATGCGAGACGCTGCACGATACCCGCGGTCTGCTGAAGAAGGAGCAGCCGATGAGCGCGTTTTGGCGCGAGCAACAGGAATCCAAGGGACACAGATGACTCTGAAGACCGCTCAAGAATGGAGCGGCTATTTGGAAGATACGGGCTAAACCTTGCAAGGCAAGACACGTCTTGTATGGTAGCTTAGTGCGCGGGGTCATGTCAAAGCAGACGCTGTGAAGTATGTGCTTGGCTTGTTATCCCTTCATGTGGTCTGGAATGTTTCACAAAGCAAATAAGAAGCGATACTGATGGCCATGAGAATGTCACGATGATCGTTTTGGGATAAACAGCATGTAATGTGTCCAATGCATGAGCACCTGCTTGGCGCAGTCTGGGTTGTAAAAAATGGGTATATGTGTCAACACTTTCCCTCAGAGTAGATACTCGTACCGAAGCATGCCCACATACTGTTCAGATTGCTGTCTGATGTGGTACGACTCGCGAAAGGGAAACGGCGGAGAGTCATGGGTCTCAGTCTCCTGATGGGCTTGCTGTTCGACTCGAGGAACTCGAGGACGCGTCTGGCGCGGCTCTTCATCCGATGATACCTCGGTGCTGCCTCTGCTTCTCAGTATGCTCTGTATGTGCTGGGCCCTTTGTCCTACGGATCAGATAATCCAAATGGGAGCTTTGGTTGAGCCCCGGTCAAGATGTACCCTATCAGCCAATAAACACCGAGATGCAGACGTCTGGCGTTCCTCTTTGGACGACAACCATCGCTTGGCGGCTTCTTTGAAGATAGGACTGACACTTATGCAGGTCTTGTTGCATCATAGTGCCGGTCCGTCCCAATCTTATACTGCTGCTAAGTGAGGACAGCTCCTCAAGACCGGGGGAGAAAACGCAAACGCTGGGTTTTCTGGACTTTCCCCTCGCTCGGGAGACTCAATTCATGGACGTCTCCAAGCACATGAATTTAAGTGGGTTGCTCTCATTTCCCAGCAGTGGGCTGTAAGAGGTATACTCATCGCGTAACTGAATAATCTTCGTGCAATAGAACGAATAATGGATTAGAGTGCTCCGGGTTCGATGAGTCGTGCATCAGCACCCTCAATCTTTTGCTGCTATAACCGCATTCCCGCAAGCGATATGACGTCGGCCCACATTGGGGCGTTGCGCCACCAATAATCCCATGGCGCCGAGATATCCGCGTCGTTATTGTCTTGTTTTAGCCGAGGACTCGAGATTGGAGGTGGATCAGCTTGGGGTCCAAAGTCGGTTGGTGCCTGCTCGAATGAGCTGCGCTTGTTCTTAAGTAGGGCACTTAGACACCGGACAGATGTTTAGTCGCATCTCCTGTCGCGCCGTGGCTGGCTCTAATCTCGGGTGGCTTGGATTGGCGATTTGGCATTCGTACCTAAACCATCGTCATGATTGTATGTACGTCGCTAAAACGAGTAGAAGTCAGCATCGAGCTCAAAGTCAATTAGGAGGGCGGGGCAAGATAATTGGTCACCTTGACCATGAGCAGAGAAGCTATGGAGTGCCAATAATGCTCCGGAATAAGGACGGAAGACGGTAGTGAGGGGGTACCTGGACTCCTACCCTGAGTAAGAAAGACGCCAAGGACGGCGACGGCACAGTCCCTTTGCAGGCACGCCACGACCACAAGTCCCCGAGCTTCTTCATGGCTTTCCAGATCAAGTCTTCAGCCTCCTTTGACGTTACTATTTTATGCTTCTCAGTTCATAGTTCATACGACCGGTCCATACTATGAGCTCCGCGATGTGCGGTCAATCCCCCAGATTCTCTCCAGATTCCCACTTTTCAGTCTCCTCCCCCGCGCTGTCTTGCCGATCGGAGGTCCACAGTGGATGTGATTTAGACAGACACGCCATCAGGCGAGGCGGATTCGCGTCATCCAACGACATCGTTCAATTTGAATCCAACAGCACCGCTAGCCTCATGGTCTAGTCTCGTCCGTTTTCGTCTCATGCAGGCTCCACTTTGGATCCAACCTCGCTCCGGAGGACCAGAAAAAGTCCCCAACCAACGACCATACCCAGCACGACAGGCATAAGCTTCCCAATGCGGAAGGATTGGCGAGGACTTGCGGCGTGGCAATGGCGATATAAAAGAGCAGATGTGTCGCGAATCTTGTGGGGATGGTTGTGTTCCGTGTTCTCCTCGTGCTCTATACAATCTTTCTTATCTCAAGTGCTTCGGAATACCCACCCTGCTTCATCATGATTGCTAAGACCGAACCCATTGCGGAGACCTCGTCTGAAGGCCATATGGACCAGTTCCACACCAAGATCGACGCAGACTCCCTCCATGAGAAGGTAGTCCTCGTCGTGGGTAAGTGCTTGCCATCGATTTCTGGTCGATGCTAACGGCTCTAGGCGGGTCCAACGGGATTGGTGCTAGTCTTGTTGAGCTCTGTTGCGAGAACGGAGCTTATGTGACGATCGGAGATATTGATGCCTCTCGCGGAGAACAGCTGGCCAGAAAGTGTATCCAGCACTGGCCTGTACACTCGGAGCCCACTGGCCCTCCCAAGCCCCCTCGCGCAGTCTTCCAAACGACAGATGTGACAGACTATCAGTCCGTGCTCGATCTATTTGACCGTACCTTCAAAAAGTACAACCGCATTGATCATGTCGTGGTCACTGCTGGCAGTACAGAGACGAAAGAGACATGGTTCGACCACTCCTTGAACCTCACGCAAGTCCGCAAGGTGAGAAAAACAAGCTACGTGGGTAGATCTCAACCCTAAAAGATGATAGGCTCCATCTATCAAGGATATCGACGTGAACCTACTGGGGACACTCTATGTCACTCGCTTGGCGAGCGTATACCTCCGCCACAACCGGGGTCCAGGGGTGGACCGCTCCATTCTTCTATTCTCCTGCGCCGTGGGCATTAAAGAGACGCCTGTTGTACCAGTATACCAGGCTGCTAAGAACGGTGTCCAAGGTCTGATGCGCTCCCTTCGCACCAACCTCAACTCGCCATACTGCCACAGCATTCGTATCAATACAATCCGCCCTTGGATGACACAAACCGACAACTCCTTTTCGAAGACCGTTCAAAAGCACTGGACCAGGGCAGGACTGCCCCTTAGTACTGCTGAGGATGTTGCAAAGGTGTCTGCTGGCGTGCTTTGCAACGAGTCTCTCCACGGTGCCTCCATTTATGTCGCTGGTACGCGTGCCTGGAAAATTGAAACCGATATCGACCGCCCTGAGCCAAGGTGGCTCGGTGAAGAGTCTTCCCAGACTCTCGAACAGGGTCAAAAGGTCCTGGAGAAAGTTCTTGCTGCATGATTGTCAGGCTGGCCTACACGAGCAGACTACTACGGATGTTCCTTTGATACCCACGCCCGCGAATCCTTGTTAAGAGCGCCTTCACTATGCCAATGGCCGGGTATTGCTACTCTTCAAATAATTCAGGTCATAACTAGATATGATACAGGGAAGAGATCGCAATAATTCATACAAACATGTTTAAATATCGATTTGGAGCTCGGCTCGCATACTCGACGATTGAAACCCCGTTGTTAAAGATTCCTTTGGCCTTACCTCCGGACTTCAATGAACTGCAGGCTATGCGTAGTAACCACCCTTGGTTAAGTCCTTTCCGCCACGGCCCCCACCTGTTTGGAGTCAGACGAGCCTGTAAACACGACCCAACCAATCACGGTGGTCCTCTATTCGATCTTCTTATCAGAGAGTAGCATTGGGCCTCGTATGCGTATGGGCAGTTGCCCTAGTCTGCTGTCCAGGAAATCCAATAAAGCCAAGTGCCTGGAATGCCCGGTGTTGGTCTCTCAACCTCTTTCCAAGACAGCTAAGCTCAACCCCAAGCCTCGAGTAATGCCACGAACACGATGCTGCACCCTCTACCACATCACTTTAATGTCTCTTCTCGCCGGAGCAATGGTAGACTCTTCTCCGTCGCCTCCAGTATCCACTGACAGCGCTGGGTCAAGCGGTCGCGGTCGCTCAAGAAGCGAAATGTCCGGGATTTTTATCGGCGCCACTGTGGGGGTTCTGGCTATCGTTGCAGCGATAATTATGTATTTCTGCCTGCGTCGCCGTCGTCGCCGCCGGGCTGCGGCTTCTGCTACCATGACGACACCGGAGATAGCGACGGATAAGACTTTTGCGGTTGTTGATGCTGATCCGTCCGGTCTGGGGGATAAGGATCGCGAGCATAGAAATGGCGGTGCTGGGAGCCAACCTCAGAGGCCTGGAATTGACGGGTGATGCGGGAGGGACTCATAGCGCCAAAGAGCTGGGATTGACTGAGACAACAATATCTTCGCCCCCGCCCAATTTCTCTTCCTCCCTCGCCAGCAAATCCTCCGCCGTCTGCAGAAGTTGGGCTATGGCTTGGGGTTGGTGGAAGCACGCAATAACTCTCCAGAGCCCGAGTCCTCCAGCTTCAATAACACAGATGGGGTTTGCGATGGAACAGACAACTCGACGGAATGGTGCTGGGGCATAGGCATCAGCCGCTGGGGAACAAGCGCTGCTGTGAGCGTTGCGCCAGTGCTTGCTGCCATGGCACCTCATCCCTCCTGTACCTCGTCTTCATCCTTGACGCTATTAGCAACGCTAACCCTGACCGACGACGCACCCGATAACCAGGTTCCCTCCTGCGGTTGAACAACCGGCGCAAAAGCAGGCATCGGGGTCGGGGGAGCTGCTGGTGCCGTGGCTATCTGTCCTCATATTGCTTTGGATGCGCCGTCGCAGAGCCGCAAGTCATGCAGAGATGTCATACGCTCAAGCCTGATGTGGAAAAGGCTGGTCCGTATCAGCAGCCTGCGAAAATGTTCAAGCGGATGGCGAGAGTACACCCTATGAGCTGATAGCTGGGAGTGGGTGGAGAGAGTGAGGCGTGAGATGCCGACGTGATGTATCTCGTGTTGTTTCAGACCTGTTGCAATATGAATCATGATACATTCTTCGCTGGTATGTTGAAGGGTACTCCGTAAAGGCTGCCGAGACCGGTTTTCGGACATAACAGTCCCCGGAGCGAGCCTCGGGCTCGGGGCTCGGAGTTGCTCATTTGGAACTTATATCCGAAGCTTTAACTCTGTTTACATTGGGTATTCTACAGCTGTAACCACGACAACACTTGGCCCTAGCCCCTGTCTATACTTTTCCACGAATCAAGAACTACCTACGCCTAATTCGGGTTATCCGGCGTCAACTTTGATAACCTCCTCAATCTCGGTCCATACTTCATAAACAAGAAAGGTATAGGCAGCAGTACAGCCGCAACAGCCCCGATAATCGATACAGCCGGTCCAACATCCAGCGCGCGGATCATCGGTCTCGCAGCAAGGGGCAGTCCCGCAGCCATGATACTCCGCAAGAACGTCACAGCAGCGGTCGAGCTCGCCGCGTATATGCCATACATATCAACAAGATAATTCAGACACTGCTGGAAGATACAGTTGAAGCCGATGCCAATAAACAGGGCTGCAAGACAAGGAAGGATCCAGTGGTGGGGCGGCTTCGCAGTCCACGCGAACCAGAACGCGCCGATGACGAAAAAGACAGCCCCGAAGGCCATGGGCGGTAGACGGGCTTCAGGGACGGCCCTTCCGCCTGCGTTCTTGGCGATGATGTTGTAGCGGTATTGATTCCAGATGTTGAGGCCGACGGAGGAGATCACTCCTATTAACAAGGCGAGGAAAGGGAGCGTTGCGACGACTGGGTGCCAGGCGCGGATTTCTTGAAAAACGATGGGGAAGACTTCGAGAGTAAGGTACATGACGCCGTAGACGAAGGATGCATAGATGGCGATACAGGTGACGACAGGCTCAGTGGTCAGCATAACCATAGGGCGGGAGAGCTGTTTTGTCACGATGGAGTGGACATCGAGCTTGATGTGCTCGTGCGGGTGGTAGTAGCGGTTGTCGTTCGTTTCTTTGCGAAGACGCTGCGCTTTCTGCTTCAGAAGCACAAGCGGATACACTTCCGGCAGACAAAAGAAGGCCATAACGAAGGTTACCATGACCCAGATGGCGAGGATGTACCCGGTCCAGCGCCAATTGAGATGCGGGTTCGTGACGAGGGCTGCGCCGATGACGGGACCCAGCGAGGGACCACCATTGACTGCGACTGCGTACAGACTAACGGCGACTCCTCGCCTCTCGCGACTCCAGATGTCGCCTAATGCTGCGGTGACGTTGCTGATCGGCGCTGATCCAAAGAACCCGGTGAAGAATCTGGTGACGAATACCGACGCGGCACTTGTGCTTCGCGAAGTGCCGATTGCGAACAGTGCCTGGCAAAATACTGCTGGAAGAATACTGACTCGTCTTCCCCAGATCTCGGACATGGGCGCCCAGATGATGGGTCCGAAGATGAAGCCAACCCTGTTAACTCGTGTTAGCCATTGCTAGCTAATTCAAAGAAAATCCGACCACTTACAAGTACAACGCGACATCCAGAACAGACACCTCCTGACTCACGCCAATATATTGCGCGATAATATGGTCGGCTGGCGTCATGATGCTGGATCCCAGACTGCCGGCAAGGGCAAGCATACCCAGTTGGAAAGTCACCCACCACTTATACCGATCTGGCCAGTTCTGGGGGTTCATCGGGTCGTCCTGATCCCATTTGACAAGGAAGTCGGGGTCCAATTCTACCGGCTGCTTCTCGTCCCCTGGCGTACCTTTGACGCCGACCGGAAGAAAACCCATGCTGCACGCTATACCCAGCCACGGCGGGATGTTTTGACAAGTGGATGCACAGATGTTCCTGACTAGAGCCGCCCCATGGAATATATAGAGAAAAGTCAGGGACTGGACCGGTTAAAGATTCTTGTCCGCCTCGGAGTCGGCCGAGATTTCAGCAGTGGGGATCCCGGATAAGTCGGCGATAACCGTCGATCAGTTGGAGATGCTGCCCCAAGGACAAGGCCTTGGTAGCCCTAACCAGATAACGAGGCCGAGTTGGTGTACTCAAGATATCCTTGATCAACAAGGTTGCTTGAGCCAGGGTAATTGGGTCTTAGCATTCCTGATATATTGCGTCCAGTGCTCAAGTGCGAACAGCAAGAACTGCGTTTCCTCGATATGGCATCTTCGCCCGAGGTCTGTTGCTACCGAGATAGCAGCCGTGACAATGTTGCACAAAGGACATTATTCTGCCTTAGTAATAATCGCAAAATTCACAATGTTCAGTTAGTTGAATCTAGGACCTACCTTAGGTTGTGGCTAGGTATTGTCCCTTGCAGCCATGGACTGGACCTGTGCACCGGTAACCCTAAGATATATTTCAGCTTGCCCACGATCGCCTATCAAAACTTGTACATCTCCAATTCCACGTGTCGGTTTTCGTAGAATAGAGCATTGTATATCCTCTGCCATTAGAAGGGCATATTTCAATTCTAACCATCATCGAGACAGAATAATGCTTACGACTGATCGCATGGGAAATGATCTTGCATTGTGCAGTGACACCTATCGAACATACCTAAGGCAGGGTTTATCAATAACAGGAGAAAGACCAAATGAACTGTGTCATTAAAGTCTCAATAATAAGACCAAATTGAAATCACTTTCCGCCAACCCAGGAATGCCGACAGATTGAGACATGATTCATTTACAAGTTTCAACATAACGCCCCTTCTATCCCAAGGACACCAACACAGCATCAAACCCGATTCCCATCCCCCTTCCTCCCCATAAAAAGCGCCCCCTTGCCCAAGTCCCCATTATCCATAACCTCCATCCTATACCGCTTCCTATAAGCCCGCAAACTCGTTTCCTCGCCCGTGCGCAGCAAAAACCACCGAAGATGCGGCAGCGGCTTTACGAGCTCGTCCACACAGTCCAGTATCCACCCTCCCAGTCCAAGGCCCTGGTGGTCCGGCAGAATGTAGACGTCTGTTAGGTATGCGAGGGTGACGCCATCGGTTATGAGGCGGGCGAAGCCAATTTGCTGCAGCGCTTGCTCATTGTCACTGGCGGGTGTTTTGTACAGGCCGAAACAGAATGAGTTGTCGATCATGGCTTGGAGAGATTCGTCGGGGAGGGGGTTCGCCCAGTATATTGCGTCTGAGGCGAATGCGGTGTTTATGGCGGGGAGGGAGAGGAGGGTTTTATCTGTTGAGATGAGGAAGGATTGGTTGTTGGATTGTTTTGTCCATTGCTTGGGTGTTTGGGGGAGGGACATGCTTGATCTTGATGTGATCTTTGGTTATGCGGAACTTGACTCAAGTACGGTACGAGAGGATCAACGTGGGTTTTATATATGTATGGAGTAGATCAGAGACTCATCCGATCACGCAGGGCTATTATTAAGCGTGAGTCACAGAACTACTCCAACTACTAACTATACGCGTATAGAAAGTAGCTTGCGAGAAAGGAAGTGATGTGGATACAATGGACTATATTTTGATACAGGGAAAATTTACTTCCTCACAATGCGAGTTTGAAAGGTTTAAGCAGAAGGCGCGGCAGAGCCGGTAGGGGCAGCGCCAGAGGGAGCGGCACCGGAAGGAGCACCACCCTCACCACCACCACCGCCGCCGAAAGCAGCGCTGTCAGTGTTCTGGTGACCACCGTTCTCGTCGTAGTATCCGGCGATGCTGTAGTAAGAGTTGTCGGTGTAGTCGGCCGAAGCGTTGATACCAATCTGGATCCAGGCAAAGAGACCATCATCCAGACCGTTGCCGAGGTAGATGTACTCGGGGTAAGGGTCGAAGTCGTCGCTGGCCTGCTCAATGCTCCACATGTCATCGGCGTTGGAGGTAATCGCCTGGGTGTTGGTGTTGTAGGGGTAGGTGTCCTCAACAGCAGAGCGGAGCACCTCGTTCCAGAAGAGCTGGCCGATGTGGGCGATGCTGCCGGTGCCGACCTGGAGGGTGCCGTTGTTCTCGTTGACGGTGGCACCGATGTGGGTCAGGAGATGGGTGTGGATGGCACGGCCATCGTAGTGCCCGGGGAAGATGGTCTGAAAGGTGACAACTCCATCTTCATCGGACTCTTGGATACCGCGGAGGAAAGTTGAGTCCCAGTCGGCTTCGTTGCCAGTGGCCACAACACCACTGCGCTTGTTAGATATTATCTCGTGGCAATGGTGTGAGAAACATACCTGTAGACACCAGTGGCGTTGGCGTTCCAGATGTCAACAATAGCACCCGGGATGGGCTTGCAGGTGTTGACGTCAATGTACTGCACCTCGAGGAAGAGGTCAACACCGTCAGAGAACTGCTCTTCCCTCACGTCCTCCCTCATAAGTTCACCCCAGATGTAGTAGGGGCCGTCGGTGATGGTAGGGGCAAGGATGGCGCTGGTGTTTCCGCCAAAGATGGCCTGTTCAGGGGTGTTGGGGCCGTAGTTGAGGATACCGGTCTTGTTGTGGTCAACAGCTTCCCACTTCTCGAGGGCAGCAAGGTCACGACGCCATTTTTGGGGGTCTGCTCAATTAGCCAATGCTCGTCGTTGTAAGATAAGAGGAGAGCTCACGGGCGGTGATGCCGCGCTTGCTGCGCAGGTCACGAGTAGTCTGGGCACGACGGGCGACGTTGCGCTGGGTCAACTGGATAGCCTCGTTGGAGTTGGAGCAGGCGTCCAAGGCCTGCCTGGCCCTGACGGCCTGCACATCACGCGCGTGAATCTCGCGCTTGAGGGCAACAGGATCGTGCTTCTCACCCGGGTGGGCGAGGGCCAGAGTGGCCGCAGTGAGAGTGAGGAGACCAGTGAAGCGCATTGTCAAGGAGATAGAGGAGAGAGTTGTTGTTAATGATTGTCAAATTCTTCCGCAAGCTCACTCCTTCTTATAGGCATCGTCGAGGAGGCTTGGCTCGTGCCGCGTAACCGCCACATCTTGACGTTTCATCAAAAGGAGGCTTGAAGAAGGGGATGCGTAATCCGAGGCAAGCCATAGGCTGTAGCGGCAGTTTAGGTAGGGCTGGAAACACATCGTCCGCTTGGCGCCGCGTATGCTTTGGGGAAAGGTGCTTGGTATGAGCTTAGCAGGTCCACCGGGGCCTGGCTAAGGAAAGATATCTGTCCGAGAAGTCTATTCGGAGGGTTGCAACCATGGTGCGAAACGCAGCAGCCGGCTGAAGCTCGTATGCGGAGTATCTCAACGGAATTCGCCCTGTCTCTAGTGTTAGTCTAGCAGCTGTCAAGCAACATACGCGTAAATACCTCTAGACTTCAGTATAGACACTCCGTGAACAAGATTATTCCAGAATGCAGACTGACGAGTCCTCGACTCCATTGATCGACAGTCTCCCCGGTGAAGAGAGGGTGAAGAGAGTCCACCCCGGAGCCTCACATCGGAAATACCGGCGTAACTCGGGATTACCGTACGGTACCTGACCAGGCACCGTTGCTGCCTCAGGACCAAAGTACCTTCTGCCTTTGATGCCGAGCCTTGATCCTACAACTCATCTAGCAGACAACCGACATCAATCTTTATTCGTCGTTTTTATCTACTCGAAATTGGAAGATTGCAGGCCACCGAGAAAGCACGAAGATACTCGTACTCGCCCCAAGTCTCGTTCCTGCACGTGCTCCATCACCTATGTGAGTCCTCGTGGTTGCCGTCCGAGCCTTCCCACTGAGGGAGGCGCCATCACCCAGTGATGCCTGCCTATTCTGGCTTCTCACGATGGGAGACTTCTTCACGATCAAAACAACCCCGCGGGCCGTCGACCTTTCTCAGCTGCGCATAAAGCAACCCTCGGACTTTGCGCATCCTTACAACTATCGCTATCCCCGACAATGGTGCTCCTTCAATCCACACGGACGTCGTTGGATACGATGGAGACCATGCAAGAACAATCGCCCACTATGACGTGCTTGACCGATCCGGTTCTGCTCGAGAAGTTCGATAAGCTCTTCGCATGCAACGTCGGTGACTACGTCGCTCTGCCGCAGCTCATTGCTGTCGGTGATCAGTCCAGCGGCAAAAGCTCGGTTTTGGAGGGATTGACCGGTCTCCCCTTTCCTCGCGATAGCACCTTGTGCACACGGTTCGCCACTCAGATCATATTTCGCCGAGCCACCGGCCAGGTTTCGCGCAGTATACGGGCGTCCATCAAGCCAGCGCCACAGTCTCACCCCGAGTGCGTTGCAAGACTGAAAGCATGGTCTAGGTCAGAGTCGGCATCTCTGGACCCAAAGGCATTTTCGGACATGATACACGAGGTAGGATTGGGCTATCGGTGCTGTTACCGGTTGCTGACAGTGACAGGTACACACGGTGATGGGTATTCGAAGCCTCGAAGACCAGTCGAAGCCAACGTTTTCTCGACATGTCTTTCGCCTGGAGATCAGCGGCCCTAACGAAGATCACCTCGCTGTTATCGACGTGCCAGGCATTTTCAAAAGCGTGACGCCCGGAGTAACAACAAAGCACGATATCGATATGGTACGCAGTATGGTTCAAGAGTATATGAGAAACCCTCGCTCCATCATACTGGCTGTCGTTCCCGCAAACGTCGATGCCGCGACGCAGGAAGTCATCGAGCGCGCCCGCGAGGCCGATCCCGAAGGACAGCGGACTCTTGGTGTGCTCACAAAGCCTGACCTGGTTGATCGTGGCGCCGAACAACATGTGTTGGACCTAATAGCTGGCAAGACAATGCCTCTTAGGCACGGCTGGGTCCTGGTCCGCAATCTGGGGAAGAGCGAACTCGCTATCGGTGATAAGACCCGCGCGGAAGTCGAGGAAGAGCTCAGAATGAGGGCAGGCTGGGGCCTTGTGCCAGCCGACAGGTTTGGCATTGAGTCTTTGAGACAGCGGCTGCAGGAAACGGTCACAGAAAATGCTCGACGGGAATTCCCAATGGTGAGGCACCTCTCGTTTCCAGTGGTCGCTGCTAATCTGGATAGGTACGCATGGACATCAACAAGAAGCTGAAAGACACCAAGGCCGCTTTGATAGCTCTTGGTCAGGAACGAGTCAACCGCAGCCAGCAAGTCGACTTTCTACTAGATCTTGTGGCCAAATTCCAGGAGATCATGGCAAATGCCCTCCGCGGCAACTACGGCGCAAACGATATCTTCGACAAGGTCAAGCGCTTTCGCCTGGCAACCACGGTCATCGATCGGAATGAGCAGTTCAAGTCCGATATGACGAATCTCGGACATGTATACCGCTTCCGCACCGACACCGATACTGGCCCGCATCCAGTGCTGAAACTCAAAAACAACGATGACACCAATGAGGAAAACATGGTCAGCACCCGCAAGATTGACACCCGGCTCGAGCTCAACGATGCTCTCATCGATCCTGAGCTTATCAACCCTCCTGTCGAAGACGATATCTATTCCTGGCTCGAGGCCGAGTATCTTAGTTCTCGCGGGTTTGAGCTCGGCACTTTCAACACCTCTCTATTGCCGACCGTCATGAAGAAACAGTCTAGTAAATGGGGAAGCATCGCACTTGGATATATCAGCGATGTTATCGCCGTAGTCAACGCGTTCATCGTCAGTGTCTTGACCGATCTATGTAACGATGGACGAATATCTCGTGGCTTGCTGGCAATCATGATGGACGATTTGCAGAAGAAGTACGCAAACGCAGTGGCGCATACCCGATTCCTACTAGAGAATGAACGCAACGATACTCTCATGTCCTTACACCCGTCATTCACGGAAACTCTGCAAAGCCGGTAAGTCTGCTATCTTATGGGTTTCTGGTGCAGCGCTTACATGATACAGTCCGGACTCAAAGATGCAAAAGTGCATAACCGACAAGACCTTTAGCGCTGGCAACGTGGCTCTAGGGAAGGTGGTCCGAGTCGATGATATCAAGGCTGCCATGCCGGGCATGAGCAATCGCGACTACATGGTCCAGCAAGTCCACGACATTTTGCAATCATACTATAACGTCGCTCAAGCGCGCTTCATCGATAACGTCTGCATGCAGTCTGCCAACTACTTCTTACTGAGTGGACCAAAAAGCCCTATGAAACTTTTGTCCCCAACCTTCGTATACCGCCTGTCAGACCAAGAGTTGGCGGATATTGCTGGAGAGGACCCCGTGATTCACAGGCAGCGGTTACAGCTTTCGAAGGAGATTGAGGATCTTGAGGTAGCCAAAAGGATCCTTCTTTGAGCATTGTGCTTCTTTCTGCGCTTGGGGTTTGTTTGATGTCCCATTGTTCGCTCATCCTTATATATCTTTAACATGTACATGGACTATCGTTAGCCCCAATCAAAAGTCTGCTGTCAATACGCTGAGCTTGGAGTCTATATGAAACGCGCTGAATCTCAACTCTCTAACTTCGAGCCCGCTGAACTGACTCTCGCACATCCTGCGCTACCTGCAGAAGGGCGTTCATTGCCGTAGAGCTCCAAGGGGCCATCTGTAGAAAGCCATGGCACAGTGTCTCGTAGTGATGCCAGGTCACCTGGTTGCCGGCCTCTTCCAACTTGGAAGCAAACTCGACGCCGACATCTCTTAGACAGTCAAAGCCACAGGTGTAAACTGTAGCTGGTGGAAAGCCTTTCAAATCATCGACATGTTGTTGTCCTGGCGATATATATGGCATCGACGGCGGGACTCCGGGAGGGAGGTAGTTTCTAGCGAATTCGAAGATCCCATTACCTGCCAGTAAGGTTAGCATCATTTTTCTGAGCAGCTAACAGAGACTTACAGCTCAGATACGGCCCCGCGTTATTCTCTGCCGCCGCATTGGTGTCGAAAGGCACCCTCGCCTCCGGATACAGCAGAAACACGCCTGCCAGCGGTTTCTTTTTCTCATCACGCAGCCTCAGCGAAATCGCCGCCGACATATTACCCCCTGCACTATCCCCTGCCCCGAAGATGAGCTCTGGATCAACGCCGCGCTCCTTTCCCCCTTCGCCCCTCAACCAGTCCCGCACGGCTTCATATTCATCCAACTGCGTCGGATACTTCCATTCCGGCGCGAGCCGGTACTCAACAAGGTAGACTTGGACGCCGGCTTTCTCGGCCAACATCCGACATCCATTCTCGAATTCGTCGCCCGATCCGACTGTGTATCCGCCGCCGTGGAAGTAGATCAGCGCCGGTGTGAGGTCCTGCGCGTTTAATGGCGGCTTTGACGGGTAAAGGACTCGGACGTTTATTGTGCCGTGCGGTCCGCGGAAAGCTGTGAATTCGACGCGGCCGATGTCGAATTGTTTCTCCCGTGGGTGGTTTGTGAAGCTGAGTATTTGTGTGTGGATGCGCCGCTCTTCGAGCAGGTTTCCGCCCCCGAGGACCAGGTCCGGATGTGTCTTTAGAAACGAGGAGATCTCGGGGTCGAGGGTTGTTCTGGAGCCGGTCTTGGGGATCATCTTGCCGAGAGGCTATTGGTTCAATCTATTGGTATAAGGATAGGAAAGAGTGTTAAGAAACGTGGAACGCGAGCAGTTGGATGGTCGAGTCGCCTTTAGGCTTTGATGCATGCGCGATCTAGATCTTGATGTCATGATGAAGTTGATCAGGACTCCACAACGGGCATCAAGCTTTCGATGGCTCAATGGCTCGGATGATCTACCTATCAAGCAATGCGTGCGAATCTCTTGATACACAGTTATAGCTTTGTCTCGCAGACCTTATGTAGTGGTGATTGATATCATGATTGCATGGTGGTGTTGCTTCTGGCGTTATACTCGTTATACTCGTGCACGCTTCCTTCCCCGATTGTCCAGAACCAATACGCCCACCGGCACTAAATATCCATTGTCAACAGCAATACGTCTCAACGGACAGACATCGCAAACCACCACCCAGGATCCAGCCGCCGGCATGCAATCCGTCCTCCATCCCATCCTCGGCCCCAAGAAGGAGATCCATGACCTCACCGGCCGCGTTGCGGTCGTTACGGGTGGTGCTATGGGTATAGGGTGCGCTTTACCCTCACCTTTATAACCCTTCCACGGTAATGAAGCAGGTGCTCAGACTAAAATGGGGAACCTTCGGCAGATATGAAATCTCCCGTGCCTTCGCCCTCAATGGCGCCCGCGTAATCATGGTCAACCGCAAGGAAGAGCAAGGAGCAACTGCCATCAAGAAGATCAAGGACGAGTCACACAATAGGGCGCAGATTGAGTGGCTTCCGTGTGATCTGGGGAAGTTGAACGAGGTGAGGGATGTGTTTGGTGGGATTCGGGAGAAGGAAGAACGCCTTGATTTGGTACGTTCGTCCGTCTTTCCCCAACTCGACGATGGAACGATTGGACACAGAAGACGCAACTGCGAACGGGCTACTGACGACAGTGCATAGCTCATTCTTTCAGCGGGCATCAACGCAAGCCAGTACGGCGAAAGCGCTGACGGAAACGACCGCACCTTCGCCGTAAACTGGCTGGGCAACTTCTACGCCGTGAACCTGCTCTATCCGCTGCTGCGCAAGACGTCCAAGATCCCTGATACACCTCCTCCACGGATTGTCTTTGAGTCTTCAGAGTTGCATCGGGCAACGCTGCCGAGCACGAAGTTTGCGAACAAGGAAGAGATCAATGATCCCAGCAAAGATCCGACGCAGCTATATGCGCGAACGAAACTGGCTATGATACTCGGCGTTAAGTACGGATTGATTGAGCGGGTCATCAAGCCCAATGGTGATAATGTTTATGCGTTGAGTGTGCATCCTGGCACAGTACGTCTTCCTTAGCACCCCTTTCTGCTTCCGAATACACATTGGGGTCGTCCTAACGCGGGGACAAATAGGTCAGCACAGACATACAAACTCAATGGAAGTCCGCATATCCCGGCTTGCTTGGAAACCTCCTCACGACCGTGATGACGGCGCTAGGCCGGTCCCCAGAGCAAGGCTCCTTCAGCGCGCTTTACGCGGCGACGTCCCCGGAAATCGAGGAGAAGGGTTGGAACGGGTACTACTTCACTGACCCGGGCCAGCTGGGGAAGGAGTCGATGATGGCGAATAACGCTGAGCTCGGGAATTCACTATGGAATCTGAGTCATGAGATGATTAGCGATGTTGTTGGGGAGGGTGGGTTGGTTGATTGGAACCGGAAGACTTAGGTTAGCCTTGATTGAACATTCTTTGAACATGTTCGGTTCCTGCGGTGGAGGCTGGACTGGGGCTGTTGATTTCCTGCTTATATGACTGCAGGATGATGGTTATGACCACGATGAGTATAGCCTGGAGACGGGCGTTTTACAGGAAGTGTTCTAAAAAGATGTCACTGTGTTGATCCGACGATGAAAGACGCAGCTCTTTTCTCCAGTTCCTATACCTTGTTGTGAATTAATGGCGTTGGCATCTAGGATGGTCCCTCCCAGAAGCCCTTGCAAGTATATTACCCTACGCACTGCAAGCCCTAGGAGATAACGTATACTCTGCCCCGGCCGACAACCAACATATTCAGCCCAGTCTCAGTTTTCGCCCGGATGCCTCCCTGCGAAATTCGGAAAACCATGCTCTCAAACCCATGGTCCCAATATCCATACTTCAGCATGACGTGGATAGCAAGCGGAGCTTACCCATCTCAAGACCTCCATATAAACTAACCACTCACTCACCCACCTTGAACTATACGGTCATCCCCATACATAGCCTAGCCCTCAACCGCATCTCTTACCGGGAGACAGACCTATCGGCAAGCCCCCGAGACGTAGCAAAATGACCCTCCGCATCAGCACAACAATCGCACAAGACCACGCCGAGATCAAAGCGATCTACGAGCGCATCGTCGAAACAAGCAGCCGCAACGAACAAATCCGCTACCAGAACCTCTTCGTCTGGGAACTCGCCCGCCACGCCGTCGGCGAGGAGCTGGTCGTGTATCCTGCCTTTGAAAAACACGTGCAGTACGTGGGCGCGGGGCTGGCGACGAAGGATCGCGAGGAGCATCAGGCCGTAACACCACCATATTCCCTCCCTTTCGCACCTCGGACTTCTGACGCAGAGGCAGGTAAAAGAACAACTCAAACACTTCCAAACACTAGACCCGGCCAATGACACCTTCATCCCGACGCTCAAGTCCCTAATGGCCGATCTAAGCGCGCACATGAAGGAAGAAGAGAGCGAGGATCTGGTGATGCTGGAGGGGACGCTTTCAGAGCACGATAGCCAGGCCCTGAGCAAGGCGTTCAATCGCGCGAAGATCTTTGTGCCGAGTCGGGCGCATCCGGGAGCGCCGAACAAGCCGCCCTTTGAGACGGCGGTGGGATTGCTGACGGCCCCGTTCGATCAGGTTGTGGATTTGTTTCGGAAGTGGCCGAGGAAGGGGATTGAGGCTTGATCTTGACTGTTTTGGTGGGATGGGGTCACCGGTGCTCGGGTGCGTGGAGGGAGGGTTTAACGGAGGCCTGAGGTGGAAGGTGGGTGCTTGCTTTGGGCTGAGGGGGAGGGGTGAGGGAGTTTGATGTATGTAGGCTCTTGATGCTGGAATCCTTGCAGAGGAGAATCGCTTCGTGGTATGTCTTAGTTGGTTGGAGGCTTGACAAACTGTCCATACCTGTTGTGGTGGCTGGGCTCAGATCAATATCATCCTCCCATTACTCTGGCAATCCAGTCGATACCTATCTTCACGAGACCGACGACAAGCCCCTGGTTCGATCATTTAAAATACGATCAATGTCCAGTAAACACTGCCGAAACTCCGCTCGAAGCGTTCAAGAACCAAATTTATCACCGCAAAAGGGGCCTCTTTCCGTAACGGCTAAGATGGGAGTTCTTGTGATACACCGCGATATGGTCGCCAAAGCCCAGGACTCTAAACAACGGTCTCGGATGTAGGGAGCCTCCCCCGGCGAAGATCTTCCGCATCCCCGTATCATGCAATATCTTCGATGTAGCGTATTTCACACTGATGATGGTGGTATGTCAGACGTTACATCTATGTCCCAACGAAACTGGCCCACAAAATCACGGTGCCCGTCCGGATACCGGAGTGGCAGGCCAAGATACTTGTAAGGCAGGCTCTGTTTGCCTTGAAAAGCGCGTACATTGTGAAGACGGCTGGGAGGTCCTTCTGACATGCACCCGCAGGTCCTAACGCGAGGGACGGGCTGGGAAGGTCATATTTAGGGCTGTAAGAAAGCGGCTTTGGAATCAACAGATAGGAGTATCTTCTCCAAGTCGTGGGGTACTTAGAAGCATCATTGCTCAAAAGGATTGAGCGCATCGAACGGGATTAAGCTTATATCAGAGACATCAGAACGGCCATGATAGATAAGCCAAATCATGTAGACCGCGTCGGCCAGACGTATCCCTTGGGTGGCAGCGTAAGCTGGGCAGTGCTTTGTTTCAGGCCCTCAAGCAGACGACCAGTTTTCGCAAGGATCGTTAACGACCAGTGTGGACCAATCAGTTCTGCGATCAATAGTTGAATCTCTGTCGGCATTTGTTCGAAAAGGTCTTGCCTGAACGTGTCCTGCAACACCTGGGAGTCAAAGTGCTGAGAAGCCATCATCGCACCAATTCGGCGTTGTCTCACCCAGGCGTGTCCCGCAGATCTGCACCGTTCACCAAGATTGCCAGCCCCCTGCGCTCTTCGAAAAAGTGGTGTTCCGGGATCTTCCCAAACGATCTCGAGCATGAGGTAGCAGTCAAGGTGATCCAAGCCTCGGGTTTTCGAGTGCGAGACCACTGCACATAACGAATGTCGTCTTCCGGACGAACCCAGTGCCCGTCCATCCTGAGATCTGCGGCACGTTAGCAGTTTCTTGGATTTGGGCAAGAACGTACCAAGGATCTGCTGGAAGTGGGTGCCTGAGGCCACCGGAGGTCTTAAGGCTCCGGTGGAGGAAGGTTCTTCCGGCCTAAATAGCCACCTGTAAAACTTTTTATTTATCCCTAGAATATTTAGCTTAGTATACCATGTAATATAAAAGACTTTTACCTACTATAACTAGTTATTTTTTTTAGTAGGTTATAAGCCCGGGTTTGCTTAACTTATACACCTAATTAAAAGTCTTTTTTTTTTTAAGTTAACCTATACTAACTAAATACATGGTATTTTTTTATTTTGCCTATCTAGCTTTATATTTCTTTCTAACTTTACTAGTTATTATAATAATTAAAAAGCCTTATACTTAGGGCAAGGCCTTTACTACTAGGGTATAAATATTATAGCTTTATTTTATTTTATATTAAATTTTTTATTTTTTTTTTTACCTTTTTAATTAACTTTTAACTTTATAAACACCCCCTTTCTAGGGCCACACGCATTTAATTTTTTAATAAAAATAAGTTTTTTTTAATGGCTAAAGAGTTTCAGGACCTTTAAAAGTAATATAATTTTTTTAGGTTTTTTAATTTAAACTTTAACTTTAACTATTTCCTGGAAATTTAAACTAATTTTTAGATATTTAACTAGCTATTTTTAATTACTAGTTTTTTTTTATTTCCTTATAACTATCCCGGTATAAGCTTTAGCTTATTTAACCTTAATTTTACCATAGTAACTTCCCAGGGCTTATTATTTTTTAATATTTTTAATTCCTGGCCTTATTTCCCAGGTAGTTTAATTCCTAGCACCCAAACTACTTTAATTTTTTTATTATTTAGTTTTTTTATATCTAGTTCTTTTATACTAAGTTAAAATAAAAAAAATAACCTTAATTAAAGCAGAGAACATCCTAGTTTTAATATTAAAAAACTAGTAGGTTAAATAAAACCAGCAGGTATTTTTAAAGCTCCGGAAGGCTAGCTACAGCCACCTTTTAAAATAGCTAAACTAAAGGCACCTTATAAAAATTATTTTTATTACTTTAGCTTTTATTATACTAGCTTTAGTAGGCGGAGATACTAAAACCCCCGGCTAATAATCCGCTATAAATTAAGTTAAAAATGCAAGTGTTAATAGCGGAGTTCTAGTTACTATTATACCTTTTACTTAGCCTATTACTAAAACTATTATTACTAAGGCTATTATTACTAAGCCTACGCCCCCGGTAAACCATAATAAGGCTAAAATTTAGTAGTAAAACTAAGACCGTGCTATGGCTTTAATCCTTAGCTATTTAGGTTTTAATTTATAAAACCTTTTTGCTAATAAATAAATAGTTTATAAATTACTTAATAAAATTAAAAGCCACCTAAAACTTAATACTAATATTATAATTTTTAAGGCCTGGGCTAACTTAATATTTTTATTTTTTAATAAAAGTATCCCTAATTTTAGTAAGAAACTTAGGGAGATTTAGCAGGAGTTTGCATGTGTTAATATTATTTTTTTAGCTAAGTTTATTATTACTACCTTTTACCAAGCCCTAAGTAATTAATTTAATTATTTTAAGGCCACGCACTTTAATAACCATGTTATTAAATATTTTTTAGGGGATATTATTATATTAATTACTTTTTTAAATAACTTTATAATTATTACTAAGTTTATTAAATTAAATTAAAACTAGGGCACTGGTACCCTAGCACTTTTTTTTAATAAGGTATTTAAGCCTAATATTAAATATTATAAAAACTACCTTAATATTATTTAAATATATAAAAATAAGGGTACTATAAATATTATTACATGCTATTATTTTTATTATAACACGCTATTTTATAGCTAAAAAACCTGCTATTAATTTTATTTTAAGCTTAAAACTATTTAAAAAAACTCCTGGGGTAGCAAGGGCGCTAAATACTTTTAAAAAAATTTTAAATTTAAGAAAAATATAAAGCTTATGCTTAAGCTAGTACTTATAACTTAAATTAACTTAAATTTTAAGCAAGAGACTATTTAAAATAGTCTTATTTAATAAATTACCTTAAATAATAGCTATATATAATATATTACCTATAATTACTTTTTATTTTAGGATTTTAAGCCTTATACTAGCCTTAATATTAAGGGTATTAGCCCTAAAGTTTTTAGCACCTAGGATATTAGTATTATTAAAATCCCTTATTATATTAATAGCTAGCTTAAGATCCTAGCTTTAAATAATATTTTATACTATCTTAATATATTTTTTATATTAATATTTATTTTTTAGCTACTAGATAAGTATTGCTTAGTTAATTTTAGCTAGTAAAATATAAAAGCTAAAAAGCTATAAAATACTAATAT